GAATTCATCAAGTCCAAGGAGGCCGCCGGCGCAGCCGCAGCCTGGGGAAGCTCCCTCGCTGGAAGTGCTGTGCAAACCTACGGTGTTGCTGCACTTATCAATGCCACCGGTACCCTGAGTTACAAGGGTGCTGCTTACCTCGGTGCACTTATTTTCTTCGCAAGCTCAGCTCCAGGCGTATGTTCTCAGTCCTCTTAACAGCATCAGGCAATTCCTCTGACATATATATATACAGATTGTGAGCCAGGTCTTCTCCGAGAAGCGACCTCTCGACACCATCGCTGTTGGTGCAGTGTCACGAGTGTTCGAGACTGTTGGACTTAGCTTGTTCCTCACCTGGTGGGGAACACGTACTCACCCATTCAACTAAGGGATATGAAATTGATGACACAAGCAAGAACTTCCTATGATTGGATGTACTTCTCAAGCTTGGGCTTAAATGGTTAATGGATGTAAATCTACACGAATATGATATTGTATTCCTAATTTTCCTTTCCACTGTAGTGATATATCTTACACTATCAAAGGTCGATCCATATTTCAAGGTTATCGAGCAATTAGGTAAAATGAACCCACATGGATCGTCCAGTCCCAGACGAGAAAAAGGCCTCCACGCAAGCTTGGTACTTTTGTAGTATAAGGCCATATTTAGATATAGAAACCCACTATTAGACCTGCCTTCAACAAATTCATACATACCCTGCTACGTTACTAAGAAATAGATCTACATTCGCACGGGCCCAAGCTTGTCTTGGCTTGGCTATACAACAGGGTTATACAATGCATATGATAAACGTCTATAGACTTGCACCAAATAGGGAAAAAATCATTACAATTTCATTCTCTTTGATTTTCGACTCTTCATATTTGAGCTATTTTAAACAAATCGCCACCCAATCATGTGATACTTCTGGGTCGAATGTGCGATAAGCTACTACTGATTCCCCCACTAAAAACTTTCTCCAATCAAGAAATCCACAAACATCAACAATTCAACAAATATCCCACAATGATAGAAATACCGATGCCAACTCCTTCAGGGCCAGATTCAAGCCCACCATCAAGTCCAGATGGACTCAGAATCAGTGAATCCCTGGCACCTACCCGCGTACTCAAAGCCGCGATGACCACAGACGTCTCGTTCGACGGACTCCTGAAAGAACCATTGCTATTAAAAGAAGACTTGAAAGATGGATGCGGTGGCCAATTATGGCCAGCAGGGATGGCTTTGGCCAAATACCTCCTCAGTCGTCATGCCACCGATCTATCCGATAAAACTATGTGGGTGCTCAAGCTGGACATCATTTCTTCTCATTTCGTCCTAATCCAATATTTAATAGCGTGGAACTTGGAGCTGGAGGTGGACTTGTTGGACTCGCAGTGGCACGCGGCTGTCATGTCGAACAACCGATTTATATCACAGACCAAGAACCTATGTTTTCCCTAATGAAGTCCAACATTCAACTAAACAATCTCGGCCCGAATGCGACTGCTGCGATACTAAACTGGGGAGAACCGATCCCAAACCAGATTCCTTCGAAACCAGATGTCATCCTCGCTGCTGACTGCGTCTATTTCGAACCGGCATTCCCTCTCTTGATCACCACGCTCCAGGACCTCCTGGGACCGGACTCGGTCTGTTACTTTTGTTACAAGCGTCGCAGACGTGCCGACATGCGGTTCATGAAGATGGCGAAAAAGGCCTTCCTAATGGAGCCTGTCCTTGATGATCCTGAGGCTGAAGCGTATAATAGAGAGAACATATTCCTCTACACGATACGGGCCAAACGTTCTGACCAGAAAAAGTGACACAAGATGATATGTGCAATGCTAGAAAATAGATTTTATGTAGTAGAAAATATGACTCCTGAATAGTACATACTGGCCCTTTAATTTCACCCCCTCACAATTTCAGATTGTCTCCTCTGTGTTTGGCGCCCTCGTGGACAGAGCCACCGTCGATATTCGTCATACGCCCCTCCTTGTCAATGACCTTGACTCCTCCCTTCTTCAGGTCTGAAATCATCTGCTGCTTCTCGGCCGCCTTGCCATTCTTTTGCTCAGCGGGTTTGGCAGCATCGGCCTTCTTTTGCGTTTGCTTATTCTGGCGTCTGTTCTTGGCCTTCTGCTCACGGGTCATCTCCTCCTTGGAGATAGACGCGCCGGTCTTGAGGATCACCTCTCCCTTGACTCGGCCACCATCGCCAGGTGCGTAGATCTCTTGTGGTGCAAGTCCAACAGGGCCACCAGCAGCACCGCCAGCCGTTGGGCGTGCCTCCTCCATCATGATTGTTGGCGCATCGGTGACGACGTTGATGCTTGCTTGGGCAACCTTGGGTTTGTAGTGCCAATTGCATAGCGTATCTAATTGAGAGCTGAGCTCGTTCCAAAGACTGGTGATCTCGGCATGTTCCCGCATCAACTTGCGGTCCTTAGTATCCACGAAGTTGGGATCATTAGCGCGAAGATGGTCGGTTTCATACATCTCAGCCAGACCTTGCTCCGCCTTGGTATCAGACAGTTCGAAGCGGGGTTTTCTTCCGGCTTGCTGACCCTCGGCGCCTGGCCGACGGCGAATGACTTCGTCGAACTCCATGGCGAGAATTCGGCGCTTGATCAGTTCTTCAATGTCCTCGGTGGTCTCGTTGGTGTTGACGGGAACAGGTTTTCCAATTCGTTCAAATTCAAGGTCTTCTTCAATGAGGGAATTGATGGGTCGCTCCACAGCTCTGGCTTCACCAGTATACATCCATTCTTTCTTGGCAACATTGGCAGATTCCAGACGACGAATTTCATCTGCGATCCGTGCCCTCTGCTTCTCGTGTGTTGAGCGCGGAGCAGTAGGATCTGCAGACTCGTCAAGCTCCATCTCATCTTCTTCGGCGGAGTCTGCATCGCCATCGTCAAACAAGTCCCGTCGAACGTCGTCCATAGCGCGTTTGACATCGTTCTCATCGACTGCCGGTGCATCGGGTTGGGTTTTCGGGAGGGCGCGATGTTTCTTGTTGGAGGCTTTGCGGGGTGGAGGTGCGAAGAAATCGGCGTATTTGATATCACTGGTGTTTACCCAGGCAGCGGCTTCACCGTCGTCCATGTCCGCGACGTCTTCATCATCAGAATCGGAGTCGCCGTTGAGATCGGCATTGCCGAAAGTCGGCCCTTCCTCCTCACTATCATCCATGTCTTCGTCTTCCTTGTCTGTTGGCCGTGAACTCTTCGACTTATCGCCACTGCGAATGGTCGCAGCATTTCCAGCAATCAAAGGGTTCGAGTGCCAGTCAAGATCCTCCTCGTCGCTGTCTTCGGTCTGCTCGGGTCCTCCTGCGGCATCCTGTCTCTCCAAAGCCTCGGATTGTTTGTTGAAGTCGTCGATGGAGAAGAATCCATCGTTCAGTCCAAACTTATCCTCGACAAATTCTTCGGGTTCTCCTTCGGCGGAGCCGACTGAGGAATTATCATCGTCCATGTCTTCAATGTCTTCCATGCCTTCCATATCTTCGTCGGATCCCATATCGATCTCTTGGTCGGACTCATCGTCGAGATCATCTTCGGCGCCTGAACCCTCGGAAAATTCTTCAAGCATGCCCTCTTGGCTGTCGCTGTCGCTTTGTGCACCCTCGGGGTCAGACATATCCTCGAGCTGCTCGGAGTCGGCCGACTCCATGTAGCCACCATGTTGGGAAATCAAAGTGATATCGCGCTCAATCTCATCGCCAGTCGACTCGAGAATCCGTGTTGCTTGCTCCCATATTTGATTCGAGGTGAAACCGTCCACGTAGAGGTTCTTCAATTGGAGCTGGGTGACTGAGTCCGATTCGAGGGCGGACCTTTTGCGCTTTTTGTTGAGTTGCCGGCGAGTGGTCTGGGCGTCCACAACCGAACCAGCGAGGGAGTCCAGGATGTGCTTTGCAGAATCTACGACGGTGGTGTGTAAATCGTTCGTGGGACGGAGGAACGCCCATGGCGAGGACAGAGCGGACGACAGAGCCATCTGTTCGGAAGGTTGGGCGGTATCAATCGACACCGACTTGGATTTGGACTGCCCTTTCGCCATTGTGAAACGAGCCAGGCAATTTGTTGGAATACCAAGTGTCTCTAGAAGCCGAAAGCGCGATAGAAAAAATTATCGCCGGGCGGACGGTCGAGAGCCAATCACGCTGCTCGTTGATAAGAAAGATAAGGATCACCATTATGGATGGATCTACCTTCATACTACAAATAGACCTGCTACTGCTCTCCATACAAATTTGCTAAGGCTCAATTTTGATAGAATTACTTCTTATTACATGGGAATAAACCTTGCTGTGCGTTTGAGCCAATGCCATTGAAACCACTCGAGTATACTGGATCTATAGGTGTGTATGACACTTGATCGATGCTTCCTTTCCTGTTCTCTTGCTTTGCTCTCTTCTAACAAACACTAGGAAAAAATATATCATGTCATCCTATAGAAATTGCAAACGAAAAATCAGTTTGAATTGTTCTGCCTAGGTAGGTGAAGAACGCCACGAATCAAGACGGGCAAATGACGCCAAATGCCTGTCATATACATATTGATAACCTCGACGGCAAATGTGGCACAGAAGCAGTTCAGATATGGTTATCAAAACAAAAGAAGTGCCATTGAGGCATCAAGTACCCAATTGGATGTACACATTGTCCAGTGGCCAACTTGTGGCTACAATACTGAAGGATCGAATAGTTCAGCGTGATCGATTAAACCACCGCCACAGAACAAGTCTAGAACAGAGATGCTCCGAGTGGCTCAGATCTTCTAAGTTGTAAATTGCCTCAATATAGGCAAAGCTTGGAAGTACTGAAATGTAAGCAGACCATCATTGTGACATTGATGGGCCCAGCTTTGGATTTTGGTGGCCATATATCGATTTTTTACTTAAATGGTGCTTGCTTGCAAGGAGATTTCTACCATATTACAGATTCACACAGAATTTCTCTATATACACCACTCTTGTCCATATTCACGCCCTGAACCTGTCAATATGCCTGTTGGACAGTATATCGAGCGAGAGGCCAGTGGCTCTAAATCCCAATTTGCGCCAGGTGAGTAAGTGTTGTTTTATCATGTATTAATTTCTAACATAATACTTCATATAGGCCACAAAATTCCTATTCAACACTTGACAAAACCGGGTCTGCAATCTGACATGGGAGAGCCCAAGCCTGTGTCAACTCATATCCCCACCGAGGATTATGGCTATCAGACCTACAAAGCCGCCGGAAAGCTCCAAGGAAAACATGCAATCATCACTGGAGGTGATTCTGGAATAGGACGGGCAGTTGCAATCCTATTTGCAATGGAGGGTGCGTCAAGTCTAATCATTTACTTGCCCGAAGAGGAGTCGGATGCGCAAGTGACAAAGAAGAGAGTCGAAGAATATGGACAGCAGTGCCATACTCTCGCTATTGATATTCGCAAGAAGGAGAATTGTCAAAAGATCATCAATGTGGCCCTGGAAAAGATGGGCAGCATTGACATTCTTGTGAACAATGCGGCGTTCCAAGACATGCTGAGCGATATCAGCGAGGTCGATGAGTGAGTTGTCCTACATTTACTGCTCTTCACCCAACACACCCTTCTAATGCACCAAAAGATCGCAGTGGGAGAAATCATTTGAAACCAACATTTACTCCTTCTTTTATCTTGCCAAGTATTCTCTTGTTCATATGAAGCAGGGAGCTACCATTATCAATTGCGCATCCGTGAATCCTTATATTGGCCGAGGCGATCTCCTGGATTACACCTCGACTAAAGGAGCGATCGTCGCATTTACTCGCGCCTTGTCAAACCAGCAGTTGAAGAAAGGCATCCGGGTCAATTGTGTTTGCCCGGGTCCAAGTAGGTTCTCCATCTCTCTATTCCAAGTCAAATGCTAATAAGACAAGTCTGGACGCCCCTGATTCCGGCAACAATGCAAACCGGGGCGATGGAACAGTTCCATGCAGTGCCGATGGGTCGACCAGGCCAACCTAGCGAGGTCGCAACTTGTTTCGTTTTTCTCGCGAGCCAGGATAGCAGCTATATTTCCGGACAGTGTTTGCATCCGAACGGAGGTATGATGGTCAATGGATAGGGGAAAGCTGCAAGAAATCAAGTGTGCTGTACCAGTGTTTAAAACTGTATAGATTGGAATCCACAGCATTCAAGACAAAAAAAACCGACAACCCTTACTCCTATCGCTAATAATCTACGCTAAACACGTACGCCGAGACAAATAAACCATCATAGATGGTGCCATGCATGCAATATCTGGTATCTTAGCGTCGCTTATTGTGCCTTGACTCCACACTATCACTCGAGTGGAATCACTTTGCTTCGTCAACAACTTCCTCCTTGGTATCTTCCACGCTAGGTGCATTGGCAACAATCTTCTGGACAGCGTCCACAGTTGCGTCTGGGCCACCGGCCTCGCGAAGCAAGACCTTGCCCTTCTTATCCACGGCAAAAACACCTCGCAATGTACCCTTTGGAGACTTCTTGAACCCAATAGCCGCAATAAGAGTGGCACTGGGGTCACACATAAGAGGGTACGGTAGGTTTTGTCTTGTCTTGAACGTAGTGTTGGCCTTGGGGGAGTCGCCTGAGAGACCGTAGATAGAAAGACCAGTAGAAGTCAAGTGGGTGTAGTTGTCACGGAACAAGCAAGCTTGCTTGGTACCTGGATGAAGCGATGTAAGCGGTCTGCTGGAGTAGGATGGTTGCAAAGTATGCCAAGAACACAGCCCGGTCCTCTCAAGAGAAGCACTGAGCAGGACACAGGGACTTACAGCCAGGTGTTGAGGCTTTGGGATAAGTAAAGAAAACCACGCCCGACTTGCTCTCCTCGAGGAGCTTCTTCAAATTTGTCTTTTCACCTTCATTGGTCTCAAACTCGCCGCCGAAAGTTTCTATGTCGATTGTGTCATTCACCTCAGGGACTTTTGGCGCGGGGGTTTTTTCGATATCATTATCGGTAACATCTTCTTGTTTGGGCTTGGGAGCTTGTTTGGTCTTCTTTTCTGGCACTGGGAGTGGGACTGGCGCCTTGCGTTTCCTGAGTTCGACCATGATGTGGAGAAAGGTAGAATAAGGGGGAAGATAAAAGATCCGGACGGAGGAATATATATATTGATTAGAGTTAATTGGACGTTCTGGAACATGTCAGCTGCATATCTGCCCAGCACCTCCAGACAGCTATTGATTACATAAGCAGGAACCGGGAGAACCCGGTGGCGCTGTGGCGAGTGTTGTGGCGTTCCGAACGCGCCCTGGCCCTGACCCGAAGGGAAAAAAAAAGGATTTTCCCCTCAGAAGGTCGATCGTTAAAATCCACTCTTCTCCATTTTCTCTTTATCTGACTTACTCATATTTGCCTCCCGACTTCTTCATAGATTTAGACTCAATTTCACTTTCTGCAAACTCGCTTCATATCTCATCTCTCACACTGAACTTGAATCAGTCTTACTATCTCTACCTCGGGTACCACCAATCTATCCTACAGCGCTTGTCACCTTCCAAATATCCGATCTCAATCTCACGCGACCCAACGACATCGTTGAGGTAATCTGCGACTCGCCACTATGAAGGTCTTCTCTTCCGAATGCACTTTCGACTACTCCTGGGACGAAGTATCAACCGCGAACTGGCGCAAGTACTGTCCTTGGAATGATAAGTCTACACATGTCGTGGGCGTAGATACGCTCTCTCGAACCGTCGACCCAAGCACTGGTATTGTGAGTCATCCGATCTTCAGGCAGGACTCCAAAATACCCTTAAAGCCTTTGTACTAACTTCTACCTCTAGTTGCGAACTGAACGTCTTATCACGTGCAATCAGTCTGTACCACAATGGGTTCTCTCGATTCTCGGTGGAACAAATACCTCTCACGTCTACGAAATCTCTTACGTCGATCCGGTCGCAAAGAAGGTGACCATGTGCTCCACCAATCTGACATGGTCGAACGTCCTCAGCGTCCGCGAGACTGTTATCTACCGACAATCCTCCCTTAGCCCGGCCACCACGACCGAATTTAGCCAAGAAGCAAAAATCACCGCTCTCTGCGGTGGATGGCAAAAGATTAAGAACAAGGTTGAAGAGGCAAGTGTGGATCGGTTCCGTGAAAATGCCAAGATGGGCCGCGAAGGATTCGAAACCGTCCTCGAGATGAGCCGCCGCGTCTTCGGCGAACAACGCGAACTTGAAAAGCAAGGCCTCCAATCATGAGCGTCCCATACATCGGCATACTTCCCGCGATCTCTTCTCAACATGATATCTCTCTTTTTTTTAATACCCTCAGCATTCAACATCAAGCGACTGCATATTCCGGCGTCTGTTTTGCATATTCGAGCATGTGGTGCCAAGTGGAGTTCTTTGTCTCAACCTGGATTTTTCAACTCTCGACTCTCAACCTGTTCATGAATACCACCCTTTGCCTTACGAAGCCGCACGGCCAAGAAAAGTTCTCGATTAAGTTATTTCAAGCGAGTTGTCTTTCATATCCTTTTTGCCTCGATAAGAAGGCGCAGATGTATCATTAGAAGCTTTCAAACTGAGATCTGAAATTCTATTATCGTACAACGTTCACGTTGATAAATTCGTATCTCATAATTAAGCCAATATGTCCCGTCAAAACTGATCATGAACACTAGCACCAAGTATACAGCAGTGAAACCATGCCACTATCCTAATAATCCACCAAGCACCACCCGACTGACTCCAGCAACTTCACTCTTGACACTATTTCGACTGGCGTCTTCGAACTCCCGCACTGCGCCGGCTACCATGATTTTTCGTAACCTGGCATCTGTTTTGGAAAATGACTCGCCCAGGGCCACCGTACAGATAGCTGGAGATGATACTAAAGTAGTGAGCCGGCTATAAGTGTCAATCAAGACATCACATAGGGTTGCAAATGTCTCAAAGAAGTCCGGCTCGAATGGTAACGATGGTGTGAGGAGATAGGTGTATTCTTCTCCAGGAAGAAGATCCGAAGACTCTGTGAGTGGGAAGGAGGTGACCGAAGCCGCTGCAGTGGAAGCCGACCCAAGATTCCCTGCCGTGCTCTTCAGGTCTGATGGGTCGCTGGATTGCATTGGGAGTCCGATCTCATTTGCAGAGCTCGCGCGTCGGGTCTTGGTGCCCGCATGCGCCGCCCGCTTGAACATTTGGGGTATACGGGCCCTTGCAAGACTTGACGAGGAGCTGCCGTCTGGAGGATGCACTTGCTGGAATGCTTCGAATTCCAGCAATAATGCATTCAAAGCACGCACATACTCGAACGGCGTGGTATTAACATCGAGAATTGTTGGCAATGACAAGCCTAGAAGTAGATAATTGATTGCGCGGCGAGAAAGTTTCCGGGCTTCAAAGTATGGCAGGCGAGCGATGTCAGCCCGGGAAAAATGCACAGTATTAAACCAATAAACTCGTCCTTCGTGACTATATGTAGTGCGGTATTAGTAGCGCTCAGGTTTGGCAGGTCTGCAATTAACTTACGCCTTTCTCAAATAGTCGAGAGTCGCGATCCGCTTCGCGGCAGTTTCATGGATATGTTGATAGATCGCGCCTGCACTTTGCGGGCCGAGAAGGCCCCCTCCGCTGATGACTGGAGGTGGGATACCATATCCCCCTTCGAAACCACCGCCAGACTTGGCTGTATCTCGCCGTGAGATGCTCGGGGCAAACGTAGAAGGGATCATTGGCGTTGGTGCGCAATTTCGGAGCGAAATAGAAAGATGCGACACGGACGAAAGTAGACACGGGCCGAGAGCAGGACAAGGCGAAGGTGTTAGAAAAGACGAGAGAGCACGAAACTGGATATATCAGACTAATGAATAGTTAAGGCCCCAATATATCGCCCAGGTGTGTTCAAAGATTTGAGATTCAGGAGATTCGGAGAAAGTTCCCCGCAAGACTGTGAAGCCGAAGATTACTGTAACCGTACCTTCCATGTAATTTACCCTTGTCGATCACATCCCCCTCCCCCTCCTATACAATTCAGGTCTATATTTTTGTAACAATTCTGAATTTTGTTGCTGTGAAAAATGGACTCAACACCTCTCGAGGAACAGGTTCCTCTGCCTGGACAATGGCCTGCTGATCCCCAGGAGGATGTACCAATATCGGAGGACCGACTTTGGGTTGATGGTTGCTTCGACTTCAGCCACCACGGTAAGTTTACAATTAGCACATAGTCAATTGCTGTGAACTAACTGATGGGTTGTTCTACAGGTCATGCGGGTGCTATGCTACAAGCCCGTCAGCTAGGAAAGGCCCTTTACGTGGGGATACACTCCGATCAAGCTATTCTCGAGAACAAGGGTCCGACGGTGATGTCACTGGAAGAACGGTTGGTTTGATGGCATATTGGTCTAGCTATTTGGGTCTGACTCTAATGTTGCTGTGATCTAGTGTCGCAGCCGTTGACGCCTGTCGATGGGCCACTCAGAGTGTTCCCTATGCCCCCTACGTGACCTACCTACCCTGGGTATCCCACTATGGATGCAAATATGTTGTCCACGGAGACGACATCACTTCCGACAGTGATGGAAACGACTGTTACCGTTTCGTCAAAGCTGCTGGGCGCTTCCGCGTTGTCAAACGTACGCCAGGCATATCGACAACCGATCTTGTTGGCCGCATGCTGTTGTGCACCAGGAACCACTTTGTCAAATCTGTGAAGGGTACACTCGCTGGACTGGAAGGGTATGGAAGCCCGGAGGAGCGCAAGGCTTCTGCTACAGATCTTTTGCAGAGAATTAAGGATTATGCGACGGATGAGACTGGTCTTCAGCCTGGGCCTCAGGTGTGGACATGGACCGGCTCGGGCGCCGCAAAGATGGATCACGTCGCTGAGGAGGCTGGCCTGTTCGAGACGTTGGTCGATGGAAAGGGACCCAAACCCGGGCAAAAGGTTGTTTACGTTGACGGAGGGTTCGACCTCTTTTCCTCCGGTCACATCGCATTCCTGCGCAAAGTCACAGAGCTTGAGGAGTCCGAGGGCCGGAAACGTGGCTGGTATGAGCCAGACCAAGTTGAAAAGAGGCTGAAAGACTTCGGAGAGGACTATGCACCAGCCTATATTGTCGCAGGTATCCATGATGACGACGTGATCAACCATTGGAAAGGCTTGAACTACCCAATCATGAACATTTTCGAACGTGGTCTCTGTGTTCTTCAATGCCGCGTAAGTTCTCCCTGGTTTGCTTTCCTCTGTTTAATTTGCTAACCCTTGGCTCAAGTACATCAACGCTGTTATATTCTCTGCGCCATTTACCCCCAGCGAACCATACTTGAAGGCAATCCCATGGGGCACTCCCGATGCTGTCTACCATGGACCCACAACCTTCATCCCGCTAACATATGATCCATACACTGCTCCCAAGAAGATGGGAATCTTCCGGGAAGCCGAGCAGCATGCCTTCCAACACGTGAACGCTGGCGAAATTGTTGGTCGGATCCTGAAAAGCCGTGAAGCTTATGAAGCTAGGCAACGTGCCAAGCTGGACAAGGCCATTGCTGAAGATCTGGTGAAGGCAAAAGAGGCAGCTCAAGCAGCTCAGTAGGCTGTCGAGTTTTGTGCCCAAGAAATACTAATTATGTAATGAAGATCAACTGTACATATGATGTTAAACCTCATCAACTGGGGTTTCTTCTTGAACAAGTGTCTTCTTGAACAAGTGTCTACCTCATTCGTTTGCATGGCGACTTGTGACAATTTGGTCTACTAGAGCAGATAGATTGGAGATTACCTTCCATTTGTCAAATCGAGAAAACAACTATCTGACCAGCAGGATATTAGGACCAGAATACATTAGAGACAAATAATTTTACAGAGACAGCCATCTATCAAATTGATAGGCTGATATCTTCCACTCAGGCTCGGCTACTATTTATTCATCCGCCGCAACCAGAACACCCTTGGTCTCCAGAAGCTTTGCAAGCTCACCATTTTGGTGCATAGACATCAAGATATCACAACCGCCAATGAACTCCTTGTCGAGGTATAGTTGGGGAATAGTGGGCCACTCAGAGTATTCCTTGACACCTAAAAACGCAGCACAATTAGCAATCCAAATCCGGTAGGAAGACCATCCAAGATAATCCCATCATACCTGAACGCAGCTCCGCATCCTCCAGCACGTTGAAAGCAACAAACTTCTTGGGATCGACACCCTGCAGGCCTAGGATTTGAATGGTGGCACGGGAGAAACCGCATTGCGGAGTCTCGGGCGTACCCTTCATGAACAGAACGACGGGGGCGGAAGAGACCGCCTTATCAATCGCCGTCCGGGTTTCGTTGGACAGAAGGCGTGCATGGAGGACAGAAGGAATAGCAGGGCCCGAGGGGAACTGGATGGCCGAGCGGACGGGGCGCAAAAAGGTTGGCCGTGAGACCGGGCGGAAAGCCTGCGGAATTCATATTAGCTAGGGAAATCTTGAGAATATTCTATACGTACCGATGCAACTGCTCTGGAAAACATGATTTTGAAAGTGATGGTAATTTACAGAAGTAAAGTTGCCTCGGGGAAAGTCTTGGGAGGTTTAGTATTATTTAATCAGCGGTTGGTCCGACGTTCCCCACACATCTAAGCTCTCTAGGGCTCTATCAACCACTCATCTTTCTTTGTCTTTTGACTTCTAAGCCTTTTTATCTAAGGTAATGGATTCAATATCTACGCCCTTTACTGCACAGCAGTATACAAATGACAAGAAGGTTCATGTCCTACTAGCAGCAGCTACGATTAAGCTGCCCAACATTGCAGAGGCGCTATGTCGTAATAAAAACATCTCAGTCCGCATCCTAGTCACTGAACCTGAACCAGCGGAGAAGTTTCTTAGCGGGCAGAGCTCGAAGCAGCCTGTTTTTGACACTCTGCTTCAAATAGATGGCGTGGACGCTATCTACCGGGATGTAGATGAATGGTCTCCGTCGTGGACGCGTGGGGGACCAGTACTGCATATTGAGCTACGCAAATGTCAGTGACTATGTAGATATATGATACATGATACAATGAACCAACTGACATAATAATAAATAATAGGGGCGCATATTCTACTAGTTGCTCCAATGTCTGCAAATACTATGGCGAAAATGGCCAATGGGATCGCTGATAACCTGCTTCTCTCGGTCATCAGGGCCTGGGATACCACTGGAGTAGTGGATATGGGATTCAAGGCTCAGAAACCGATGGTATTTGCAGCATTGGATATGGACACCTGTATGTATAGACATCCAGTGACCGAGAAGCAGCTTAAAGTCCTACGTGATGACTGGGGATGGAGTGAATTAAACCCAAATGGCTGGGTGACTGTGCTGCCTCCCATAGAGAAGAGCCTAGCCCATGGAGATGTCGACACCGGATATATGATGGACTGGAGAGATATTGTCACTGTCGTCCAAAACCACGTGGCGGGATCGGCGCAGAAGCCGTGAAAAAAAAATAAGAACCAATCCTTCAACGCCTATTTATATTGTTACATATTTATTGTGTCAACTCGGCCACACGCTCCGGCTCCGTCGTATTGTACAAACCAAGGTACTGCGTCGCATACTCGGCGAGCAAGCCCAAGGAGATCCCACCACCAGTCAGCAGACATCCGTTTTTGAACCACCACCAGCAGTTCTGAACACTCTTCAACTGAACCTTCCGAATCATGAGACCAAGCGACAAAGCAGCACTACCGCAGCTTCCAACGAAGAAAACAGGTCCGCAACCGGCAGCAACTCCTGCGGCCGCGAGGAGCGAGACCTGAGTCACTGCCAGACCACTCAGGATAGCCTTAGTATTGTGCTCATGGCGGAGAGCAATTGACTTGATCCCGGCCTTGACATCGTCTTTAATGTCCATGTGTGCATAAATCATATCGTACAGAACTGTCCAAGCAATACAGCTGGAATAAAGGGCACCTGCAGCCACCAAGGCGTCATGATTTGAAAGCAGATCCACACCCAACGCTGGGAATCCCATAATTGCTCCCCATGAAAAGGCAAGACCCAAGACAGCTTGCGGGTAATTGGTCACGCGCTTAGCAAGCGGGTAAGCCACCACGATAGGCATACTAGGAATCCCATACCAAAGACACTGAGTAGGGAACGAAAGAAGCACACTCAGTCCAGCCACCAATTGTGAACCCGTAAAGAGTACCGCCTTTTTCGGCGAGAGTGCACCTCTGGCAATGGGTCGGAACTTGGTGCGCTCAACGTGAGGGTCCAGATTTCGATCCCATAGGTCATTGATCGCGCAACCTGCGCCGCGCATGATAAGCGCACCGGAAAAGAAGAGCGCTGCTGTGCCCAGCACATGGAGCGGTGCGGCACCGACCATTGGCGCAGCGAGGAGAGTAGAGAAGAGAGTTGGGAAGAATAGGTAGTATGTGCCTGTGGGCTTGTCTAGCCGCACCAATTCCGCATACGGTATCCATGAACTCGGCAGGGACGCGATCAAGCCTGTCTTTGGTGGGGTGTAGTGAGTGGCTGGGTTCTTATCTGCACTATCCGTCTCGATTGGTTGTATTGCGGGCGATTGCAACTGCGAGCTGTGCCGGACTTGGGTTTGAGTTGTTCGCAAGGCATACGAGGTGCCAGCAAGAGATCGGCTGCCTTTCAATTGCGTTGAGGAATAGGCATTGTGAGTGAGTGTAGAAAGGCGCCCATTGTACAGACCAGTGAAGTTGGCCTTCCTGTATGGGGATAGTCGAGCGCGGAACAGACGGGAGCTGGTGGAAAGCATGGTGAGGGTATATCTAGAAACCGAACATGGGTCAAGGTGATTGGAAATTGGCAATATTCATATTCCTCCCAAAAGCCTTGAAGGTCTGGCCATCTGAAGATCTGAGACGGAACTTACATCGTCATGCAGGAAAAAGCGGCTTGTTTCCCCCTAAGCCTATTTGGGACATCAGATCTATGAAGTCGCGTTACAATATATTGAGATTACTAATTATACAACTGAATATTATAAAGGTACAACAGTGCCGAGGAAACGCACCATGAGGTCGTCGATAGCTATTAACCGGCCCCTTACAAAAATTCCCATCTGTATAATTAGGGCCCATATGGAGTATTTTGGTGCGGCAGAATCATGGCAGAAAATAGCGGTGAATAAGGGTGGTCACAGACTTTTGCGGTGCCACTGTACGGCTTAGCTCACATGCTGCAACAGGTGACATGCTAACCCAGACTAGGCTAAGCTAGCCCCACCACTTTTCCTCAGTCCCACATTTTTCACCTTTCACTAACCACTCCCACCAAACGCTTTTCAATATGTCAGGTCCACATCCTCAGTTCAGTCCTGCGTGTCCGATACCCTACATCCTCCACCCCGCGGAGCGAGTAGAGCAACTCAAAGCTTTTCTGCAGACTGATTTTGGCAAAGCCCAGCGAGTGAATGTTGAAGCTCTCATTCGCCTATATGAGAATGGCGAGCTTGGACCACGCCAACGAGGTGATCCCCCGATCTACCTTGTTGAGGGACGACGAGTCGAGAGGAACCCATGGGAAGATGACTCGGTACCCAATAACGCGATGAGATGGTGTGAGGTATATTTCAATATCCATCAACCCATTAGCTATCCATTTTACTGGTTCATATTAATGATATCTTTAGACGTTAGAATATCAGCAAATGATCCAGCAACAAGAACTACAGGCAAATATCATATAATCCTATATGGTATTATCAATAGTCTCAGGCTAATCATATGTCGTATTTTTATGACTATTAACCGCAGCAAATGGTCCAGTCGAGATCGGAAACTTTTCCTTATTCGAACACCTTCCATATGCACCAGGTATATCACAATCTAAGCTATATCAATGATGACTTGAGGTTATTAACTAACACAAACCAGCTACATGCCCAGATTAGGCTACCTCCCCAGTATGGCGGTAACGAACACTTGACACGGCCTTTCTTAGTCTGCAATGATACTGGAAGCAACGTGCTTACTGTCTTCATGTCCGATCTCCTGGCGCTTCAGTTCGATATGGTACTCCACGGTCCAGCCATGCAAGGCGCAACGCCAATCAATACCGCTAATGGCCAGGCCCTCCAGCCTCTAATATTTGTTGATATGCAAATTCTCACTTCTGCTTTTGTGGCACTTACCCCCTGGTTTCGAGAGACTGCTATTGTGAAGCCAAATAGCCCCACCTCGCAGAGGAAATATGGTCTACAGAGCGACCTACTTATCGTTTCTCATGTGTGATTGTCACACAAATGAGGGGTATAGCCTATCAAATCTTCCAGCTAAGCGCCACACAAGCTGCTCAGTACGCAATACTTGAACCAACAGAGGCTTTTCTCAATAATAAAGAAGCTACGGGCTTTAGCTGGGCGAAAACGCTACTAGGTCAGAGCTCTTGGATGTCTGCGCAGTCGCCACGTGTCAAATTGGCGGTGTGCTTCAGAATCCAGATTCTTCTTAATAGACTTGATAAAATTCAGGCGATTTATGCCATAAGGACTGATCACATAAATAGCAGTCCCGTCCGACTTTTCTATTTCTGCTGTCTTGAGAGAGACAAATTGACAAATGATGATATAGCTATATGATATTAAAATTACAATAAGCCTCTATTCGTATATACAAGAAACAGTCTTGTCGATTGACACTGAAGTGTGCGCGTCGCTTTCTTACCTGACCAACAGGCCTTTCTACCCTGCAAAGTAGATTATCTCATAACATCTTTTGATATGCCAACTTCAACGTTCAGCTTCTCGGAACCGGTTGGAACTAGTTGTTTTCCGAAATAGTAGTGTTCGAGTGGGCCTGCGTTAGCGGCGATGTGCTCTCCACCAGAGTAGTCTATATAGGACTGGCTGACAAGGTAATCTGCACAGTCGCGTTGTTCAATATCAAAGCCCTTGCATTCTTGAGGGTACATTGGTCTATTGTGGATTAGGAGTCCCGAATCTCTACTGGGTCCCACTGATCACCGCTAATAAGGCTGAGTGACGTTATTGCTCTGGCTCTTTCCCCAACATAAATTAATATTCCAACGTGCTTTAGAGATGGGTTAGGTGGGAAAGTGAAGCTCAAATTAGGATTGCTCTGAATAGGCAGCATATCCCGACTGTTCTGTACCTCGTAGCAGTTATTTGTGTCAAAATGGGGCTTAGGGGACCGCAAGAAAAGGAGACATGGAAACCTTGAACCTTCAAATGTTTATTGGGGACCGTTCATGAAGCAGCCCAAAAGTTTCTTCATCCATATTTCGAAGGAATTCTGTTCCTAGGATCGACGGAAGTGTTTCTAGGAACATGACCTAGTGTTCTAGGATTAATATACCTCCTAGGATGGGTGTTTATGTTCCCAGAGACAGATTTTACACTCCTAGGAAGCTAACCCGCGATCCTGAGAGCTTCAAACCCCTTCCTAGGAGTAACCGTACCCATCCCGGGACCACAATTTTCGTATGAGTCTAATAATGCTTTAGTTCGGTGGCAAACCTAAGTCTGTCCGCATTAGAGCGGGCGTTCAAGCGGCGGCTCGCTGTCCAAAGTTACGGGTGGAAAGGAGGCTGTTTCTGGCGCCAGATGCTGTCATTTTCGGCGTCGTTTTCACAGGTCCCTATATTCTAGTTGTAAATTTAAGTAAAAGGATGAAATAAGATGGTTCACGTGTATATTGTTGCCTGAGGCCGTAAAACGCGGCATCCCGCGTTCCCCAGTTGATGATCTCCAAAATTGAAGGAATGAGTATCACTTTCTTTCACATCCCTCAATCTCATTTATTACCTCTCAACTCTTCCAAGCTTAATCTGACATTTCTAATTCCCGATTCCATCGATTGTGTAACCCACTCCTCTGCTCCTTCCCACTCCGCTCGATTACCTCCCAACCATCACGCTCGCGCAATAGAAACAGCAAAGAACAGTACAATCCACCCAGCTAGTCGGCAATTCTGGGTCACAGACAACCTCAGCCTTGGCTCCGACTACCAACCGTCTGCCTCAGGCCATGAACTTCACTCCTGCGATCTTGTCACCGGATACAATCAACTAAACATCAATTGATATCTTGCCCCCTCTGGGGCTTTGCGCTCGCCATGCCGGCGCATCGAACTCGCCTGGCTTTCGAGCCACTCTCGCCTCTCCTTGATATTCACCAGGTTGTGGAATCCACTCCTAATTTTGAGTTTGCGATGGAAATCACATGCGATTCAATTGACGACTTTCCCCTTGAAGACTTTGAGAAGCTAGTCTTGTATCAAGTTGCCCTGAGCGGGAGACCATTGGTCATCAGAGGATTTCAGAAACGTCTTGATAATGGTCTTTTCTCGGAGAAATGGCTCCGAGAAAAATATGCAAAGAAAGGTGAGCTCGCGTTATTGAATCATCTAATCTTTCTTTGGGTGATACTAACTGTTCCTAATAGTTGAGGAAGTTCGAGATATAGGGAGAAAGAGGACACAAAATTTCACTATGGGCCACTACCTGGAAAGCCTGCCACTGCTCACTCGGCAGGTTACTGTGCACAACTACACAAATAAAGATCTCCAACGACTCTACCTCAAGGATATCGACTGCCCTCCCGAGTGGCGCGCTTATCTTGAAAACCTGTTACCCCCTTCACTGTTCTACCTGAACGAAGTACCCAAGTATTTTGAAGGACCTGCCTCGCAAAACACGAACCTGTCTGACATTCCCAAGTCCACAGAAGGCGAATTCATCGCACCAGCGGGCGATTTGATGAGCAGTCTACCTCCAAGCATGCGGGCGGAGAACCTGATGTGCTATATCGGCCATGAGGGCACTTACACGCCAGCACACCAAGAAATGTGCGCCAGTCTCGGTCATAACATAATGGTTGATGCATCCGACGGGAGTCCAGAAAATGGCAATCCAACAGAACCAGGTTCGTCAATCTGGCTCATGACAGAGACCAAAGATCGGCGGATTGTGTCTGAATACTGGATGTCTGTTTTGGGACATGATATTGACATTGAGGATTTCTTTGCTCCCTTGCATGCATGGGAGATTGCACCATTCAAGACGTGGGTAGTTGAGCAGAAACCTGGTGACCTTATTCTTGTACCCCCTCTTGCTGCACACCAGGTTTGGAACCGCGGCACTCGGACGATGAAAGTTGCATGGAATCGCACTACCGTGGACACGCTCGAGCTGGCTCTACATGAAGCCTTGCCGCATGCGCGAATGGTCTGCCGTGACGAGCAGTACAAGAACAAAGCCATTGTTTACTATACTCTTGATCGGTATTCAAAATTGTTGCGGCAAGCAAAGTCAGTCGACCATCCTATTGTCGAACAAATGTGGGTTGATTTCAAACGGTTATTCAACCTGTACAAGGACATTTTGTTGTCTGAGTCCTTCTCCCAAAAAAAGCCAGAGAAGAACGTTGAGTATGTTGAGTTCCAAAGCAACGTCACCTGCTCATTTTGTCGGTGTAACATCTTCAACAGGTTTCTTACGTGCCCTGGCTGTGTAAATTCCCTTGGTGACGAAGAGGACCCTTATGATGTATGCATGGATTGCTACGTTATGGGTAGAAGCTGTGGCTGTGTTTCCAACCTCAAATGGATGGAACAGTTTCCATGGAAGCATTTAACAGAACGGTACGAGACATGGCGACGGCTGATCATTTCCTCTAATGAGAACGATAAGGATCTGAGGGTTCAGTTCCCTACTTTCATTGTCGCCCGCGGTCAGGTGGGCAAGAAGTCTGTAGCGGAGATATGCCAAGAGCAACTGGTGCGCCGCCCCTGGAATGACCCAAAGAATCCCAAACCCGTGGTAGACGATGCGATCGAAGATGCTGGTAGCGAATCCGAAGGGAAGAGTCGGTCTAAAAAGCGCCGCAAATTGCGGCAGCAAACTTTGGCCAAAGCAAATAACGTCCACCGCTGCCACGTTTGTCTTCATTTTGAAGTCGACTGGAAGCTTGCAAAATGCTCAAACTGTGACCAGCGTTATTGTTATGGCAGTTTGTTCCGCGCATTTGAGATTTCCCCACAGGAGGCGATGGAAAAATATCACTGGCTCTGTCCAAAATGCCGTAAGGAATGCAGTTGTGGTGCTTGCCAGCGCGACCCATCTATGAAGCCATACGAACCTAATTGTACTATTCTGGGTCACGACACTAGTAAGGTTGCCGATCCCCGCAGCATCGAGACCTTGGTAGATTTCCGGAAATCGAATCTATGGTGGTTGAAGAAATTTGGTGATGATGTTCATGGACGCATTCAAAAACGCCAGAAGGAAGCCGAGGAAGCCGAAATAGAGCGACAGAAGACCCTTGAAAACCAGGGCTTCAGCTTCGAGTCCAGCCCATTCGACCAGCCAGTACAGAATGAGAATGGAAACGATGAAACCTTACTGGTCTTTGATGAGAATGATGGGGGTATCCCCGTTGATCCATCGTTGGTGGTCCAGGGCTCTGTTGCGAGCCCAAGCACTTGAATCGGCTCCTTGACTTTGCTTGCTTTGAGGATACGACAGGGATCACTTGAAAAAAGAGAAGAAACCATCGTAAGTTTCTCGATAAATGTGTTCCCACGATTAGATGACCACTGGAATTTTGCAAATGGGCTTTTGATTCAGAAGTTAGGAAGGATGTGTGATTTGTGATTCCCCGAAGGGTTTATCTCTTCTGCGACACCATGGTTTAACAAAAATCTGGCTGTACTTTAATGATGGACATATGTATTCAAGTTGAAATCAAGTTGAATTCGTGAATTAATACTGGTTAGGCACCTTTGTACTCGTACTGGAGATCCTTGAGGGATGCAAGGTCAACAGAGAGCATGACCTTTTGAGCAAGCAGAATCACTGCAAGCATGACTATACATAGTTAGAATTATATCATTCAGCCGAGAAGGAAGAGACCTACTTCCAGGAATCAAGTATAGCACTGGTCTGATCCCATAAGATGATCCTGTAGAAAGACAGACCAAAGCCAGCAACAGGCAAACTGCACTGGTGCCAGGTACTAAAGCCGCATGAACTTGAGCCATACGTTCCGTGTGGGAGGTCATGGGTTTCTTCCCCTTGTGATCGGGCTGTAGAGGAGAGCATTTCATAATGTAAGCCGTTGTCAACAACGAGACAAGGCCTAGGAGCGAAAACAATCGTTCAGCCTGACTGGAGGCTGACAGCACCGAAGGCACAAATATCGTAGCAGCCAACAGTGGAAGTGTCGTAAAAATCATCTGGGAACATATTTAGCATAGATTCTCTTATATAAAAGAAAAGAAAGATATGTACACTGTACTGGGCATTGCGGGCATCATTCTGTCTCTGCAATTCCTCGATGACCCGTTCTTGTTCTTCTTCATCCAACTCCTCTCGCTCACCCTCTGATTCCTCAGGGTATCGAAACGCCTTTCGTAATCTCACTGCAGCCATTTCTTGAAATTCAAAACAAAAAACAAAGACGTATCCCCAGCCGTTGGCGGTTGCAGTGACGTCGAAAGGTTAAAGCTGTTTGTCTTGTTTGGCACTCTTTTCTTCCGCAACTCCCCCCCAAATCCAACCACCAGCCCGCAAAACACCAAATAAACACCCCCCCAAAACACAGCTATGTCCTTCTTCCGTGTATTTACGCGGCGCGCCGCGCTCGCCCGGAAACCCACACGGCCCAACACAATCAGCCGACGGACAATGATGCCAGCCCCCGGCCCGAACGCAGGTCCACTGCTAGAACGACGTGCGGACCGAGAGCTACCGAACCCCAAGCCAGGCCGAAAGTGGCTTCTCACATTCCCTATTTTCGCTTTGGCGACGGGTGCAGGCATGCTTGGACTCTTCAATTACCAGAAGTCGTCGTCGAGTATCGTGAACAGCACGCTGTATGCGTTGCGGACGTCGCCGCAGGCTCGTGAGATCCTCGGCGATGAAATCTACTTTGCGCAGCAGATTCCGTGGATCAGTGGTGAGATGAATCAATTGCATGGTCGCATTGATATCTCGTTCTGGGTTAAGGGGACAAAGGCCCAGGGCAAGATGAGGTTCCGCAGCATTCGGCCGGATCGTATGAGCTATGTGAGTTTTTGGTCTATTTGGTTTATGTCGTGTTCCGTTCGCTAATTTTTGTTTTCTTTATAGTTCCGTACTGAGGTATGGAGTCTGGAGACTGAGGATGGAAAGGTGGTCCAATTGCTCGACGGTGATAGCGATCCCTTCCGGAAGAACTGAATATTCGGGAGAGAAGTGTACAGATACAGTAGTGCATTGGCTCGGGCGTTTGGTGACATTCTATATTGGGTCCATTTGTTGCGTTATCACCTTGGCGAGGCCATTGGTTTGTTTTCTCAATGGCTAGAGAGAAAAAAGGAAGAAGGATATCATTTTTTGTATCATATACAAACGCCGCTCAAGTCAAACAATATCGCGCGTATGGTGTAATAGTACATGGTCAGAACTAATAAAAAGAAATCTCCAATCAAGCAGTAGCAGCTTCAGCCGACTTTGCCTGTGGCACTTCGGGCCATGGCTTCTTGATGGCGTCCTGAATTCTCACAACGCAGCCCTTGGGACCACTGACGGCACCTGAAGCAAAAGAAGATACATTAGCAAAAGAGAATCCGGGACTCAGAGCAGCTCGAGAATCACATACCACTGACAACCACAATACCGTTCTCAGAATCCACCTTGAGAATCTTCAAGTTCTGAACAGTATTCTGATTATTGCCCATGTTTCCAGCCATCTTCTTTCCGGGATAGACACGAGAACCACCACCCTGACCGGGACCAGATGAACCCATCGAACGATGCGTCAAACTAACACCGTGACTCCGATCCTGACCATGGAAACCGTGTCTCTTCATGACACCAGCAAAACCTTTACCCTTAGTATTGGAGCGAGCATCAACAAACTGGCCCTCCTGGAACCAGCCTGCCTCAATACTCTGGCCAACAGGCATCAGGCCGGTCTCGTCCTTAACACGGAACTCGAAGATATGGCGCTTAGGGGAGAGCCCATTAGCCGAGAAATGTCCAAGTAGCGACTTGGTCACGTTACTCGGGTGTTTCCAGCCAGCACCGACCTGCACAGCATAGTAACCGTGTCTCTCACGGGTCTTGTGAGAGATAACCTCAACACGATCCAGCTGGAGAACAGTGCAGGGGATGCGCTTTCCAGACTCGGGATCGTAGATAGCAGTCATGCCCTTCTTGATACCGATAGCACCAGTGCGGAGAGGGAGCGAATTGGCTTTGCGGCGGAGAGCTGCTGTCGATGTCGACTCGAGGACTGGCAGGCCGGGCCCGATATTGAATCGACTGGGTTTGGGCGGGTTGAGGGATCGGATTCCGAATGAGCGCACAGGGATCCGGGGAGTGATCAATGGGGCACCCCATACGGGTGAGAGCTGAAGTAGCCCTCCTAAGCGCGGCGACATGGTGGGTTGATATTGGGATGGAGATTGGAGTGCTGGCTGAGAAGGGAAGTTTTTGGTGTTGGAGCTTAGTCAGCACATATGCAGGTCGAAGTATACAAATTCATCGCAGTCATGTTCCATGCGTTTAACATATTTAACTATGTTGTAAGACTTATTGTACAAATAATAAGGGGAAAGCTATAGACATCATCTAATCACTCATCTATCATCTACCATCTACCAACCCCTTCCAAAATTAACATCAACACAACCCGCATTAATCCCTAACTCCGGCAAAGACACGCCAGCCCGATCGGACCGGAAGCCGAAAACGCCGAAAAACAAAAAAAAACGACCGAATTCCATGTCCTCAACACCAATCCCTCATTGAATCACACAACACCCTCATTCCAACAAGGGGAGAACAACTCCAACCCACCATGTCCCTCCGCCCAACCCTCCTCACAAAATGGATCTCGCGCCCTAGCGATATACTCAAGACTCCAAGCTTGACCTCATACCTCCACTCCTCTACCCGTCCATTCCTCCCGCGCCGCAGCACAACTTTCCCTTCGGGAGCACAGGCCTCACGACGAAGCTTCGCGACAGCGCGCTTCTCAACGCACACCCGGCCGGGACCGAACTCGTTCCAGTTCAAACAGCGCCGGTTCAATTCCGGGTCGGCTGGTGGTGGCAAGGGATCGGCTGGAGCTGAGGAGAAGGCGTCGCTATCGCAGCGGTTGAAGAAACTCTCGCGGGAGTATGGATGGGCTGCGCTGGGCGTGTACCTTGGATTATCTGCGCTGGATTTCCCATTCTGTTTTGCGGCTGTACGATTGCTTGGTGTTGAGCGCATTGGATACTATGAACATGTTGTTGTTGGATTTGTTAAGGATAAGTTTAAGAGTGTGTGGCCGCAGACTAAGGAGTCTGAGTCGGAGGATGGGCAAGGACAACTTGCTCAAGCTGAGGAGCGGAATCAGGAAGAAGCTAGTAAGTTCTGGTTTGTTTTTTGTGACGGTTGAGGTTCTGATTGGTTTTTGCAGGTATCTGGACGCAGTTGGTTTTCGCTTATGCCATCCATAAGAGCTTTGTGTTTATTCGAGTGCCGTTGACAGCGGCCGTGACGCCGAAGGTTGTGAAGACGCTACGTGGATGGGGGTGGGATATTGGGAAGAGGAAGCCCAAGAGTACCTGAAGGTGATGTGATTATATATGTAGCATAGCGGGATTTGGACCATTGTACATTATTAGCCATTCAACTCTCTAATACAATACTTGTTTTTAATTTTCTTTTGCTTTCTCTCAACTTTGACGATCTACATATAAACAACAGACCCAAGCCCAGCTCTATCTCCAGCGCCCAAGATGAGATAGGAAATGACCAACATCAAGAAAGAGAACGCCAGGGTCTCTCTGCTGTCTGAAATAACTAGCAAGGAGCAAACAGAGAACACGCAAACACAGCAAATATGGCGTAACTACCAAGGCTCGTAATCTTCGTTGAAAAAAATTAAATTGCGACGTATGTAAAGGGCGCTCCCAAAGGAAAATCGAGGGTGAATCGGATCACATGTCGATCATATCGTTAAATCTCAGAATGCCGTTGGCTTTCATCACACCGTTGACACCCTCAGGCATACGGTATGCCCATTCAGCAACACCCATTGTATCGGTGGCGGGTAGCTCTTCAAATCGATCTGACTGACCGGATTCATCTGAGGTGTCGGCCACAAGGACAAGACCAAGCTCCTTGATAGTTTCGACGAGTGCGGGAACGACATTCTACAAAGTGGTTAGTAGGTGAACTAAAGGGGAAAAAAGAGACCGGAAATAGGATCACACATACCAAAAGGCTAGATCTGCAGATCAGGCCCATAAAGTTATTGCTCTGGGCAATACGAGCAGACTCCTTGATCGACATCGAGGCCCGGCCACTGCTATTGACATGGGGCATCGAGTCGACATTCGCAGCCAGGTCCCGAATTTGACCAAGATCGTTGCAGAGAAGAACAGGATCTAGAGAGGGAGTTAGTATCAAGCAAAAGTTGGGCTGTATTCCAAGTGAACTCACAGTTAGGTTGCTTCCAGTTGAGAGCACTGCAAATGTTCGGGTTATAGGAGGTGAACACCACGGAACGCATGAACTCTGGGTTCCGGTCACGAGCCTCGCGGGCGTGGTCGAAAACATCGGTCAGGATAACATCGGCAAAGGTATTGACATCCGCCAAAGAAGTCATGCCGAGCTTCTTCTCCTCCGCAGGCGATGGGTAGAGGAGGGAGATATTGACATTCAAGTCAATGGGGAGGTGGCCCAAGACATCACGTAACGAGAAGAACGACTTCGCCAGGAATCGGTGAGTCTCTGGCATATCATTCGCCGCTTCTTTTTCCAAGAACTGGAGGATCTGCGAACTATTGGGCTCGCGGGCTGCGCCAATGGCCTGGAATTGGGCATATGTCAAATGAGACACTGGGATGTCAATTCCGTGGTGGTTGATCATAAATTGCGGATAAAGGACTGCGACATGGTCCCGGGTCAGTTGTACAAAGAGCTGAACATAATCTCCCGACAAACTGGAACCAGTCACCAGTCCATTGTGCTCTGAGTCTAGAGCACTGGTGGCCTTCCAATATGTAGCAAAGTGTGTGATCTCCAGAGGATCGCCATGATATGGTTTGATGACTTGGAAGTTGAAGCGCAGCTGGCCGATTGAGCGGAGCCGAGGGTCAAATAGAGGCAGGCAGCCTGAGCCAGTGCTGGACGACTCGGCGCGGAAGATGTCTGGCAGGGCCACGCTCTTCGCAATAACCTTGGAACCAAAGGTAGGGAAGATCTCAAAGTCCACAGCAAAGGTGTCCAGGTTGTCCACATGGAACGATATTGTGCGTGTCTCGTCTTGGATGGGTAGCATGATAGTGCGAGGAATGAGGTCTGACAGCTTGGAAGAGATGGTCATGCGAGCAGCAGGATGGCGGCCTGCCTGATCAAAGGCGATAGACCCGACATTTCCTTGATCGAACAGAAGCTGAACGAATACTTTCTTGTCGAGGAAGTTGTGACCATAGCGGCGGAGAGGGATAATGGGGGGAGGCAATTCGAGATCTGGGATGCCATCGGCCATTTCCATTTCAGAGACGCTCGTGTCCAGGGACATCCGGTCGCCCATTGGGCCGGGTTCTTGCATCCGTACGCCATTGAGAATGTCAAGCGGTCCCAGTGCAGGCTTCCTGCCAGAAGGCTGTGCCCAGAGGAGGAGCATGCACTCCAGATGCCCTTCCCAGGCAGCATAGTACATAGACGAGAGGCCCTTTTCATCTGTGACCTGGGAATCAACCCCGCACTCTAGGAGGGTACGTAGGCAGGGGACGCAGCCTTCGCTGGCTGCGTGGAAAAGAGGAGTCCATTGATAAAGCTTGTCCTTCTGGTCGAGATCGGCACCGTGCTCCTTCAGCAGCAATAGTAACTCTGGCGATTGCGAGGCACGTGCAACCATATGCTGTGGGTAGAGGCCCTCTGCATCCGGCAGCAACTTTGCGTTTCGCTCGAGAAGCATCTTCGCGATGGGAAGAGAGCCGTGTTGACAGGCAAGGTTCAAAGGAATATGGTCCGGGCCCTTCAAGGGACGATTGTCCATCCCTTTCAAAGGAGGGGACTCGGGCTCCGGGTCAACGCGGGCATTGCTACATAGAACCTGTTCGGCGCATGCTAGCTGGCCCTTTACAATGCTGTGAATTAGGGGGGTAAAGTTGTCATGGTCCATGATGTCAACGGTGTGGGGGCCCGCCGCGAGCAGATGTCGCACCATATCCACGCGGCCGTGCATGCACGCGTAGTGGAGAGGAATTCGCCCATAGACATCGGCACGGGCGAAATCAACGCCTGCCTTCAGACCTGCGTGGAATACAAGTAATCGGCCCGAGATGGCCGCTTCGTGAAGACAGTTTCGTTCGTTGATATCGTCCTCAGCGTGTATGTCAATTAGTTGACTCTCCAATATCAGAGCAAGCACATCATCCGAGAACCCGTTGATGGCGGTCAGGAATGTACGGGTGGCGCGCTCACGGGCGTCTGGCAACTGTTGCAGCCTCGCCAGCCATTCACGTAGGGTTTGCAGATTGCCGGTGGATGCTGACTGCAAGATCTGGTTGTCCATTTCATCCTCTTCTGACCCCAAGGGCGCGGCGCGTTCCAGTGGACGTGAAGCGTCATATTGAATGTTCTCGCCCTCGGCCCAGGCCTCCAATTCTAGTCGTGCGGTGGTAGCTCTATCTGCAAGGTCTCGAAGAACTTCGCGATTGAAGCATGGTTGGACTTCGACAGCCCGATGCAGATATAGCTCTTTCATGCGAGATTTGGAGGTTTTATCCCATTTCTTAAGGATTTTGGACATGGCAGTCTCATTGATCTCAACAAATTGCTGCAGTTTGTTCAGGTCGCCATCGAATTGTTGGAAGCCTTCAAACATAGCCGCAAAATTCGACGGCGCTTTGGAATTCGAGGTCGCGCGGGATTGAGTTACCCGCTTCTTGTCGACCAATGTCCTTAGGCGTAGAGAAAACTAAAGTAATTTGATAAGTCTCGGGTATGGTTACGATATGCATTGGATAAACGGCCTTACCTCTGATTCTTTCTGGAGGTAGAAAGTGTTGACCTTCTCAATCTCTCGTTCCTATACGTCACGGTAAGTACATCCACATTCCCATATACAGTAGATTATTGTGACAACCTACCAAACGGAAGAAGAACACCTCCTTGTTTGCGCGCAAGGCGCCTTGAGGGTCCGCATTAGCTTTCGCAATTTCCTCGGCTGTTCTCTGTGCCGGGATAGTCGGGGTGGCGCTGAGTTGCTTGATCAGCTGTGAAGGAATCAGCCATGTTCATATTTCCTCGCAAAAGCGCGCATGTTAGACCAACCTTCTTCAGCGCCTTGTAGTTAACAAAGCTGGCGGCATATTCAGGAAGATCTAGCTGCCTGCGCTGGATCTGTTTACCGAACTTCCTACCAGGTTAAAACATATCAGTAACAGCTCGAGTAATGTATCAATCGGCAGTAAGAGCTGCAAGGAATACATACATGTTTACACAGTCTCGGAGAGAGCTTTAGCTCTCCCGAGCTCTGGAAATCGAGGTCGCAACAGTAGCGCAAGCTCAGCAAGACGAAGCTGAGGAGGAGAATGAGGGTTGAGCTGAATGTTGGTAGGGTGGAAGGGTGTCAATGGGAGACAACAAGACAGGGTGGGATGGCAAGGACACGTTTGAGACGAGAGTACGGCAAGAGGGGCCGTTAATGCGCAACGGGGAAGAATAGTGGGACAGAGTAAACGGAGTGACACAAGGTAAAATGTGTGACGTTGCGTTGGGACATAGATTATATCCTAAGAGTTGGAGTTGAATGGGATAGAGGTGGAATAGAGAGGGGATAGAGGGATGTAAGGATAGAGGACTCGATAAGTAGAAGCGGTGATAGAGATAGAGATAGCGGGGCAAAAAATTGGACCAGGTACTCGAAGAAGTGACCTCTATAGTTCCGAGGAAGGGAAAAGCTGAGGTGCGATTAAAGGTGGAGAGCTGTGTGAATCATCTATCGCCAATCACCGTGAACAGCGGACGCACGTTTTTAACTTACTGGTAGACACGGAAATGTATTTACCCTTTACTTTTACTACATTTAGTAGATTTTGTCGATTTAGTATGTTTTATTAAGTTTTTTAGGATATTTTAGTATATTTTAGTATCAATTAGTATTTAGCAAAAGTATATTTACGCGTCTTTCTAACATCTACTCCGTACTCCGTACATGTATGTACCTTCGATTCTACCCGCATACTATCAATGTACTCCGTATACTTGGTAGAATTCAAAACTTCCATTTCAATATACCAACAAAGAATTCAACGGGTTAAATTCACACCCATATCATTGCAAATCTCGAGTATGTCCACATGGAAAACACCATGCCCAGAAATGTACATGCAGCTCCTTAACACTTCCACAAACAAAAACAAACATAAACGAGGTCTGTAAAAAAAAAAAACAATCGAAAACGAGCTATGCAGCTGAGATCAGATGCGCGGGATATATCAAACACAGAGATGACCATACCAAATCAAAGCCTGACAGGCCGATTAAGGGGGTGGAGAGAGAGAAAAAAAAAAAGGAAAATAAAGTGTAGAGGACAATAGAGACATGACGAAGTGAAGGTCCATCGCGCCGGGAATTGGAACATGAGAGACCCGAAAAGAACGAATGAAGTCGGCGGTGGTTAAAATAGAAAGAGCGTGTGTGGTATTGTGCAAGGTTAAAAACAAAAGGGGAATGCTGAGCTTTTGGAGATCAAACATTATTGAAATCCGAGTCAAGTCGGGCCATTAGAAGTTCTGCGCGATACCGGCATTCCCCTGTCGAGGATAGACACCGGGGTTCTCGATACGGGTATTGCGGCGAGCCTGGACATCGCGGATCACAGGCTGGTAGTCCTCGCCACCGTATGCACCGTGTGTGTTGATGTCGCCATAGTACGGGTTCTCACCGTAGTAACCACCTGAGGGGTGGGCAGCGGACATGTGACTTTCCTCCGATGCTTCGGACCGGTTGGCTGTCGAGTAAGCGGAGGATGCATTGGAGGGGCCACGGTGGATATCCCCGTTGCGGTTGTTCGCAGCCACTGGGGCGGCACCCAGCACGCCGATGGGTTCAACAATCTCGCCAGAGTCGGGCCGAGCGCCATCAGAGTATTGAACGGTGCCTTCGCTGGGTGTTGCACCATGGTGATAACCGGGGCTGCTTCCTTCCGACATGGCCAGACCACCCATTCCACTAGAGAGGTTGGTGGACGCCTTGCGCCCGGCAGAGGTGGTTCCCCAGCCGCGGTAGCCAGAGGATTCGTCGTCCTTAGGAATCACGACGCCTGCCATACCGGGAAGAGTTGGGTCATTGTTCGGGTTGAATCCGTACTCCTCTACTTCCTTGCGGCGCTCCTCCTCGGCCGCCTTGTTCGCCTTGCGCTTACGCCAGAAGAAGAGCAGCGCCAAGATAATCAACGCCACCGAAGCAACCGGCACAACCACTGCGACGGCGATTGTGCCGCTGGGAGAAAGACCGCCAGAGGAGCCTGCCGCCGAGGTGGAAGTTGCAAGCGCGGCCGAATCGGTTGCGCTGATAGACGGGCCACCGGTATCAGTGGCACTCTGGGTGGACGTGACAAAAATCACAGTGGTTCCCTGACTACCACTGGAGGTCGAGGGGAAAGCTGTCGTCTCGGGGGTTGAGGTGGTGGACGGGGCGGTTGTAGTGGAAGAAGTGGAAGAAGTGGAGGTGGACGAAGTGGAAGTAGTCGGAGTGGACGTGGACTCGGGGGTCGACGTGGTAGGCTCGGTCGTGTGAGTGCTACTAGTACTGGTCGTAGTGCTGCTGGTGGTAGTCGGTTCAGTGGTAGTAGATGTGGGAGCAGCCGTAGTCGAAGAGGTTGTTTCGGTGGAAGCGGTGGTAGGTTGGGTAGCAGTTGCTCCGGTCCCAGCAGATGTCGAAGTCTGTGCAGCAGTATCCGCAGGAACAGGAGCGCTAGAGCCGCCTAGGGCGGCGGCGGCGGCGGCACCGGCTTTGGATGCCATCTTCAATAGCAACGTTGGTCAATGTTGGACACGGATAGGTGAACCCCGGTGAGATTGGCGGTTGTCAGGATCAAAAGTGATCCTGAACCGCGACACCGTTCGGCGAGTTTTGAGATAGTCGGTATAATTCTGGATGCGGAAATAATTTCGGAGCTGAATCAGACTAAGAGTCACACAATGTCGAATCCGAGTTAATAGATTTAACGAGAGACTGCGGTTTGAACGCGTAAGGAGAGATGATAGTGCTCAGGGGGAAAATTGGGCGATATCTCAGGTGAAATAGAAGAGAAGATGGGGGAAAAAGAAGAAAAAAAAAAAAAAAGGGAAAAGGATGAAAAGAGAGATGAATACTCACGATCTCTCGCCGAATCTGGTAGCCATGAGATGAGAGAAGTGTTGTGTGAGAGAGAGATGGAAGTGGGAAAGTGGAGATTTCTTACGATTGCGGCGTATCCGCATTCCTAGTTGTATTAATAGACCTTATTATTTTACTTTCTCCAGGGCTGTTTTCTCTGTTTTCTGCTTATAAGCACACTTAAGTACGGAGTAAGTTGTTCTAATTTATGCTACGCTTGAGTTGCAGTTGCATCCGTAACATGCTGTTTCTAGTAATCCCTCAATCCGGCCACCCATATATCTACCCTACCCATATGTAAATGGTTAATCAACATTTGAGATATCCTATCACTATGATACATACTCTACTACTCGAAAAGAGAATTGTGAAAAATTCTATATTTACCAATTTGTTTATTTGGTACCGAAAAAAAAAAAAACCAAGATGAGAGTACGAAGTACCCATGGTCCAGTAAGGAATCGCCGAGGCAGAATTCCAAGGTTACAATGGACTTGTTAACCTTCCAAGGTTGGAAGAATCCATGTACTCAGTTGCCACGATTCTGACTCTGATTCTTCAACGGTGTTTCTGTATTAATACGATCGGCATAATAATCTTGTTTTCTGCGTCTAGGCCGTTAGCACATATTGTTATGATCTCTCATATTTGCCCCTGACTCTCGGTCCGATGCCCCCACCCCAATTCCCAACTTCCCGTTGTACGCAGTCGAACGCTTAATTGTGGATCTACGGAGTTTACTCCGTATGAGTGTACTCCGTACTCCCAATCTTAAGAGATGTTCCAAGATTTCCAAGGTTCTCTTAAATCACTACCAATAATCCGAATATATACAGCCCATAGACCAGGCAGAAGAAATGGAATTTCAAAATGGTCACGGGAAAGAATCCAACCATCATCTATATACGCCATTGATAGCAGATTTCCAGACAAATAAAGGAGAACGAATATAAAGGGGGCGATGACCATCAACCCCCACAAAAGCTCAAGCACCGGGGGACCCAGATGATAAACAACCAAAAAAAAAACAGATCATCACGTGCTCTTATACAAGGTACCAAAACAACAAAGTCATGACATTGGAAAGGCGGCAAGCCCCCTTATGCGTTGTTCATATCCCACTTCGGGCGCAGACTGGCCATCATGTCGTCTTTAGTACCGACCGCGTCGGCCGGCAGACGACTGACACGGTAGTTGCCCATGCGGATATTATTCTGGTGATTAGCGGAGACGACCGTTCGAGCACTGCGGATACTACCCGCATCGCTGCCAGCACCACCCTCGTTCCTGAACCGGGGCGGAGGGACAAAGTCCAGGTTGGTGAATGTGCCAGATTTGCGCAGAGCGTGGGGGCTAGGCATCACGGAGAGCTCGTCAAAGGCAGAGGCCAGTGGCGTGTGAGCGCGCACACCAGGCATGTAGGGACGTACGCCGCCGGTGGGTGTCTCAGGGCGACCCGCACGACGGTCCTTGAATCCATTGGCCGGGGCAAAGTCCATGGCGCTCATGAGGGATTCGTCCGTCAACATATGAGGAGTAGGGAGGACTTGTAGCGGTGATGGGAGTGGGATTGGTTTCTTAGGACCGCGTGGCCCGGGCATGCGGCCGGAGGCAGAGGAGAAGGCGCGTGGCCCAGGCATGCCACCAGCAGAGTTAGTGGCCATATGGCGAGCGGCTCCCTGGAAGCGTGGAGGTGCTCGAGGTGGCGGCGTCATCGCACGACGGGTGACCGGCTCGGCGAATGGAGCAGCACCAGGAGTGGCATCATAATACTCGCCGGTAGTTGGGTCATAGATGAAACCAGCAGAATTACCACCATTCTCATAGAACTCGGGCCCGAAGTCCTCGTAGTATGTGGGCTCCTGGCCGCCCTTGCTCTCATCGAAGTACTCCTTGTAAAAGGAGCGAATCCGATTAGCACGCTGTTCGGGGTTGTCAGCCGGGTCCTCTGGGGGCAACGGGCGCAATCCGAGAGTCATCCGGCGGGTATCGCGGCGGTTATCATATGCCGCATCCAAATTGTGAGGTTCCTCTGGGAGTTCTGGATGCTTGTTATCGTGGCTTGGGGCATTATGTTGTTGTACGTTTTCTGCGCCATGGACGTTGACCACGGGGAGAGTAGATTGTGACTTGCGGTCATCCCCATAGTCACTACTGGTAACATCGCTAGCCGGCAGGGAAATACGAGGAAGGTGTGATGCAGGAGCCTGGCCATGGTTCAAGTCTCGTGATTGCGAAGGTTCGGGTAACGGGAAGTTGAGGCGCTCTTCATGCTGGTTGCTATGTGTGTTGCCGTATGTATCATCCAATCCGAAGTTTAAGCCCGAAGAGGAATCCAGATGTGGCAATGGCTCAGGCGATAGAACCCTGTTGCCATTGGGACTTCCAATAGCCATGCCGGGCTGTTGTGCAGCAGGTGGAGGTGTCACTCCGGGAACTTGCCCAAGGTAGTCATTGTGCTGGTTCAGAGGGGTGCGTCCATGAGATTCGGTAGGGGAGGAGTATAACGGCGGGGATGAACGAGACATCCTCTGTGCATTCTGGAGAAGACCCGAGCTGCCGTCATCTCCGAATCGGGAACCCACGAAACTCGCATCATCCCGTTGTCCCCTAGGGTACGACCGAATGGATGCAGTGGCCGGACGGTACTTGTCATCATCTATCGACATGGAGCGAATAGACTCCGGGGAACCTTTCAGACCCGGAGGCAACAGATATGGACCGACGTCAAGAGACAATCCCTTAGTATGGTTGGGTTCGGACATCGGGGGCATTCCATGGGGGCCTTTTCTCTTGGTCGCAGGCCCCACTGTATCCATTCCAAAATCGAGAGATTTATGTTTATCCATCGCATCTTCCCGCATAAGTTTCTTGACATGTCTTCGGTGAAGCACAATGAGGAGGATAATAGCACACAAAATAGGAACACCTGCACCGAGCACAACGGGCAAAACCGTCGTTGTCAGATTGCTAGTGGGCTTTTCTCCCGTAATTGTCGTAGATGCTTCAGATCTTGCCACGAGGGATGGAAGCTTGGTAGCTATAGAGGAGGTAGTAGGGACCAAAAATGGCAACCGATTCGGGGGGATGACATCCCGACGAAAGTGGTTTCGCATCACCATGCCGGCGTGGTGAGCATGAGGCATAGTCGATGTAGTCTGGTCTATAGGGATAGACCCGACTTGTCTAGAACGTGGAGACCGGTCAACACGTTTAAAGAGGCGATAGCCGCTCGAGATTGATGCTCGTCATTTAAGTTCAAGGTCACACGATTCGGAAAAAAAAGTCAGGAGTATCTCGACTGTGGGAAAAGAGTGACTATAAGCAATATAAAGGAGTGAACAGGACAATGTCCTCAAAAAGAGCCAGCCAAACAAAAAAAAGGAATGAATATGGGTCTGGATAAAGAGAAGAAGAAAAGAGGAGAAGGAGAGAAGAGTGAGTTCTAGAATAGTGGACTAGTGCCAATGTTTACAGAGATTGTGTATTATACAGGTACTCTATCTCCGCATCCCCCTGAGTCTTAATTTAGAACATAAATTTTGGATGTTATTTTTTATTGTTATTGTTTTTTTTGTTTCTGATCTCCCTGATCTCCTGATCTTCTCCAATCTACTCTTTTAGTATTTGATATTCAAATATACCTGCAGCAAGCAAGGTGAAGGGTAAGACACTGAGAACCTCCAGATACGGTAGGGTCAGGAACCCGCTCTCTCAGCCAATCGTTGAACGTCTGCCCCTGAGTTGGCAAGAGGGTGGGCACACTTTCAAAAGGTGGCTGTATCTTGGTTTATTACCTACGTTCAACTTGTGTATTTTGTGTACTCCGTATGTAAGGGCACAAGGGGGCCATTTCTTTTCCTTTTTTTTTCTGAAGCCCTCCGGCTATGCCAAGCCCTAACTCTTCATATTGGCTAATGCTTATCTTCAATACCTCTAGGACTGTTTACCTGGGAATAAATAAAGTCTACATACATTTCAATGAGTATCAACTTCATAGACGAATCTAAGGTGATCAAGGTGCCTACGATCAACCATGATTTCTAATTTCAAGGTGAGACGCCGGTGTGGCCCCCTCATTTCCAAGTCCCCGGATAATCCTCGGATTAACTATACTACATATTGATCTAATCGTATACGAAGTAGTACCTCCGAAAGCACATATTATAACTTGTATTCTGTGACATGTCTTTTATTTTTCTGTCTCCCTGGTTCTGTTGGCGTTTCTTATCTACTCCATGAGCTGCGGCAGGTCAATTTAATCTCTTAAGGGAAACCTGTAGATAGTTACATACGTACCTAGGTAGACATCAGAAATAATCCATGGATCTATAACAGCATTGATAATGAAAGTACTAAACAAAGTTATCCAAAGTTAAGCCCAGGTGGTTCAGATACTCGTGGAAGTTGCACAAGTGTCTTGTCCGCGATACGGAAGATCCGTACAGCCACAAAACGCCTCTATCGAACATTGAACTCATCAGATATACATATTACCTATATCAATGAAGACTAAACAAAATTGGAGCTAGCCGAATACCTTAATTTATCTAGTAGAAAGAAATGGCTGCCTTTTTAGGGCAAATTGTTAGAATGATGTTGGACCTATATATATATATATCAGTCCCGGTACTTAAGCAAAATACATCTACTTTGGGCCCCAAACCCAATTAATATATTTTTAGAAGACAAAACTGCGTCCTCATACATTGAAATCAATATATACTAGAGGTTGAAGATAGAGAGTCTAGTTATGCTAGGAAGCAAATCTCGACTTTGTCTGGATCCAACACACAAGTATCTATCCCCTGAACCACAATGGAGAGGGGTTGGGCTCACCAGAAAACCAATAACCCCCTGGAAGTTGCCCCGGATGAGATGCAGTTCCTCTATGATAGTATCTTGCGAGCATAGGTTCGACTTGTTTGACTATAGTAAGGATATTAAAACTGTCTATGAAAACGTGTTCCCTTATATATGTTTACGAAGTTTCAAATTGGATAGTCCGTTCAGATTAGAATTTGGGTTCATTTGTATTAGACTTAGACACAGGATGGCAAGATCGTAGATTTGCCATACAGGGTTTGTCCCCAGGTTAATCATCACATCTGGGGTCCATTGCTTTCCATCCTGCCTGGTATGGGGGTCTTCGTTTGAAAGCATCATCAGAGTACAGGTCATCCCCTTAAGGAATCCTCCGTGATTAGTACAGCGCAATTAGAAAATATGAGCTGCGCAAATATGGAACATGGACGAAAGGAATGGGAAGATGACAAAAGAGAAGAAAAAAAAAATGGAAGGTCATGGGCCCCATGGGCACTCGTATGTGTGGGATGCACACATGAAAAGGAAGGGAAGAAAGTTGTATGGCAATGTACATTGGGGGTAGAGTTGTACACAGGAATGATAAAAAACGGCAAGAGCGACTTGGTCAAATCGCACTGTGAAAGAAATAGACGGGATTCTCCGAGATAGTGCAGGGAGCAAACATTAGGTAAGGATGAAGAAGATGGCCATGCAAATGATCTTCAGTTTTTGTCTCATGGGTTGTGGTGTCGGTTAGAAGATAATGAGAGGGAGTGAGTGTTGAGATGTGTGAAAAGAAAAAGACAATTAGGACATGTCAGCCAGTGCTGCTTCAAAACTGGCAATATCATCATGTGATGGTTTGTCGAAAATGCGTCGGAATGGCGGGTCTTGAGGGTAGTCCTGGGGACTGGTTGCTACCCCGTCTGCTTTGCGAACAACTTCCTTCAACGCACGTGTCACCACACCCGCACGAGCAACCAAATTCTTCAGCGAGGAGGTATCAAATGGAAGTTTCTTTGCACGTGATGCTAATTCTAACTCATTAAGAGACGAAGGTTTTTGTTGATCACGACCAGCCTGGAGGATATCAAGTACAGATTTGGACTTTGGGGAATCCTTTGCAAGCTGGGCGAGGGGCAACGCGGATTCAACCTTTTCACGGGGCATCTCCCATGAAAGTTCACTGTTGCGTTGTGACGCATTTTGACAGTCATCGTCGGATTCATCAAAACTGAAAGTGAGAGATGATGGAGATCCTGGCGGCGAGCGACGCTCCTCTTCATCGTCAATAGTAGCAAGGTTCACGATCTGCTCTGCTTCTGCCCATAGTTCGCTAGAAGGTCCGTTGACAACACCTAGGACATTTGCTTGATGGCGAAGACGTTTCAATTCCTCCACGAGCAGGGTTAATTCTTGAACCTGGCCAAATTGACCACGAAGACTAGCTTGACGCTCTAGAATGGCCTTGGGAACAGTCATGCTCTGGCGATTGAGATCAGGCTCAACATGTGGTTTGTTTTCGGCAATAGGTGTGTCCTCCGACTCGTCGAAGTCGAAATCGCTATCCCAATCTTCGCTGACACCCTTACTGCCTAAGCCCCAAGTACCGAACTTCCCAGAAGTTTGACGCGATTCATTGATGGGAAGTTCACTAGCAACTGGCACGCTCTGGCTCCGAAGATGGACGGTCGATGGTGCTTTCCGGCAAACAGCTCGACTATTCCTATCGACACCACCCGCTTGCTTCCCATGCATGGTCCTCGGACGCGTCTCAGTGTCTGAAGACTCGCGGTGAGGGTGAGCTTGTTCCGACCAATCAAAGATATTTGTCTTTTTATTGAGATCCCAATCCAGCTCGCCCACAAACGATCCAGTCATATCCTTAGGCGAATCGAGACGTGATTCGGGCTGTTCAGTAAATTTGGCCAACGAATGCGTCAAGGAAGAAGAAAAGCAATCACGATCATCGCCAGGAAGCGCTCCAATCATGCTGAGAGCATCGTCGTCAGCCACATCAGCATGGAACGGATTTTCAACCTTGGATGTTGGAACCGAAGGAGAGGACAGAAGCGGATCAGTAAACAATTGGGGATCTTTGTCCAAAGATCGAGCGGCGAAGGAACCCCGCGGGAGCAAAGACTCCAAGGTCGTGGCTTCTTCATTCATCAAGCTCGCACCTGCTTTGTCAAACATAGTTTCAATGCGCAGCCCTTTGAGTCCACTGCGATTGGTCTCACGTGTGCGAACAGAGTCCCAATAGTCCGACATCAGATCGGTCTCATATCCATCGCACGATGTAAACACCCGTGTGTCATCGGAACCAATGATGGTGGAGGCAGGATCTGAACCTGAAATCGAGAATCCCTTGGGCCGGCGACGAAGAGAACCGTGGGCCCGGCCACCCGGGCGAGATGCCTGCTGCCAGGCCGACAGGGCGACTGCATCGGAGGTCATCTGCCGTGAACCGGCCCGGGATCCCAAGCCAACGCTATAGTCCTGCGATACCGATCGGGGACCAACTTGGGACCGTCGTTCCAAAGCCGAATCCGCCCAACCAGACTGGGAAATGGGGTACGGAGCGCGAAACACGCTTGGATCAGTAATGTTGCGCCGTGGCTCGGCCCCCAAGGAACTCGGAATAATGACATCCCGTTCTTCGGTGGAGAGTTCAGAAGGAGGAACTGAGAAGGTCCTCCCCTTCACTCGCTTTAGAGAGCCTCCGCGAACGAGTCCCATAATCGGTGTTCCGTGCGCGGTAACTGTGTTTGCCATGATGACTTTCGGCTCCACATCGTTGACCGAGTATGACTGTTTATGGCTGGATGTCACTGGTTCCTCTTGCGCGATAGCTGGCTGTTTGGGAGCAGGCTCGGAGAGGGCCGGTTGGAACGGATTGCTAAATTCAATTGGCGTATGAGGTACCAATCTGTCTTCACGCGTCCCAGCTGTGGAAATCACATTAGCCTTAACCAACGCAGGAAGAGCGCGTTGGTCAAACCCAACCTGGCGTATACTCTGAACCTTTGGGGCGGTGGCGGTCGAGAATCTGCGCGAAAGTCTCTCTGCTAATTTGCCAGCCTTAGGGGAAAAGAACGGCGCCCAATGCTTCTGCTTATCGAGCTCGAATTCGTCAATGGCTGGACCTTCGGTAGAAGCCTTTGGAAAATACGCATCGAAATCAGGTGTTAAGGGGGTCCGGAGGATCATCGACTCCGATCTCTGGTGACTAGTGGCAGGCCTGCGCAGCACCGCCGGTGACGGTCCAGAGATAGTGGTTGTGCCAAGAGGGTGAGTGCTTGTATGCTGTGAGACCGGGCGCTTGACTAATTTATTCGGCTGTCTTCGTTGTCGGGGCGAGTGAGGAAAGATTGGACTTGCTGAGCCATTGAAGGACGGCGCCACTGGACTGCTTGCGGTCGGGCTTTCTGGTTGGAACGAGGCCATCGACAGCCGCCGCAGCCAACCGTTGGATGGCCGGCGGACGTGTGATTCGACCGAGGAGTCCGTCGACTCATGTTCTGGAATTCGCAGGGGTGGGTTTGTGAGGGTTTGACCCCGACGGCGACGTCTCGCACCACTGAATGACAATGGCGCTTTTGGCAGATCCGTTCCCTGGTTTCCCTGTGAGCTTTCCTCTTCCTTTGCGGCAAGCCACTCGGCAGCCGGACTTCGAGATGGGATAGCGGTCTTGGGCCGGGCAATATCTGCCGTCTTTTCGGTGTTGTTAGGGAGCGGCCGAGAGCTATCTTGAGCGAGAGTCTTGCGCCGAAAGAGACTGGGCCTCTGTGTCCGTTCTGCGCGACCGAGCGCGAAGCCGGTAGGAGCTATTCCGAGAGTGCTTAATGCACAGAGCTAGAAGCGCCAGTCAGTGAATATTCCAAAGCGATCACACCAGCGACCAAGCAATTCCGGGTTTCATTCCGGAAGCTGATATTAACTCAAGGGAAAGACTTACTGTTGATATGTGATCCATCCTTAGACGCCGCGAAGGATGTCAAACACCCCAACGATCAGCTCCAGGTTGACAACGTCTGCGAATGACATTCCAGATGGGATACAAAAAGAAGATTGAAAAAGAAAGAAAGAGATGAGGGGGTAGAAGTGTGAATTGCGACCAGAGAAGTATCCTCTGATGCTCCAGACGCAAAAAAAAAAGAAAAAGGAACAAGGGAAAAAATGAATGAATGCCGAGCAAAGCCAGTCTGGAAAATGTATGCCTCTACCCCCTGGGAGGCCGAGTAAGAAGAAAAGAGGTGGATGTGACCCGGGGAAATCAACAACAACACACGGGGATTATCAGCTCCCGCCCTGCGCACGCTAGGAGCAACCTCAATAACTCCCCTCCTTGGACCCTTTATTATTATTATTTTTTTGATGATTGATAAATGTACTTGGCATTCATTTGTTTTTACTGATTTTGACTGGTTTTCAATGGTTTTCAATGGTTTTCAATGGTTTTCAATGGTTTTCAATGAAAAAAAAACAAAACAAAAAACCTACTTGTTAAACATTGAAAGTAACTCACTCTTGCATCAAAGATATACCCCATATACAACATACAATAGGCTACGAAAAAGACGTGCAAAGAATGCAGGAGACATCTAAGCCCCTTGCGGCTCACATTCATTGGCGTCATAGTCCAGAACATATTTTCTAACCGGAGAAGTCCGTGGGAAAAAAAAAAAAAAAAACAGAAAAGCCAAAGGCCCCCAAAGTGTCAAGAAACCCCCACATTATCTGAAATTGGCTGGCTGAGATTCAACCTAACCTAACTAGTGATCGTATCGTGAAAAAAGCCCCTCAAGCCCGATCGGGTGTCCACTGGTTCTCTGCATTTACGGGGATTTTTTTTTTTACTTTCGGATCCATTGCTTCTAGAACGGAATAATATATAAATTTGAAGCTCAATGTAAGGGCAAATTACTCCGTACTTCACAATGTTATAATCACTTGCAAGGTTCAACAGCTTAACCTGTTCGGCAAGCAAACCCGATATAGTCGTCATATACTCTCCACTTATTCTTCCACTTTGATGAAACAAGGAACCTCCCGTGGGTCATTTTCCCTAAGGCTTTTGTTAATAACCTACAGCTAAGTAACTGCTTGTGTTTCAAGTATTATTTTTATATGGACTCTTTTTTTTACTTCAAAAGTCAATCTTGGCGGATCCTGCTTCAGCATATCCAATCATTCAGTTTTAAGAGGTCAATATATGGAACGACATTACAAACTCCCTACAGATGTTGATCTTGTCCTCAAACACCTGCCGGTACCCGTTATATCGGTGTTGGCTGCCGTGTGAACCTGCAGGCCGGAAGAAGATCGATGTTAAAATGTACAAAGACAATAATAAACAAAGGAAAAGATAGCCATTTTGGCCTGAGTCTTGGCAGAAACCTTTCGAGCCCGTGCTTTGTAATTTCCGACTTTCGTGATGCCAAGGGGGAACAGCTTTTTCCTAACCTCGTATACAATATAACTTCAGTTCATCCATGTACTTTCTGCTTTGGGTTTGACTGATTGTTGGTCTAATGCAATCCCGAACATGAAACTGCTTATGAAACACTCTGCAGCCTGCAAAAGCGATCTATTTTAGGTTATTTGGTTGGAGTCCAGTTGTTGATGCAGAGTATACTAGTTAGGCCACCTCTTTCACTTTACCGTCTATGTCTATCGCTACCTGTATAAAGTACCTGAAACATCTTTGGACAAGAGCGGTCAGATAGGTTGTTGCTTATGCTCATTACATGGAACCTCGTGTTGCTGATCAACGGATGACTGGGGAGACGGCAGGAGGTCGATCATTATGCTACGTCTACTTCGGCCACTTCTTAAACATTAGAGCTGTGTGACTGTGGTGTGATGTGATGCTTGTTTCCCGCAAGTCTATCACAAACGCCAATCTGTGATTGAAAACTAGACTATCTGCGCTCCTTCACATAGTCGGCTGGGAACCTGCCGACGCGAGGTTATTCACCTCGGCAACCACTCTTTTGCAACGGCTCTGATTCGAATTTTCCGTATTTGAATAGATCCCCGGGAACCATTCTATGACCAATGTTTTGTTCTATCCCATACGGACTACACACGGCTTTAGGAATTTGGAGTTCCCGAGGTCATAGGTAGATGGTTCAAATACCAATGGCTCGCATTTTCTGCAAAGCTTTTTATATTAATAAAACCCAACTTTGACAAATGTATCATAGGAGTATCTCAATACTGCCATACCTGCTCCCTAATATAGATATATCATAGATCGTTTTCAACTCCATACGGAGATTGGCCATATATAGCCAACTACCTCCACTAGTATTTTTATGATAATTGAGTTTGTTAGCAGTTTAGTTTGTCAATTACTTCAAAGCAAAGCTACAGTCACATAGTTCCGTGTTGAAGTTATAGAAATCGTTTATATATTGGTATGGTACTCGCAAATATATGGCAAGAAACAACCACTTAGTAACATTTTGTTTCATTTAGCATAATACGAAGCATAGGAACAAATTTATAGTCTAGAATATCTGTCATACCTTCACATTATCCAGCCCTGGAGGATTTGCAAAAACGATAAACAAGGTCATGTGATCTTATCGATAACACACATCCAAAAATCCGCCACTATTCGCTATGGGGGCATCAATTCCAGAACTCCACAATCTCTTAACGCCGAAGCTTCCTGACACTCGGCGTGACACAAGTCCTCTCGAGCCTGGCAAGATGGAGTCTGAACTCCAATCCCAAATTTCTGGCCTTGACCGAATCATTACCGAATACTCAGTAGTAAGTCTCTCCGCACATATGCGCGCGGTGGAGGATTGTAAGGTCCATTAAAGCTGACTATCTGACAGGGCTACCTGACCCATGCCGCAAACCTCTACGTCGACGATGCCAGTGGCCAGTCACCACTGACTGAGGCCGCCGAATCCGTGACTGAACTCCTAGTGTCCGCCTCGGGAGATTTCTCCCCGCAAAACTACGATGCGATCGGCAACTTGGTTTCGAGGTTCATCACCGCGCTGAGCTCTTCCGATGGCGACCCAGAGCGCAGGCAAATGCCCTTCAAGGCCAAGAAGCTTGAACAGACTATCAATGTCGGCGCACAGCGGAACATGTCTTCTACACTGGGTCTGACTGGAAACACCGTCGATTTGGAATCTGCCAATGCCAGAAAGATGGAGTCTAAGGTGGACAAAAAGAAGCTCGAGAAGGCAGAACGCAAGATTCGCGCCAAGCAGGACAAGAAGTCCATGAAGAACGTTACCTACGAGGCATCCCGTCTGCTCAACCAGCCGGATGAAGCCATGTCCTACGAGGAGTTCTTCATGGCTGTCAACCCTCTTCAAATGGGATCGGACTCCCAGGCTAAGAGCAAGGATATTAAATTGGATAACGTCGACATCTCGATTAGTGGCCTGCGCATTCTTACTGATGCTGCTTTCACACTCGCTTATGGTCGTCGTTACGGTCTTGTTGGTCAGAACGGTATCGGTAAATCTACACTTTTGCGTGCCTTGAGTCGCAGAGAAATCCCGATTCCGACCCACGTTTCTATTCTTCACGTTGAGCAAGAGGTGTGTTCAAATCTTAGCTTGGTTGCTTTTCTTTTACTGACTCTTACCGTAGATTACTGGTGACGATACACCAGCGTTGCAAGCAGTGTTGGATGCTGATGTGTGGCGGAAACATCTTCTCGGGGAGCAAGCGGTTAGTCAAGTCGCAGATACCACAACAGGATACTCACTAACAGCCATAGAAAATCTCGAAACAATTGGCAGAAATCGAAGAAGAAAGATCTTCATTGGCGGATACTTCGAAGGATGCTGCCAGACTCGACGAGCAACGAGAGGGCTTGGATATCACGTTGAGTGATATTCACGGAAAACTTTCTGAAATGGAGTCTGATAAGGCCGAATCCCGCGCGGCCAGTATCTTGGCTGGTCTTGGTTTCTCCCAGGAGCGCCAGCAGTACGCCACCAAGACCTTCTCCGGAGGTTGGAGAATGCGTTTGTCTCTCGCACGAGCTCTATTCTGCGAGCCCGATTTGCTATTGCTTGACGGTACGTACCACCGGCCTCTTTTATCCTACAAGCAGCCTACTGACATTCCATAGAACCGTCCAACATGTTGGACGTTCCATCAATTACTTTCCTTTCCAATTACCTTCAGGGATACCCTAGCACAGTTCTTGTTGTTTCTCACGATCGTGCATTCTTGAACGAAGTCGCCACGGATATTATCCACCAGCACTCCGAGAGGTTAGACTACTACAGAGGTGCTAATTTCGGTAAGTTACACGAGATCTCCAGACTATCAGCGGTTCTAACAATTTCTAGAATCCTTCTACGCAACCAAAGAGGAGCGCCGGAAGACTGCTAAGCGCGAATACGAGAAGCAAATGGCCGAGAGAGCACACTTGCAAGGTTTGACACCCCCTCCATCTTGTCAAAGGGGCCTTGTTAACGATCATCATCAGCATTCATTGATAAGTTCCGATACAATGCCGCCAAGTCTTCCGAGGCACAATCAAGAATCAAGAAGCTTGAGCGCATGCCAGTTCTTGAAGCTCCAGAGGCCGAATACACGGTGCACTTTGCATTCCCCGGAGTCGAGAAGCTTTCACCACCTATTGTCCAGATGTCCGAGGTTTGCTTCGGCTACACCAAGGACAAGCCTCTTCTCAAGGATGTCGATCTAGATGTTCAACTTGATTCGCGTATCGGAATTGTAGGACCTAACGGTGCTGGTAAGACCACCGTCCTGAAACTACTCACCAACCAGCTTGAACCAACAAGCGGTCTCATCTCCACAAACTCGAGACTGCGCATTGGATTCTTTGCCCAACATCACGTCGATGCTTTGGACATGACTACCAGTGCAGTCGGCTTCATGACTAAGACATACCCCGGTAAAACCGACGAGGAGTACCGACGACACCTGGGAGCGTAAGTTTATGCAAACCACTCGCATCTACTGCATTGACTAATTCTTATTTTTGTAGGTTTGGTATCACTGGTACAACCGGTCTCCAACGCATGGAGCTGCTGTCCGGAGGTCAGAAATCTCGTGTTGCGTTTGCTTGTTTGTCCTTAACCAATCCTCATATCCTTGTTCTTGACGAACCTTCCAATCACTTGGATATCGAGGGTATGGATGCCCTGGCGGATGCACTACGGGCATTCGAGGGAGGTGTGGTGATGGTTTCCCACGATGTGACCATGTTGCAGAGTGTCTGCACCAGTCTCTGGGTTTGCGACGGCGGTACTGTTACCAAGTTCGACGGCACCGTTAACGCCTACAAGAAGAAGATCAGTGCGCAGGCTGATGCTTCCGGTGTTGTGGCTAAACATTAAGGTAGTAGGGCTATGTATAGATTATGCCATAAAAACTATAAATATCCTGCATGAATCTACATTATGAGCATTATTATTAGTTCTTGAGTATTCTGCAGCCCAGTCTTTTTTCTCTGCCCAATAATCTTCATTCCACCATAGTGTATATAGACAAAGCTACCCCCCACTGAGGTCATAACCTTCTAGTTCTATCTCTTGCTTCTTTCTCTGCCATTCATTGTTGACAAATACTGAACTACATCGGCGTGCGGAATTCGAGTTCCGCTCCGGGTTTTGACCAGGTCTCCTTATCAGCTTATCGCGATCAACCCCAGACGTCACTTTACCATCTCAGATGCCCCAGGGGATAAATTTAGATGTTACGGTAACTCAGGTTCAGAGCTAGAAGAGCCTGAAGATATGACGGGCGCAGATGAGCAATATCAATCAGGTCCCCACGCCCCTTTGCTCGCCTCATCCCACGCTTCTTCAGATCATGGCGACAATGACCATGATGGGAGCCTGGCCTCTGAGTTGGAATATTCAGGAGGCTGGTTTATATGGGCGTTAACCTTCTCCGCTGGAATAAGCGGTCTGCTGTTTGGATATGAGTATGCTAGCTACCACCAAACCCGCCATGTTGCTCCATTAATACCACCGTTCACTAACAATCGTGGGAACTTCTAGCACAGGTGTTGTCTCGTCTACTTTGGTGACTGTCGGGTCAGATCTTTCGGGTCATCCGTTGACAACACTCGATAAAAGCCTCATCACATCCTGCACCAGCCTATTTGCGTTAATTGCGAGCCCGTTCACTGGTGTCCTCGCGGATAAGTTTGGTCGTCGGAAGGTCATACTTGGTGCGGATCTGTTGTTTGCACTTGGAGCTTTGATACAAGCGTTTACAAGCCATGTCTGGGGTATGATCCTTGGGCGTAGCATTGTTGGTCTTGCTGTTGGTAGCGCGAGTGCGGTGACCCCATTGTAGGTTGGCCGTCTCATGTCAGGCAGGGACTGAGAATCCCGAGCCATGGCAGAAATATGATTTCGAGAGAGTTGTTGATTGCTAACAAACTGGGAATTTGTCCAGATATATCTCCGAATTAGCTCCTTCGCACGCAAGAGGAAGACTGGTCACGATTCTCAGTCTGTTCATCACCGGTGGCCAGGTGGTGGCATACATAGTCGGGTGGCTGCTTTCTAGTACAACTGGAGGCTGGCGGTGGATTGTAGGCATTGGGGCATTCCCGGCCTTCTTTCAGCTTGCCATTCTCGCTCTGCTACCCGAAACGCCTCGATGGCTGGTCCAGGCTGGATTCGATACTCGGGCGAAGGTAGTCCTGACCAAGATCTATCAGGATTGCCTTGGGTGTGATCAGGTGGTGGATCGTGTCTTGCGCAATATCAATGGGGAAATCGTCCAAGAGGCATCGGAGATGGGACAACCCAAGTCTCCTGGCACAAAGCCTCAGTGGTTACACGATACCATTCAACGGGGTCAGCAATTGTTGCATGGTGGAAACAGAAGAGCATTGATTATAGCCATGATGCTCCAGGCGGTTCAGCAGCTCTGCGGATTCAATAGCCTGATGTATTTTTCAGCGACCATATTCTCCTCTCTTTCGTTCTCCTCGCCAACACTAACATCACTCTCAGTGGCTATGACAAACTTCGTCTTCACGCTGCTTGCATTTGTGCTGATTGACAAGATTGGTCGCCGGCGCATTCTCCTGTATTCTATACCTGTCATGGTCGTTGCTCTGGTCGTCTGTGCTTTCTCCTTTTCGTCTATGGATGGCAAATGGAACTCAGAACCTCCAACTATCCCTCAAGAAAACCATGATAGCCCTAGTTCTCTTGTGCCCCTTGCAGTTCTGATCTGTCTTACTGTGTATACTGCAGCATATGCCCTCGGACTCGGCAATGTTCCCTGGCAGCAGTCTGAACTCTTCCCTCTGAATGTACGTTCTCTGGGGTCGGGCTTGGCTACTGCAACCAACTGGGGATCGAACTTTATCATCGGCCTTACATTCCTGCCTATGATGGAATGGATTTCACCCTCATGGACGTTTGCTCTCTATGCACTCGTCTGTGTAGTTGGGTGGGCCGTTGTATGGGCAATTTACCCTGAGATGAGTGGACTAGGCCTCGAGGAGGTCAAGGGCTTGTTAGCGGATGGTTGGGGAGTGAGAGAAAGTCTACAGCGACGCCGTCTCTCACGACATATATAGCATGTGAAGAAAATCTTATCAATAGGGGTACATGGTCCATTTGGTCCCATCAAGGAGTAGAACTTGAACAGCGCAATTCTTCATTGCTCTTTGTTTCGCTTTGTCTTATTGTCACATGTAAGGCGAATTTTACTGGCCAGATTAAGTAGTCGCCCAACAATTTACATATGTTGTCAATCGCAAACAACCATGAGCCCTGTCAATCGAAATGATCGAAATGACAACGCCATCGCACATTTGAACAGCTGATTACTTCAAGGACATGTGAATCTAGATATCGAACTTTTACTACATCTTATTCCCAATATTATTTTCGCACGTTACCTCTTTCTCGCCACGCCTTCCATTCTACATTGAACTACTCCGACAGTGCAACTTGCATAACTATGTATACCACAAACACAGACATGTCGAACAATAACCTCGCACAGTCTGCTTCAGCTGCCTTGCAAAGTACCCGCAGCCCACTGCTCGAGCTTCCAAACGAGGCAAGTATATGTATGTATTCTACAATGTAGATTGCAGCCATTGATATTTGAGATCAATAGGTTCTCCAGGAGATCGCATGTTGCCTGCCGACCGATCATGATATTCTTCATCTCTCCCAATCTTGCAAAGAGATATGGGCCAAGGTCTATGAATACGAGTCCGCCGTCTGGCGAGCTCGCTTTGCTGAACACTATGACATGGCCCCGAGAAGAACTTCCAGGGAGTTGATGTTCGAATACCAGACCCGCGCCATTGTGCTCAGCGCTCCAATCCAATTCAAAGAGCAGGAAGATGATCGTCAATACCTTTGGATGGAGGTTATGCAGACTATGCTCGAGGAATCACTGAAACTACCAATCCCCCTTGGAGCAACCTCAAAGACCCTGCGATGCATCCGTGAGACCCTGAGGAAAGTAGATTTCCTGAGCGAGTTTCGAAAAGAAGAAACTTCCTCGCAACTCTTTTATGCTCTCCAGCTTGTATGTGTGTTTCGTCGAATAATGGGTTGAAAATTTACTGATTTGATATTCATAGTGTCTAACTTCGTTTGCCCTCGACCCAGCCATCACCGAGCCTTGTCGTCGAACTGACTACGACATCAAGCAAGTCTACTCATATGAAGACAAGGTGGGCGAGGCATTCATCGACCACGACGACCTTGATCTAGCTAAACTGCTGAACTTGCGTAATTTCTGGCAACGTCACTTCTTGAACGCCTCCGAGCTTACCTACCAAGAATCCTTCTCTGGGCTGCCTGCAGAGCTAAAGCCCAAGACGCGAAAGGAAAATACAAACGAGGCATCCAAACTAAGCCCATCATGGCTAGGATACTACTGTGAGTATAGCGACGGAACAAACATCCAAACAGTATCCCAAGCTGACATTTCCGATTAGCGTGCATTCACCCGCTGTCAGACCTGCAAAACGAGCGCCAGACATGCGCTGATCTTGAGACACATGGCGACTCTATCGACATAATGGTGAGTGGATGGCTAGTTGCAGACTATGTCTGACAACCAGACTAACAAATGTCAAGACCTTTGACCTTCAACCCTCTAAACAGTTCTGGCCCGAGGAATGCAGCAAGATTATCCCTCTCGCTGGGAGGCCAGATACTAAGCGGAGATATTTCGATGGCAAGCAGAGAGCCTATGGGAGCGCATATGAGGTAGGAAACCATGTGTTCGGCTTTACCGAAGAGATTGCTGTCCCCCATGGCGGGTTTGAGGGATGGACCCGGATTTGTTTCACCATCATTGAGGCAGATGAAGAGGAAGAGGAAGAGGGAATGCCTCCCTTCCCTGTGATGGACGGAGAGGGTTGGATCCATGGATATGAGGCTGTCATCATCCCTGGTGGGCGCATGATGCTGGGACGATGGGTGGACATGAAGGAGCCAGAGGCTAGAGGCCCATTCATCTTCTGGGACGTGTGAGGACGAGTCCAGTGTCTTTTACACTTTGCTTTTCGTTTGCTCTTCGTTTTCTCTTCGTTTGCTCTTCGTTTGCTCTTCGCTTTTGCTTTTCTGCTTTTGTACGTTTTTTGGTCTGGGAGGTGGGCGGTGGATGATATGAATGAAACAGACCAAGTTTCCCCCAAAACATTGAAAATTGACGTAGGATACTTGTAGTGGAATCAATATTTATGGTCACAAGCAATGTAGCTTTTGGATAGAAGAAAATTATGCGTTGAGGAAGGGAATAGATGACACTTAGAAATCAAAACAGCCACTACTCCTCGATATCCTTGACCTTCTCCCACTCTCCCTTGAGGTTCTCCTTCCACAAACTGACCTTGTTATCACCTCCACTGACGGCAAGGATGTTGCCGCTGAGACTCCAGCTAACGCGCCACAGAACAGTGTCGAACTCCAGTGTTTGGCTGGACCACTGGCCCGGGTTGGAAGCATCGGAAGTCCAAATGCGAACGGTTTTGTCTTGCGCGGCGGAGGCGATGTAGGACTTGGAGAGGATACTTGGGGACCAGGCCACATCACGGACCCAGTCTGAGTGTCCCTCGAGGGTTTGAGTGAGATTGTACGATTTGGTATCCATGCTAATATCAAGTCAGTTCACGTCCTAGCTGTATGTTTGACAAGGTCCATCAATCGACATACTTGTATTCCCAGATCTTGACCAGGTTGTCGCTGCCACCGGTAACAAACCGGCGTTGTTGGCCGGGTCCGGGGACAGAGCTGATGAGGCTACCAGCGGAGGCCGCGGGAGCCCAGCTGATAGAGTTGACGCCCATTCCGTGAGCATGGAAGCTCTGGTGGGTCCAGTTGTTGTCACGGAACTCGAGCACGCTGACGTGGCCATCGGACGAAGCGCAGGCAAGCAGACATCCGCTCTCATGAGGAGCCCATGAGACCATATTCACGGAGGCCGTGTGAAGGGAGAAATCGAAGACCTTGCTCCATGTACTACCACCGGAGGGCGAGGTCGCATTCTGGGGCTGTTCCCGCCAGATCAGAACTTTGCCATCGTAGGAAGATGAAGCCAGAATTGTGCCAAATTTAGGATGGGCCTAGATCGTGAGAATAGCATGGTCAGTCAAATTGCGCGCTACACTGGCGGATGTTTTGGGGTATCACTCACCCATGCGACACACCACACAGCGCCCTCGTGACTATCAAATACCCATGTCAGTGACCAGGTATTTAGTTAAACACACACCAACAAGGCAAGCTTACCCCTTCAGTGTCTCAACAAGTCGGTGTGATTCCCCTTCAATCTCAAAGATCTTTATCGTCTTGTCGGATGAACATGTGGCCAATCGGCGGCCGTAATAATCCAAGCCAGCATCGTGCTGTATTCCACATATATCAGTTAGCTTAAGCACATCATAGATAGCGGCAATTGGGGTTCGTGTCTTAGCACATACAATCATCTCTTCGTGTCCGGAATTCGAGATCACTTGAGGGGTCGCCTGGAGGTTTGAAGCTGTTAGCGATGGGATTGAGAAACAAGCTGAAATTCACGTAGCTGAATAGCAATTACCATTTTGGATTAAATAAATAAAGCAAGCAATAAAGTTGACAGCTGTGAAAGCGTGGGGCGTCGGAGCAGCTGTCTCCCTTTCAGCCAAACAACCTGGCCCTTCCCGTATCTTATCGTGGGCTTAGCGCTCAGTCACGTTACCTAGATCTATGCACGTGATGGGCCTCGGTCGTCGGCAACCCCACGGCAGGTGTGGCGTGGAGTCTCTTCTGAAGTTCAACACCTTTCATTTCTTTCATTTCTGTAATTTGTGCTGGCGACTGATTATAGAGAGATTCGAACCCGACAATCACAATACCATTACACTTCTCGCTCAGTTTTTGTCGATCTAAAACATCATTATGGCCGATGCGCTCTGCGGGCCGTCAAACGCCCTCCAGAACTTCCAGAAGCATACATCTGTTGATCGTACCCTTCAGCAGGACCGGTTGACTTCACGTCAATCGCCTGTTCAGGTTTGTAGCGCTTTTGAGATCTTATAATCTTATACATACTAACAACATACTCTAGGGTTTCCGATCCCAGAACCCTCAAGAAGGAATACTTGACCCGGAGTTCGCCGCATTCGAAGGTAATCTCGCCGGCCCTGCATTGCCTAACTTGCAACATCCCGCCAATTTTGGAGCACCATTACATCATGCCGCGGTACACCACCCAGCCGCACCCGTTGCAGGCAATGCCGGTTGGGCAGCGGACTTCCAAAACTTGCAAATATCAGGGCCTTCACATCCTGTAGCGCAACTACAAAGACCAAATATTGCTCCAGCAACTACACATGGCGGGTGGCACACTGAATTCATGACCCAACAACGAGGGCCTATGTCCCAGGCCCAGCAAACCCCGCAAATGCATGGTGCATATCGGCCATCTTTTGCGCCAGGTTATCAGATGTATGGCTCCTCCATGAATCAGATACAGCCCGGGCAGGCTATACAGACTGAGCAGCAAAACCATACGCAGCAGTTTGATGAATCCGCCTTTGAGGCTGCCTTTGATCAGGCACGGGCGGATATGGAGTTGCAAGGAGCCGATCTCGCTCAGCAAGATACACAGAAGCACACGCAGGAGACCAGCGAAGTCGAAATTCCCCAGCCAGTTACCCAGGAACAGATTCGACTCGGATCGGATCTTATTCCTCAAAGCGATAAGCAGGATCCAGAAACACGGAGTCGAGATGCAGACGAACTTGCACGGACAGCAGGGCAACTGCTCGACAGCGTGCGCAACGAGCAAAGCCAAAAATTCCAACAAAGCAATTTCCTGGCTTTGATGCGCCGAATTCGAGATCGCGAGGTGGAAGTTGAAGGAGATGATTTCCGCGAAGTCAGTACCAACCCGTAACGGTTTGGATGTCGGACGCGACAGAAACACCGGTATAACTCGGACAATCTACAAGGGCTGCTGTCCTTGCTAATAATCATATGCAGACGGCACAATCTCTTCACCCAGGTGGGCGATACTACCCGGGCCAACCTCACCCAGACCACCCTGGTTCCGATATCCCGTCTAGTAGTAATGAGCAAAATAGCCCTGTCGGTAGGGTCTGATGTCCTACGCCCATGAAAGATCAGCCAATAACCTGACCAGACATGCCCACTTCCCAGATGGTGTAGACATCAGCAGAGATTCCCGGCCGACCGAAGAAGAAACATCCGATCATCTGAGACTCAGTTCGTTTGGTTATGGTGACACAAACGCACTTTACGAAGGATTGCTCCACAGTCAGGGGCTTGTGGACCGTCGCAGAATTCCGCTTTGCGTTTTGGGAAGAGAACTGGAGGCGCATTTTCTACACTAGCGGAAACCACGGCACTGAATGTATTGGTACCTTTTTGATTACGCTGTTTTCTGCTTTGATATAGGTACCTGGTACATAGTTTTTTTTTCTTCCTATTGATACCCCATGAACAATAGTAATCACGTGATCTCTATTGAGAACAATCGAAGAGTCCATTGAAGGATCCCAATTAGGCAAGTCAATGGCCCATGGCAGCCTCTGATTGGCTGTTTATTGACTGCCTATTGACTGTCTATTGATTGTCCTCTTTCCTATTGTTTGTACACATTCAAACGCTCGGCCTTAAATACTTAGACAACCCACTGCTGTAGACTTCTCTTCTTCACTCTACCAAACGCTCTCAAAAAATTAAATTCCAGTCATAATGATGCCTCCGTCAGACTCTTTGCGACATCACCTAAATAAGCTCGCTGAAGTCCGAGCAAATCGCAATGCTTCTTCTATATCTAACTCTACACCTACCTCTACTTCTACTCCCAATTCCACTCCAGGCACAGCCCCACCTCCATACACATTATCTGTCACTAGACCTAGTGGCACGACTATCATGAGCGTCGATCAGCACGACATGGATGATCCGTGGGCCTCCCCAATTAATATTTACATTGACAATTCAATCACCGTATTTGGTGATGAAAACGCAATCACGGTGTCGTCTCCTGGATCCTGTTTTCCCAATGATCTTCCTCATCAGGAGGCCCAGGCATCCCCTCGCCTGACCTCTATGGCAGCTGTCATCATTGCTGCGCTGGGTCGCGCCAACGCTCTCAATGATGATATGGGCTACCCTCGGCCCATCAATATTCGCACTCACGCGGGCATTCGGGTGAATGGCCGAAACAACGGCATTTCCGTCCGGGGCGAGGTCCACAAGTCTCAGAATGAGACTGGGTTAGCTGACCCTGAGGCCGGAGAAAGCAACAGGCGCAAGCGCCGTGCTAGCTCGGTTCGTACCCTACTTCGTAAAAAGATCTTCAAAAGTTTAACCACTAACTGGGTTGGTTAATACAGGAGCCTGTTGGAACTCCGCCGGCTCGGCGATCTCGTTCATCTTGAAGACAGGTTATGGGTTGTTTCATAGGAAGCTGAATGAATCTCTCTGCTTTTGCTTCCAATTCTCTCAAATTTTGCTCACTTTTTACTTTCTTTTTGGTCAGGGGAGTTTTACAATTTTTTTTTGTTTGCTCGTGGGTTGATATCATATCCTTATCCTTTTTATGTATCCCCTGTACATTAGGTGGTTATCCTGCAACCTTCCATTTATTATGGTTGATGTTTTCTCTGGCGATGATGAAAGCGATGAAGTTCCGAGTCAGATAGAAATGGCACTAGTTATATTCATATTCTAAATTGGTCGATATAAATATTTTCTCTACTAGTTTGTAGCATCAATCTTTAATCCATCGAATCCACATGTACTTCGGCGAAACATCTGTCCGTCCCGATGATCGCCGTTTCCCCAGATTTCTCATCCACGGAATCCCCCCACTTGGTATCGCATTGTTTTTCAAAGATCCTTCAAAGCCGTTACATCTAGCCGAGAATGAAGTTTTTGTTTTCTAGATCATGAAGCGTCGCCTTCGCGGAGGAGAAGAAATCACCTACTCTTTCGCCAAGGAGGAGGAGACAAACGTACTTCATCATTTCCTCTTATATCTTGATGACAGACGGGAGTGGATGAAAGTTGTGGTTGCTCACCACCTGGGCTTGAGCTCGACCGAGGTGTGCCATGTGGCAAATATCGAGGCCTGGCTGATTGGCGGGTTCAATGTATTTAGGGTAGTGGAAAACCACCAGGACAGCAGGTCATACTCAGATTTGCGCTCCCTTATTGTACTGGCAATAAGTTTAGACCCGGGAACGGAGACGAAAAGATACAGTGTGAGGGTGGCACATACGCATGGCTCCAACAGAATTGCGATGTTCCAATTCCACAGTTATATGGCTTCGCGCTGTCTACAGGTGAAACTGTACGAGCCTCATCCTATTCCCAAAATATCAATCTAATTTTGGGACTAGTTTACAGAAATGAAGCAATTACTCTTTCTGAGCCGTTGCTTCCAATCCACAAGTTGTACGAACAAGAAGAGCATGAAAGCTGATGCGAGAGTTTTATGTACGCAGTGCCCTGGTGGCAGCCTAAATAGCCTTAGTTTCCCTGCACTATCTATAAGGTCTCGTATTGCTAACTGATAACGATCATTGTTCCGTAACAAATCAAATGCCATCTGGCGTCTGACGCGCATAATTGGTGAGGCCAATTCAAACCCTGTCAAGGAGCTTGACTATGCCCCAACACTCAATCCCATTTGCAGGCAATGTCTTTCGAATCCGATGTTCCCCGGAGGCCTATGTGTTATATCAATAACCCGTTATCTGAGCCCTGGGGTGTAGGTATGGTAGGTCATGCAAACCATGTCCATACCAAATAGCGATAGTGGTTGTATTGGGACCGAGGATAGTCCAACCTTTCATTTTGAAAGTGTGGGAAGAAATCCAGCTGTCTTAGCACTAGCACATCACAAAATTCATATAGTAAGGTGCTTGTCAAGCCTAATGTATCCTTAATCACTTTGCAGCCAATCATTCTTCAAACTATCCATGTCCGCGTAAGCCTGTACTTCCGGCTTAGAATAAAAACTAACACTACCTAGGTAGATTCGTGAATACTTGCCAAAGATATTGATTATTATTTTATAAGACCTTCGATAACAGGCGTGAGCTCGTAGAAGTCCAATCATCGTCAACTTCCACCTGGTATCGAAAGACGGTATCACGTTAGGTTATAAATGGAAAACAATACAGAAAGGATTCCACCCGCATTCGCGCTTGGGGATGGGAAAACCTAGTAGGAGAAAACCATTCCCGGAGGAACTGCAAGACAAAGATAACAGATATGGCGATTGAATCACCCGAGTTAGTATGAACTCCCCTTGCATAGACGTCTTCGTAAGCCTCAAATCCCAACGTAGATTACATTAGATCAGAGAACAGCCCGTTTCGAAATTTTCAATGCTTCTTTGAAACGCGCAGCCTTGAAACCAAGTCATGTTGCCGGCTTGCCGTTGCGAAATTCTCACTAGCAAATTCTGGTAATTTACTATGAACTAACAGGAAGTTGTTATAGTAGTCTATGTTCACAGCCATTCCAGGCGTTTATTAGTTGCATTTCGGTGCGAAACTGTATCCTGGGACTCACAGTAATAGTGCTAGTAGTGGTTGGAGCAGGGTTACCGCCCGGAATACCACAGCAACAACTAAAGCCATCCCCACAGCAGCAAAGCAGGTCGCCCTCGGGCAAGCTTTGAGTGCACGTAGGAACCGCTGTTGGACCCAGATTTCCCCCAGTACAAAACACCGTTGTACTTGTGCTGGTGGCAGTACACTTGCAAGAACCGGAGATACAGTGTGCCCCAGTAGGGCACTAACCATTTGTCAGCCCCAAGGAATAATCAAAGGAACAAGTTAGCTCAGAAACATACAACGTGGCCGCATGCTCCACAATTTTTGATGTCAGTGTTAATGTCCTTACAGGCACCACCGCAAAGCTGTTGAGACGGAGTTGTCTTTAACGGCCCGCAGACGTAACACGGGCCCCGGCCATGAACAGCGGGAAGTATGCAGTTGACTGCTGGATTTGGATAGTTTCCTCTGCACCAACTAGTGCACTTAGCGAGATCGACAAGGCTAGTTTGTGGTAGGGACAAGACGCCGGAAACTGCAAATGTCAGTTATCTTTAGTGCTCTAGTGCACAAGCCGAACGAGAATAGTTGTCTCCTCACCAAGAACAAAAACAATAAAAACAACTCTCTCAATCATTTCACTAGTTCTGTTATTTTACCTTGTTATGTCGTGTGTCATACGAGTTTGTCTCGGGGGTTTGAATGAGGATGTGTGTGAAGTTCTGCAACCCTAGAATTGCCGGGTTACGTTACCTTATAAATGGCATTGCAATAGACACCTTCGTTTCTTGTTTTTTTTTTTTCCCTTATACCATTGGCTCCGATGATAGCTTTCTGTCGTCACAAAAAATATGTCAAATGATCCAGACAATGAGATGTGAGATGCGCCTTGGCTTCCTGAACTTGCTGTACCATGGCACACTTGTACCGAGCTTTCGGTGGCTGATCATCGCAGGTGGGCACAACTTGCCTTGAAGCAAAATGTTAGAGCCTTTCACCATTAAAAGCATACGACGCTCTTGGTAGCGCAGAACCAATGGAAATACATCGACGAGACTCAACGCTGGACCAACACACCTCATTAAGTTAACACTGAATGAGATAAGCCTAGAACTCAGCCTGGGCGTTCAAGCGGGGCCAAATTGTGTTTCCCAAGGAGCGTAGTCCAAGCAACTGTATTTGAAAAGAGACGAATCTCACTTATCAAGTGCTTTCGCTTTGATGGCCCATCTTGATATGCGTACGAAATGTTATATTTCATTAAATCCTGCTTAAGGGCTAAAACTATAAGTGCAGACGTCATTGGCTCTTGCACTTATTGAGTGAAGGAGCTGTGACTGCTTGGCACCAATGAGCACCTACCAATGTTGTAGGTAAATCGCTATGATCTGCACAAACCGAAACTCAAATTCTGAGACCCTAATTTGATCAAGTTATTCAACTCTTGATTATATTCTCAAGGATAAGAGGACGTATACGTTGATTGTCTAGGTGAGCTATTGTCTGCAGACACTGGAAATTAATCGATCCCGTTATGCTATTTACTCAGGTAGCTTTACAACCAATTTGAGCGGAACGTATAGCTCACCCGAGCCTCGCGTGGAAACCTCAGACGCGTTACTATCTCAAGGAAGGTCCTTAGATGCGGTGAAGTTCCAGAAATACCTATTGTTGGCGAGCAAGCTGAGTATATTGTAGCGCTGCGCTGGAAGCAGAGGAGTTCATAGGCCTTATAATAGTGACTCTGCCCTCGTTAAGAATCGGCGGCGAACACCCCAGAATTTAGTCTTGGCGCCGTCAGTGCGGTAAGCGGGTCGCCACCCAAGCCAGAGGCCACGAGACCCGAAACACGCTAAGCCTTGGTGCTGTAGTACCGAACCAAGGGCCTAGTGCTACAGGACTTGTCAAGGCCTATAGCTAAGGCTACCAGATAGCTTCTAATTAGAGCTATAATTAGAGCTATTAATAGTATATATAAATAAATAAGAAGATTAAATTTATATAACCCTAAAAAGATCTAGATTTTAATTATTGAATATAATATACTATTACACGAAAAATATAGAGGAAAACATAAAATTAATACATACCCCTCAAGGTCAATATGTCTAGGCATATTTATATAGTTTGATATCATTTGCGGATATCTAATAGATATAAGGTCTACATATATCCAAATCCGCAGTTTGCGGACATGAATTGTGGATATTCACGGATATTGTGGATCGTGCCGCAGTCTATTACGGATATAAGGATTGATCTAATATCCATTAGAGCGGATATGCTGTAGTCTAATAGTAACTATTATGATTTCTCATAACGCCAAGGAGAAATGTCACATGTTTATTTACCATAGCATTACTAGTATTGAAACGAAACGGACAGCGCGAAATAGTGGCCAAAGGCGCTAGTGCCCTTAGTAAACCCCCAGTGCCCGCAGTCGTTCTCTCCAAAAATCCTGTTCAGATCAAAATCAACCCTCTTCAGTCATGGCACCCTTGGGAGATTATACTATAGATCGATCACAGGTTGACGACGACCAAGCAATCCTAATCTGGACCGAGTTTCAAGTTTCCAAGGGACTGGAGTTGGATACCGAATGGGCTGGACATTTCCAGCCACTGCTTCAGGCCCCAGGGCACGAGGGTTCCGGGTATGCAAGAGTACAGGAGCGCCCGGATACAATTCTTCTAGTTACAGGTGAGTTATATATCAACCGGGAAGGTCGTCCCGCTAACTGCTACTCAGCATGGGAGAGAGCCTCGGATATGAGGGCATTTATGGCCTCGCCTTCCGCCCAGCTCTATCGGGAGAACCTCGAGGCTAGAGGAATCAGAGCTACGTCCTCTCGTGAGACATTTTCGCAGAGGAGCTCCGACTATGTGGGCCCCAGCTGGTTTGATGCGTTAACGTGCTCTTACGTGGAATTGTTCTGGATATACTTTTTGATACCGGTGACCGATGCTCAGAAGACTCAGATTTCAGATTTGATCGGTATTCGTGAACCGGCTGTAGGAATTAGCGGTCTACGGCATGGTATGAAGCGTCGTCAAACCGATCTTCCATTAAAGATATGGGCCATTGGAACAGAGCTCGTACATGGCCAAGAAGCTCAGTTGATGTTATGGCCGCACTTCTGGACGGACGCAAAGAGCGCCGAGTATAGGCATGTTGGGAAATATACCAATAGTGGCTATCTCATGCTGGACGCGAGAACCCTACTAGAGAAGTTTGGTGATAAGCTAGAAAGCGTCGGAGCCTTGGAATGGAAGGAAGAGTTTTGTGATTTCAAGCCAATCACTCTTGCTTAAATATATTTGTTTAGTGGTATACTTCCAAAGTTTGGTATCGCCTTACACGCTAAGCAGATATTGTTACATTGACCATGATCCACTTAGCGGGTCGATTTTTTAGCACTAGCCTAGCTCATAGATTTTTGACGGGGGTATATTACTAGTTACCATCTTGGGCTTCTTCGATAGGGCTGGCTTTTGGCCACTTCATAGTTGCTATAGACGTGACTAAAAATCGAAGTCCTACTCGATAAAGACCACGGAATAAAGAGGACTAGATAGTGTTGCTGAGACCTGGGTAATGATAGTCTAAAATTAGACACAAGTCGGGTCTTCTTTGTTTCTTTTCTACGCTTCTTGTGCGATGTGTATATTCGCGCCACAATCTATTCTGGGCTCTCATTTTCATTACCGGGTTTCAAGTTAGATGGAGTCACCCAACGTTTTTTTATGACTCTGAAGTAGCCCAAGCAGAGGCTCTAAAGGTCTTGAGGTTGAATTCACAAATATTTGCTTGAAATCTGCAACTTCAAAGCCTATTCGCATTAGGTATATCAATCAATAGATAATTACCCAGGCCCAACTAGGTAGCAAATTTCCTGTCAATTCTGAAAGGAATAAGAGGAATATTCCAATGCAGAAATCGTCAAAGCCAGCTGAGTTGAATGCTCCCCAACGAACACCCTCGGGCGTTTCAAAGATTATGCTGAATGAACAACATCAAAGAAATTCAGCCTTCATTTAAGAGCATGCTGTACCGTCTTTGTTTTATCTTTCCGACGACTTCCAAGATTTCTTTGACATCGCATACTCGAGCCCTTCATCTAGTCCGATGGGTTTGGCGTGTATAAAATACTTGGAATACAAATACCTTCGGACTTCCTTCTTTTTCATCTCAATATTTTGCTTACCTAGAGAAAGCAATATCTTGACCGTCTTGCAAAATGCCTCCAAGAGTGAATCCCCCTCGGGCTGCAAAGCCGAACGGTAAAGAACCAGACAAGAATGGAAAACGCAAGAAAGACGACGGAGATGGAGCTGCAGGCGCAACTCCAAAGAAGAAGGCAAAAACGGCAATTCCGCAAGTCCTCAACGAGGAAGCTCTTGCAACCGATCTCAACACTGATTATTCGAGAAAAAGGAAGAGCCTCAGGACCCAAATGCCTAAGAAACAGCAATGGGGAAAAGTAAAAGATATGATCACAGAGCGGGAGAATGCACCGAAAGGTTGGAACTCAGATGAGCCCGATCTGATGCCTGAGTAAGTTTTACCTCTATCAACTTAACGCTGGCTTCAGTGTTCATTGTGATACATGATTGACATTTCTACGTAGTGACTTCGAATCTCAGATCGACCGGTGTGCTGAGCGGATTGCAAATAATATCATGCCTCAGGTCTATCAACGGAAAATGAATAAATTTATTGCAAGGAAGGGGGAACGCGAGTGAGTAATCCTATAACTCCAGATTTCCTAAGACTAATTCTTTTCCTTTTAGTACACTGATGGCTGCTGAGCCAGGTTTAAGTTGGCCAGTTGTACAACGCCTAGAGGATCTTAAACTTATTTTGACTTGGCTTGAGGAGTCAAAGGACGTACATAAAATGGTTGATACAGTCCAAGCCATCATGGTACAATACCGATCAGGTGCATTGGATTGGCATCCAGACTTTGTCACATACTGGCATGCTGGAGTTCAGCTCTGCCTGCCGAGACCTTTCCACTGGGATGAATACCGCTACCTTCATGACAAAAGTCAGGGACATGAAGGGTTTTGGGTCGAAGGTGTAAGTGTTCCCAAATCCTACATTACATAGACCAACATACTAACGCCAAATATTCAGATTTTCGGGCCTGGGCCTGGATTGAGCAAGACTTCAATGGTATGCCAACCGGATCCACAGTTGAATGCCACAATGGTAGCTATTCCCCTCTCAATTGCCCTAATAGTCACTTTGCAGTTTCTAATAATTCCATTCAGGTGAGACTTACCCTTCGAATCCCGCAAGTCCCGCCCCCGCCGCCTGCTGATGGAAATCCGCCGCCACCCAAACCGCCATGCTGTGAATTCTCGTTCATGGATGACACCGGGTCTACACATATGAGCATATTTGAAGACGATATTGCAGAGCTTCAGGTCGATCCACGCACTGGACACAGGTTCTCCATTCCCCGATGTCTAGGTATTGGGGTTCTCTATGTCGCAGATGGGAGGCGGGTCCCATCGCTATTTAGAGAATTCGAAGTCAACATGTGGAGTGAGGATGAATCGGGCTGGATGGCCTCCAAATGGGAGGCGATACCAGCTTCTATCCGACCTGGTGGATCAACGAGAGCAGGCAATGACCGTTTGAGCGGGTCATGGCTGCGACACAGATTTTACACTGGAACTACTCCTGATCAGTCGATGCGTCTTTGGGTTTTTAACTATAATCCCGGCATACCACATGGTCAGAGGACCCTACCGACCGCGACGACGGCACAATTGGCCGCACCCTTCCGAACTGGAAGGCTTCATCCAGTTTCAGACTTTCCTCATCTTGACCCAAATCTCGCAACAGGACAAAGTTTGATATAATTTGCCGAGAGATGTGCGATTCTGCCTTTTCTTATACATTTCATGTTTGGTTTCTGCTGCACGATCTTCCAGCTACTTTCTTTTCTTTTGGCTTCTTGTATTGCGCTGTGTGCCTTTCCACTTTGGCTTTTGACTGTTGAATTTAACATATACACTTCAGTGACTCCGAGTAACTATGCAATACAAGACCTAACCTCTATGCGATATACCATTCCATTCCCCTTTAGTGTTCTAACGGTAGAGAAGATATCGGAATTTGGATTTGTTAGATCTAAGAACATATCTAAATAGGTAAAACGGAAGCTAGTCAGTATAGATTTTCGTATCATATAGGACGACATGAATCACTTATTTTATACGATACTGAGGATTTGCACCCTCTTTTCTAGCTTGTATATTTGAAATGCTATATCAAAACAGATGCCTCGCTGCGCCATTCACCCCGGGTATTTCTCGCATCGTCTTAACCGCGAAAGTCGCCTTTCACCCGAACCACAACTTGCACAAAATGTCATTTGTGACTATTCTTGAACCAAAGTCAACTGTTTCTGCCCTAGATACAGAAACAAGCGAGGGTAAGGTAAACAGGCTGCATCACATCCCAAGGCCCATCGACAAAGAAGCCATTGGTGTAAGCAAGGAAGCCTTGAAAAAGATATTGGTGGATTATAAAGTTGCACTCTACACCAAGAAAGGAACAGGTTCTCCTGAGGTTATGTATATGCAATCCGTACCCTAGTATCAATTGATTTTGGAGACAGGTGGAGACTTTGAATTGAGGGCGCTGGAGATATGCTACTTCATGATTGTGATGTATTTATTTCAGTTCTTAATGCTACAAGGAGTAGCCTTAACTATGCATAATGTTTGATCTACAATTTATATACCTTACCTATCCACTTTTGACACTACTCTATGTGATGTGGAGTGATGACAGCCTGAGTGGGGAAAGGGTCAGACCTTATTTATCTGTAAGCTCATCATAGTGTGCACGAATGTTATTTTTTTTTTTTTTCAATGGTCTCTGTTGTATAGTATTAATCACAGTTCGTGAAGTGTCCATCTCTTTTCTGGTGTTGATGCCTTAAGGTGTCAATATTTGATGCCAAGACATTGGTGTTTAAGCTCCCCCCATGGACCTCGGGACGTCCCTTCCACCAATATATCTGATCCTAGAAATCATGAATATTGGCCATGGTGATGATTTACGCATGCGTATGGTGTTGGATTATGACGCACACGACAACTTAGAAGCCTGCCTAGGTGGTACTATGTACGCTTTTGGTTAATACAAAAGAACCACACGTCATTGACTTCTCAAACAGGTCTGCTAGAATTAGAATCGTTCTCCTATTTATTAAGGGAAATTCCCATCTTCATTGACTTTCTTCGTGGGTCTATGATATATCAATATCTACACCTCCAGTGCATACGACTCTTCTATCTTTGTTGGATCCCAGGTGTCATCACACTGAGGGATTCTATTCATATATTGTACAGCATCCCTTCAGCAGGGTTCACCTCACAACATGGCATCGAAATCAGCTGAAAAGAGCATCTCCGCCTATGGAGATGCTCGTTCAACCGTGGAAGGGAAGCCCCTCGATGCCGAGACAGTCCGTAAGATGAACGCCTACTTCCGTGCCAGCATGTACCTATGTTTGGGCATGCTGTACCTTCGCGAGAACCCACTCCTCGCAGAACCCCTTAAGCTGGAGCATCTCAAGGCTCGACTCTTAGGTCACTGGGGTTCCGATGCCGGGCAGTCGTTCACCTGGATGCACATGAACCGTCTCATCAAGAAGTACGACCTCGACGTTCTTTTTGTTTCTGGGCCTGGACATGGCGCCCCCGGAATCATATCGCAGTCTTACCTTGAGGGTGTCTACTCGGAAGTCTACCCCGATAAATCCGAGGATGCGGAGGGTATGAAGAAGTTCTTCAAACAATTCTCTTTCCCTGGTGGTATTGGAAGCCATGCGACCCCCGAGACACCTGGCAGTATCCACGAGGGTGGTGAACTAGGATACTCACTCTCGCATGCTTTCGGCTCAGTCTTTGACAACCCCAATCTTATTACTTTAACCATGGTTGGAGACGGCGAGTCCGAGACCGGTCCACTTGCAACCAGTTGGCACAGCACCAAGTTCCTAAACCCGATTGTTGACGGAGCAGTCCTGCCTGTTCTCCATCTCAACGGATACAAGATCAACAACCCGACGGTACTTGCACGAATCAGCCACGATGAACTTTCATCTTTGTTCGTTGGATATGGATGGAAACCATACTTTGTGGAGGGAAGTGACCTCGACAGCATGCATCAGGCCATGGCGGCTACACTCGAGCAATGTGTCACAGAGATTAAGGAACACCAGAAGAAAGCCCGAGAGACAAAGACCCCGTTCCGACCTCACTGGCCAATGATCGTCCTTCGCACACCCAAGGGATGGTCCGCCCCACGGGAGGTTGATAACCATCTTCTCGAAGGATTTTGGCGCGCGCACCAAATTCCTATCACTGATGTCCGCACCAACCCGGCTCATCTTAAGTTGTTGGAAAAATGGATGAGGGGCTACAAACCAGAAGAGCTCTTCGACAAGAATGGCACTTTGATTCCGGAACTGAAGGAACTCGCACCCACGGGTAACTCGAGAATAAGTGCCAACCCCGTTGGTAATGGAGGTCTTCTACGCCGTCCACTCCATGTACCTGATTTCCGAGAGTATGGGTTCACGGATATTGTTCCTGGGCTAACAACCAAGGGTGGCATGACCAACATGGCAAAATTCCTTCGTGATGTTGTCGCTAAGAACATGCACAACTTCCGCCTCTTTGGACCCGATGAGACTGAGTCGAACAAGCTTGCCGAGGTGTACAAAGCAGGCAAGAAAGTCTGGATGGGCGATTATTTCGAAGAAGATAAAGACGGAGGAAACCTGGCTCCCGATGGCCGCGTGATGGAAATCCTGAGTGAACATACCTGTGAAGGGTGGCTGGAAGGCTACCTTCTTTCTGGGCGGCACGGATTGCTCAACAGCTATGAGCCTTTCATCCACGTCATTGATTCTATGGTGAACCAGCATTGCAAGTGGCTCGAGAAGTGTCTTGAAGTAGAGTGGAGAGCCCGCGTCGCGTCTCTCAACATCCTCATCACGGCCACTGTTTGGAGACAAGACCACAATGGCTTCACTCACCAGGACCCCGGGTTCCTCGACGTAGTGGCCAACAAGAGCCCCGAGGTAGTCCGCATTTATCTCCCGCCGGACGGCAACACTCTCTTATCTGTGATGGATCACTGTCTCCGCAGTGTCAACTACGTGAATGTGATCGTCGCCGATAAACAGGAGCATATCCAGTTCCTAAACATGGATGAAGCCGTCCAGCACTGTACCAAGGGTCTCGGAATTTGGGACTGGGCAAGCAACGACCAAGGTGCAGAGCCGGATGTCGTGATGGCATCCTGTGGTGATGTTTCAACCCACGAAGCCCTAGCTGCGACTGCGCTTCTACGCGAACACCTCCCACAGCTCAAAGTCCGTTTTGTCAATGTGGTGGATCTATTCCGACTGATTTCTGCCATCCACCATCCCCACGGAATGTCTGATGGTATGTGGAAGTCCACTTTCACCACCGACAAGCCCATCGTATTCAACTTCCACTCATACCCTTGGCTCATCCACCGACTCACTTACAAGCGACCTGGTCAACACAACCTCCATGTTAGAGGGTACAAAGAGAAGGGCAACATCGACACACCATTTGAGCTGGCTTTGCGCAATGAGACTGATCGATACAGTCTCGCTATAGCTGCCATTGATTTGGTTCAATCTCTTGGGAACACAGCATCTGGTGTGAGAGAGAAGTTAGTCAATGAGCAGCTTGCAGGCAAGGCCGAGGCTTTCGATAACGGCATTGATCCTGAACATATTCGGAACTGGAAATGGCCTTTCGCGAAACAGTAGGGTTATTTAGGTGTTAGTGAGTAGATAAACTCACTTCTATACAGTAATACTGCTAGACTTGCTCGACTTTTCCGATCTCCAATCTCAAAACATTGAATCTATACATCATTTTTGTTCAAGCTAGTAACTAACTGGTGAGTTCTGTTTCCCCTCTTGTAAATACACTAATCCACATCGGGTTACCATTCGTCGTATTCTCTATATTGTCGAATGAGTCATTGTTAATTAGAACTCTCATAGCTGAGATTATCCCTTCATAGTTTCTCTCTGTACCCATCTTCACATTCACAATTCAGTATATAAATCAAGACCTTTTCTACCATCATGCCTGAGGCCATCAATAACCATCAAATCAAGGACGACATCAAGAAAGCCTATGATGACATTGCTGAAGTCTACCTGGACTGGACACAACGTTCTCATGAAGTACGACTTTCCTATCTCGACCGCATGCTTCGATCCTTTGATTCTGCAAAGGGAAATAGCCAAAGCATCCTTGAGGTAGGATGCGGTGCCGGGGTACCGTGCACTCAACTTTTGGCATCACATGAATACATCAGTGTCACTGCAAATGACATATCTGACACCCAAATTGCCATGGCGAAAAAGCGGCTTCCTGAGTCTGTGAACCTGATACCAGGTGACATGATGGAATTGCAATTCAGTCAGGAGCAATTCGATGCTGTGGTGGCCATGTATTCCATTTTTCATCTGCCACGCGACGAACAAACCACAATTCTTCGTCGAATTTTCGACTGGTTGAAACCCGGAGGACGACTTCTCGCGAACTTTCCGGAAATTGGATTTGCGAGCTCTTCTGATCAATCTTGGTTGGGTGGTACAAAAGGTGCAATGCATTGGAGTGGCTGGGGTAGAGATGAAATGAGAAGACTTCTGGCGAATATTGGATTTGAAATCGAGATTGATGAGGTTGTCGTAGATGAAGAAGAAGAAAATGGAGTTTTCCGGAAGGTTGGATTTAACTGGATCTTAGCCAAAAGAGTATGAAGATATATTCTTAACCCCTCAAGACTTTTTAAGTATATATTTGTTCAAATGATTCCAAAGGACTATCTGAGAAGATTGGGTCTATTGAATTTGTGTCTCAGCTGGAACATCGTAGCTTACACTTGTGTACTTTTCTCTACTGAGTGTATCTCTTCAGATGTTTCAATGTTAGGATAACCATAATAATTTACACTGGCTAGTAGGTAGAATTGACCGGGAAACATTCCTGAAGTAGCTTATTCAAAGTGTGTAGTTGTTCCCGAATTGCTTGCTTTAGGGCTTTTGATACTACTTATTCAAAAGACTATTAATGGTCATGATGAAATCATCTGAATATAGGCAATATCTACTGTATACATATACCGAAAAGTACCATACTAATATAAGAATAACAACGAAAAAAAGAACTCTTAACTAGAAGCGAAAGATGATTGAAAATGGCAGGAAAACCAGCAGCCAGCAGCTTTTTAATTTTCCCTCCACCACCAGTGAATATGAGTACCTAGGCTGAAAACACTTCGCCAAAATCTGCATCAAAGAATACCACGACTTCCTCGAGAAAGACACAGATTCAGAACCCCGCAGCGGATACATCATATTCTCGAACATCGACAACAGAACATACGAACATGACTTCCTCGAATCTCATGACCCGGACACCTACATCCCATCATTAAAACTACTCTTGGTCAAGATGACTACTAAGGCCCACGAAGTCGCACACAGGGAGCTTGACAAGTATGTTCTCGAAAGGATTATTCGAATGAATAATATCCGCGAAATTCGCCTATACGGAGAAGCCGAGATAGAGTCTGGGTCGGTCAAGAAGAACCCCGATAACTCTTACGGCCCAGTCAGCCTCCCCGCAGGCCGCACGGATAAATGGCCCACTGTGGCAATTGAAACAGGCTACACGGGATCAAAGGCCAAGCTGGCTTGTGATGCTAGATGGTGGCTGATCGAGTCCGGGGGCGATGTGAAGACTGTCCTCACGGTCTTCGTGCACCAAAGGAAGAGGGAGATCATCATTGAAAGATGGCGGACGATCGATCGCCCAATGAGGGAACAAGAGGGCAAAAATGCGGCAGAGGTTGTGCAAAAAGTTGTTATGTCACAGGTGAAAGACCAGCTGGTTCACATAACTGGCGGACCCTTGCTCGTCCCTTTCGAGGATTTGTTTCTCCGGCCGGTCAATGCCAACGCAGGCGAAAGTGACATCTCTCTTGAAGATGACGATCTCAAGGAGGTCGCAGGAGGAGTGTGGGATGTTCATACCAAGGTCTGAGGATTAGTTCAGAGGAAAGGAACTCGACGGACCCAAAGGGGTCCAAATCCCATCAACTCCAAGCACTCTAAAATGACAAAAACGAGGTATATTGACCAGGAGTGCCGATCCGATGTAGTAGCTTATAGTTTATACCTCTCTATTACTATCTCTCGATAATCTCTATACCTATATCCCCTCTTCGCCCTCAACATTCTTCTTCTCTTCTCTCCAGATGAACACGTCTGGTACCTACTTGCCCACACAGTGATAACAACACTACCAAGTAAGAACGAAGCATTTAGGATGTGATCTCTATCAATTAAGTGTCTACACTGGTTTTTGCAGTATTTCACCAAAGTTAACTTGATATTATCGGACAAGAATAAAAGAGACATAGATGTATTGTCTAATCCCATTGGATGTCTACTCTAGTTCCCAGCTTATTGTATTGCCCTTTAGTCGTTCTAAGAAGTAAAGTACATACATCATAGGCAAGAAAGATGTTGATTAAAAGAAATGACGATTCACAATGAATATGACGCCCCTAGGGTTTGAAGATGGAATTGAAAGCAGATGCCCACGACAAAGAACGAAAAGCGATACGCCGGCACCGAGAGCGGAAAAACGTGAAACTGCAGCGGATAAGATAGCTGAGAAGGACACGGAGAACAGAGAAATAGGCGTGAAGTAGGTCATTGAAGCTTAGAATAGTACATTATGGTGAACCTTCGAAATATGCGGTTGATAATTTTAGCCATATCGGCCAACGGGAACATCGTGACGATGAAGATCCTTTGACCATTCAGGTGCAACCTTATCACGCTCATAAAGGAGGCCACAATTATGGCAGAGTGTCTAGAAAAGATGTTAGAAAAAAAAACTGCATGCCATTCTATATAGAGTACTTACCCGTGGGCCATCTGGACCATCACGCACAGCCCAAACAGCTGTACCCCATACCGCACAGTTCTTGCATCTCCAGCTTTGGCGTTCCCTGTAGAAACCATTAGTAAATATTTTAGATATATCTAGCATGAACATACCAGTCGGAAAGCGTGCCACCGCCACCACCGTACCCAGCCCCTGATCCCGTATCAGGAGTTCCCCGACCACCAGGAGTGCCACTTCTGCCCGTAGGGCTTAAGCTGCGGAACCGGCGCTTGCGCTTATTCCTTTCTCCACGTCCGAGCGGAGTCTCACTGTCTACCTCGAAGTAATTGCCACTGTTCTGCCTTGAAATCTCAGGTGTGATGCCCGTGGTTGACGAGAATCTGGCCGTTTCTCGGCGCAGACGTCGGATCTGACGTTCACGATCACCTTCTCTCCGTTCAATTTCTTCCTTTGACAGTGTCTCGACTTGAGGCTGCCACCCATCACAGATCGTTTCAGGGTCGTAACGCCAACCAGCCTCCACACCATTTGCTGCCAAATTCTCAATTTCGTTGCCATATCCGTTGATACCGCTGACAAGGGCACCACTTTCACAAACTTCTTTTTTGAACTTCAAGACTGCTTCGTAGATGGCATGCGCAATCGCACTGACCCATTCACCACCAAGGCTGAGATCTGCGCAAGTGATGCGCGCAAACTCTTCAGCCATGCCAGGTGGGTGTAGTAGAGACCACTCGAATTTGTCTGTGTACAACTTGTTTTGCAGGTTGATGTTGAGAGTGATCAAACACCGATATGCGTCATCTGGATTCAAAAGGCTGTCATTTACCAGCGCTTCTTTCGTCACAGTTACAATTGTCGCCACATCGGGCCGGTTATCAGGTGTCGCAACGTTGGCAGCGGCTGGCGTCGTTGGTGTGTCTCTAGACGGTTCAGTCTGTGGCGGGGCACTGGGCACGGTGCCTGCATCTGTGCTCTGGAAGAGGGGGTGGAGAGCGACACCAGCGTATTCCTCCAATTGCTGTCGGATCTGGTTGCTGATGGTCATGGTCGTGGCTTGAGGATTCGGGAGATCAAGATCGCGAACGAATCCAATAGCAAATTCTTCGGGCGTTGAGAGTGATTCATGGAGGTTCCATAAGAAGGTATCCTTAATGCGGAACGGGGGTAGTGGTTCAGGTCTGCGGTACGCAGGAAGAGTCTGGTTGATGCTAGGGTCCACAGCAGTGCGTGGGAAAGGGAATGGTTCGAGGGGTTGATGAGCGGGTACTTCAACGTCAATTCGAATGGGAACAAGTGTCAAGGGGAGTTGCGCTTGAATCTGCAGTTGATCGGCACACCTAGAATCACCGCGCTGTATGTTAGCCAGATTTAAAGGATAAACGGAGGAGACAGAGGCCACTGTCGTTAATGGCCACATCAGTCCCAGCGATGGGGAACATACGCTGGTCGCAACATTCTCTTAATCATCCACTCGCGAAAGAGGCCTTGCACCTCCACGGGCGCATGCACTTCTTTGCCCAGCTTCTCTGAGTAGGGCACCAACTTGTCGGCAGCGGATTCTTCGCGCCGGAGACTTCTCAGTCCTGTCGGCCGCCGGGGTCCATCGGTCTCATCAAAGTCCTCGTCGTCAAAACCGTCTTCTGCATAATTGATGGCTGTAGTTCCACGCTTCGTCGTACGCGGAGTCGGGCCGGTCTGAGACGGAGGATTGACAGGTGTGAGCAACGCGTTTCCATACTGGCGCATGCGCGGAGGGTAGGAACTGATGTAGCCTCGTAGAGGGGACATGTTGGCGATTTAATTGCACAATAACATGCCCCTTCGGGGATATGAGCGGGAGAATGGAGAGCTTGCGATTGTTGATCGGCTCGATGTTCGAAGGGCTGATCACTGCAGTGAGGCACAATTGACAATGGTCCAAGCGCGAAAGAGACTAACGAGTATTTGGATGACACAGCATAAAGTAAATGTGTGACAAAAATCAAGATCGCGTCAGAGGCATCCAGATAGGATCCAGCTGGGGAGATTGGCTTTGAGACCGATATTCTGCGCGACTTTGACCAATTCGACGCTAGTCCCATTCCAGGAATGTTATCACGTGATCTATTTGTGCCTGAGGTCTCCAACCTTGGAAGTTGAAGCTGAATTCTGTCGACAATAGGCATATCAATAAAAATCATCAATAGGGACTTTGGTCCTTACCCATTGTTATTGTGAATTGGCTCATTGTCACAGTCATAGAAGACTCAACTTTGAAACATCAAATGGTAAGTGGTTGAGAGAAAGGCTACAATTCCCGAATACTAGATCTGCACCATATATTCAAACTTCACAGCTAAACGAACTGCTTCCAAGAAAAATTTACCAATCTGACTAGAAAATGAATACACTGAAAGGAATGAGAATACCCAAACTGCTAAGTACGCCAGCGCTGCTGTCGGTAAGATAAAAACCTGAATGATTGTTGCAGACAAATTTAAATGCAACTTTGGAAAAAAAATAACATTCGAAACTTCGAGGCGCAAGGCCGGGGGAATGGTAATCGCACATGCAAGGAAAAGAAAGGGGAAAATTCATCGGAGCCCAATAACACTCTGCGATGGGATTAGCTATCAAGAGCTTCAAGTTCATTAAGGATGGGGATCTTACCATCTCCAGAGTCCACACACGCCGAATCCAGACCTTAACTGGCCCATCGACGCCCTCTACGTCGTCCAACTCAATACCCTCCCACCAGCAGCGGCGGGCAGGCTTCCGCCAAAACAAGAGAAGTTTCTGGGCCATGCCCACGGAATTGTTGTTTGACAGGTCTCCGCGAATGTCGGTGCGGAGTTTGGCCAGTGCAAGACTGCATATTACTGCCTTGTTAGGCTCTGGGGCACGGTGGCCCCACTGGTCAGCACGATCAAAACCTCTACATCATATATTAGTATTGATCCTTGATTAAAACCTCGGATTTCACTCACCCAGCTGTCAGCATTTCAATAAGATGCTGTTCCGTGGACCCAATCTCCTCACTCTTCCGCAGCCCCGAAAAGATGCCATCCTGTCTCAACAACGACCGACCAGCCGCCCGCTTGACTTCAAGCATTTCATCGTGTCCAATGTCGGCTCGAGGGGGGATTACGTAGAAGTCAAGGTCCTCTCGGAGAACAATGATGCCAGCACGGTCCTGCAGCATGTCACGGGCTGAGCCCTGCATTGCATCCGACATATCCAAATCTGGTGAGTTTGAGCCGGAAGGGAGAGATGAGGGGATGGTTTGGGCGACAGTTCGGAAGAAATCCAGCATGTACTGAAGTGAGACCGGGTCATACTAGATAATACCTGTCAGCATGGCTTTCCTTGATACTCAAGAGATGAATTTGCGTACATCAACCGGGAATACATCACCGTCATGGAAACCATTAGTACCATGTCCATCCGGGAGGAGGCCATTGGGGAAGAGAGAAAGTAGAACGAATTCAGGCAAAGTCAACAGCTCATCCCGCGAAAGCGTAAACCGGGTACCACTATCAATTTGTTAGACTATGCGTAATTGAGATATCTATGTGTGATCCTACCGGAGGTCGAGACCGACGTGTTCGTCTCCGCCAATATCTATCACAACATATTAGCGCAAAGCACACCAAATGACCTTGGTTATCAAACATACCACCAAGAGTGTTGATTGGCGGTCCCCCGGTCTGTTGGACCTGGGTGATGATACTAGAGGCACCTCCTGCGGCAGCCATCACGTAGGTGAATGACTCAAGTGGACTGTAGCCTTCTGTATATGGCGGCGGTGGTTCACCGTCGTCTGAAGAGCCCTCGTTTTTTGGTTCAGAGAAAGATGCTTTTGTGTCAGCAACAACCGCCGAAGATGGGGCCGGCTCGAGCGACTCCTCGACAGGTGCTAGAGGCGCTAAGGCTGGAGGACAAGCGGGTCCAGGTTCAGTGACTTTGTATGGGCGATTGTTGTCTGGAAGTGACGAGAAGATAAGGGATGAAAATGGCGGAGGATATACAGGCGAGGAACTGGACGCTGATGCAGGCGAGTGTGGTGGAGGTGCAGTGTAGTAATTGTCGTCCTCCTCTAGGGAGTCGGTTGAATGGGGCGGAAACGCCGTGGTTGATGCGTCCGACGGCGGCGTTTCTCGCGACACCGTGGTTTCTATTATTGCCTGAATCAAGTCAGACAGGCTGATATGTGCAACCAAGATGGTCAAATACTGACCTAGTCAATGCGACTGATCTGGGTCGAGTCTCGTCCAAGTTGGAGAGTAACAGTTTTCCAATTCAATGACTTTCACCAAGAATGAATCTTTCTAGATATGAGTAGAGCAAATGTTTCTGCTAAGCAGTTTTGGAGAAGGAGAGCGCTTAGAGGTTGGGGAAGGGTAGATCAACTCACGGCGGTAAGTCCGAGCGTCTCGAAACCTTGGCACGTGCCGTGTCCTCTTGTCCCTTTTGTTTGGATTTAGTTGAATTTATGTTGAATATAATAAGATGATATTAGACATGTTAAGTTAAACATTCAAGTACTATACCATACCTATAGTATATCAATGATGTAGGCTTTTGACCTATCTTCGGCCGGTCCCCGCAGAAACCGCTCTTGATCTGTATCATTCAATGTTCTGAGTCGAAGTAATTCTGATTTTCAAGAGATTGTGAACTATTCTTTCTAACTTTGTCCATCGAATACTCGAATACTCCGCTATCAAAGTCGAATATCATTTCGTTATCTACTAGCTTTGTTGTATGGGTTATATAGGTCTTGACAACCTTCCAAGGTTGGAATATACATTCACCATAGTCATGAAACCGCAATATATTGTGTTCCTTTTTTTACTATAAACATCACAAGGAAAACGCAGATGTAACAAATGTGATTTGCTAGAGAAACTCTGGTTTCAACTGTACAGAGTAATCTACTTGGGAAAAGGGGTTAATTAGACCCCAAATTCTCAAAAATCGCAATGATAACGATTGTCGCTCGCAAAACTATAAGTAGACATTGAAAAGGAATAAAAGGAGAATTAATTATAGATGTCTGTATATATATGCATTTCATTTGCTTATAAATGTATATAATGTTGTATCAAACGTTACGCTCTGCAAAGCTCTGAATTAGACCCTCGAGAGTGGGTTCATACTCCTTCAAACTGACTTCGTCACCCTCAAGTATAGTGTTGGCCTGCACAAAGACCTTACGTGGGACCTTGTTCTTCAAAACAACCCCACGAACGGTGGTTCCCCACCAGCTGTCAACGGAGGTAATATCGTCGTACAAACCCTTACCAGCATCGACGTCTGCGGTACTCTTGTAGACATGTAGCTTCTGGAGGTACTTCTCCACGGCAGGTCGTCCGTGAGTCAGAATTTTGGACCGGTCAAGATGGATCTCTAGATCAGAGAGGTCCTCCTTGCTGTAAGACAACTTGACGAAGTCATCACCGGCATCGAGGAAGGTGCGCAGGATACTATAACGAGCCTGCATGTGGGCCTGGCCCCATTTCTGGGTCTTCGGATCCCAGAACTCGAGGGCAACCAAACCGGCACGAGCCATAGAAAGGTAGGCTGCAAACAGGACATCGCCGGCCTCGCCGGCCAAGTCTTCCTTGCCATCGCCGAATCCGAAGATCTTCAGGATGCCAAAGTCGCAGCCAAGCACCATGGCCACGCACTCGGCACGGCACTCCTCATATGACGAAGCAATGGAACCAAAGACCGAGCTCCATGTCTGTCCAGGCTTGTACCAGGTCGAAACGGGCTTGTTGGTGACAGGGCTGATGGGCGGGTTCTTAATATCAAAGTTATACTTTCCTGGCTCTGTCTCCTGCAACAGCTTACCAGTTCCATGGCCCAGCAGTTCGTGGATACCGACCTGGACTTCAAAGGCAGGGTCCCGGAATGCGCGGTATACCTCCTGGTCACTCTCAGCAATGAAAGGAATAGCCTCGTTAGGGGCCTTGGCGCTGAGAACGTTGCCCAAAGACACGTTCTTGAAGCCAAGATTCTGGCGAATATCATCATAGTTGGGCAGGTTGATGCCAGCTGGGAGACCAGAGCAAGCGAAACTCAAGACCTCCAATGACGTGAAGTCGGGGCTGAGGAACTTATCTTTCTCGAAGTCCTTTCCCCAAGGCAGCTTAGGAATCATGCTCTCAGCACTGTCAACCAGCGTACCAAAGGCTCGGGTGCGCTCCAGATTGACCTTGAAATGTTAGCGACATCAGTCAATATAAATCCAGCAGAGGTCATACCAAAGCAACGAAGCCTTCCCATTCTCCACGCACACCATGAGGGTCTCTGTATGTTTCAACAAAGCCCAGGTTCGTCTCCAGCACGGGCTTTTGGTCCTTGACCCAGATGCGCTGGCTCTCCTTGAAAGCCTCGATAGATCCAGCCCCAAATGAAAGAGCATATGAATCCAACATCTTCTTCTGGTTGTCATTTGCAGCCGCAAGCCCCGCCTGCTTGATGCTGTGCGCGATCTTTGCCATCTCCTCCTGATGATCACCGAAGACAAGACGCAGCGTCTTTCCCTTCAGATCTCCCTCAAGCTCGAAAGTATCTACATCACCAAGATCCCGGTCCTTCACAGGAGGCGACGAAACACCAGATGCGATCAAAAGCTCGAAATCACCCGAGGATGTCTTCCGAATTCTGGTATTCTCCAATGCGAGTCCCTTCTTCTCCATCAAGTCACCAATTGCCGTGATCTCCTCCTGCGAGATCGTCGGCGAATCAGGGTAGTAAGTGGTCATGTGGCCAGCCTTGGGGTATCCGAGGTGCATCATCGACTGTTCACTGGTTTCGTAGATGCCTCCTCCAGTGGTGCTAGCCTTCTGGAAAGCTGCCTTTGTCTCCACAGTGACCGAGGCCAAAGCCTCGAACGCAGATGCGGACAGCCGAGGGATAAACTTTGAGTCACCAAATCCCTTGTAGTTTCCGCAATTTCCCAAGAATTGACCCGCATATTCGAGGAAGAAACGGAGATCTTCGGAGCTGACTTGTGTTTTTTGTGCAAGGCTGTTCCAATCGCCATTGGAAGCATGGTAGAGTGACAGGATGAGATCGTAGATGGGTTCGGACTCGGGGGAAACCTGTCGCAAGGTGACTCGAGTGCCCTCAAATGCGGCTCTGTATACATTTAAAGAATTAGCTGGCAATAATGCAGTACTTGCAGGTAGACCCAGAAACACCGTACCTGCTCATGAAGTGCGCATATTTTCTTGAGTTTTGGTCTTTGAGGGTATCAAAGTGTGACTTGATTTCCAGTCTGACCACCGTAGGAGGCGAGTCAGCTAGGTAATGCTGTTTGATGCTTTGGTCCATGGTAGGCGAACGATTTATATACGAGGAGTAGGTTGCTTTGAGAGTTGACAGTCGAGGGTTCCGATGGAGGGGTAAACGTAGCACGGAGCTCCGGGAGAGCGCAATGCCCATCGAGTACATATGGAGGGGCTTTGCGAGGTATGACATAGCATGAAGTGGCACCAATCAGGTACGTGTCTCCCTTCGGATTACCGTTGGAATCCCGATCTACATTTCTTGGCATTATTTCGATTTGCTAATGTTCTTTTTTGCTTAATTACAACTACAGTATCTATTCACTATGCTAGGAATGTGCAGTAATAGAGCAATAACAGCAATAAAAAAGGGGTATCAGCAAAAAAAAAATAACAGTTCTCTCTTATATCAGACTCTCATACTTGTCCAATCCGTTCTTCTGAGTTCCCTGTTGCGTTGTCACACCTGTGCCTTGGAAAGACGTTGATCTGTTGGTGTTTATCGGAGGGGGTCTAATAGCGCTGTTGGACCCTATGCCTCCTGCCGGGGGAGGGGGAATTGAGAATGAGGAGTAGTTGGGTGCCGGTTGGGTCGTTGACGCGGATATGTGGTTTGAGGGTGTCATAGTCGACATGGACCCAAGAGACTGACCTGGTGGGCCTGTGTGGGATCGAACATTGGCATTGGCCGGAGATCCCCAGATAGAGGATGAAGGCTGCATTGTAGGGAACGCTTGAGCACTTGGTGAAGCTTGCCGAACAGGAGCAAGAGACGGGAAAGAGCCTAATTTCTGATCCGGAGTAATGGAACGGAAGCCAAGATTCGACTGCTGGCTGAGAGTGCTGGCTTGGGGTGTTGTCATGCCTGCATTATTTGAAGACCACGAGAATGAAGGTGGCATGCTCGGAACCGTTGGCTTGGCTGGCTGTGGCTCCATACTACCCCACATATCTATACTCTGGCCATTCGTGGGAGATGCCTTCTTCCCAAGAACGAGGCGCTCGAAGCTACCAGCACCGGCATCCTCACCAGGCGAGCTGAGGCCTGTGGCAGACTGCGAAAACTCGTCGGCACCACTCTGGAAACCTGTCGGTCCAGCGCCAGATGATAACTCTTGCAGCTTTTTGCTTTGTTCCTGTTCAATTCTCGTTGAAAGAGTTTTTATCAGAGACATAAACGCATTGAACTGTTTAAGGCTCAAGAGCGGCCCAAGACTGAAACTCCAGAGAACTGGCAGAACTTCCAAAGCTAGAAATTCAGTGTCTGCGACGGTTCCAACTTGACGAAACACCTTCAACGATGCCATCATCACTGACGGTTCTTTCGTTTTGATCGCCTTGAGAGATGGGACGAGCTTTTCTTGAATGGTATACTTGTCTAGGATCGAGGACTTAGTTGTTTTCGCCTTAGTCTCCTGTATCCCGGACAAATCATCATCAAGCCCGTCTGAAACTTCTGTAGAGGCCCCACAGAGGACTCCGAAAGCTTCCAGACTGCGAACTTTGATAGCAAGGCTACTAGTGCGACTGAAAGTGGCAGCAATGGGAGGGAATACGTCGTTCTTGACCGTACTAAAGTCAAGAACTGGGAGCATCACAGGAAGGCACTTAAGGGAAGCATCCACTAAGGAGTGAGTGGGAGAATCCAGCCCGAGCCGAATCAGGGGTAGAATATCTAGGGAAACGACGTCAGATGTAGGTTCAAAGGTTTCCATTGACAAAACTGACCATCTTTAAACTCCATCCCTGAACAATTATCAGCGATCAGCTTCATGTTGTCAAACACAACCATGAGACCAGCATCTTTCTTAGAGTCTCGTTCAGTAGCCCCCTTGCCCGATCCAGCCCCGAAGACTTCTTTCAGACGAGGAATTATTTTCTCTGGAAAGACACGGCGTCCATTGGGAATCCGCTGAAGAATCCCAAACACGTTTTGTAATATCAGTGGAAGAAGTTCCCGATCCTTCAATTCGTCCATCAACGCTCCCAATAGCTTTCTCTCTAACACAGAAACGGGGAACTCCGGTAGTACCCGTTGTAAACCACGCAAGAATTGAGACTTCTCATTAGGATTCTTTGCCGGCAAGGATTCCAGGAACCGGATAGTGGAAACCAACACATTGTCAAAGTACTGTGATTGCTGGAACTCTCGAGCGTTCATGCGTTGAGCAGGCCTTCTGGTAATGAGCCTCGGTAGGACATGGGAAAGTAAGTCCTTGGGAATTGGCTTCGGGCAAAGGAAATTATTGCTCTGTGATGGGGTGGAAGATGGAGAGCTCAGCAGTTTCTTATAGGTGGTCAAGTTCCCGTGCGTTTGTAAAGGCGATACATGCGGAGAGTTGTACAAAGCGATGATGACAAGGCCCAAAGAGAACAAATCGGCAGCTGACGATACATTGGAGTCCATTGCAAAGTCAGGCGACGTGTAGTCGAGGTTCAATTGTACTGAAGCGGGAAGCCTTGGTTCTTGGTAGAGAACCTCAGACACAGCCAATGGCGGAAGCGATGAATGAGTTTCAGAAGCGTCCGGAGGCCCCGCGAATCCCAGACCAGAGATCTTCCAATCTGATTTGGCATTGATATAGATGGCATCCGGGTTTAAATTTCCATGCACTAGGCCCGCAGACTCGTGAAGGAATTCAAGACCCTTGGCAACTTGCAAGAGTCCCTTTTGAATTTCCAACTCATCAATCTCCACATCTCTTCTTCTCCGAGTCCCATCGGACCCCTCAACCATATGGCGGCTCGTTCGCGAACCAGCGCGTGTGGTATTCTCTTGGTCGTCTTTTTCTAGCAGCAGCCCGGAGAGTGAGGCGGTGAGATGTTCCGTGGCAAACATGAGGCCACCACTGCGCGTTTCCTCCACAGGCTCAAGCACCTGAAGAACGGATGGGTGTCGTAGGCGCGCGAGATTGCTAGCTTCGCGCTTAAGTCGCTCGATCACATCATCTTGGAGCTTCTTGGATGACCCAGAACTCCTCCCAAACCCGCTAGAGCGCGTCTCTAGTGATTTGCGATCAAAAATGAACACCGATGCCGCCGTTCCAGTGGACTTCTTCTTTGCATCGTGAATTTTCCAGGGGCCGGAGTAGACGGTGGGGTTAGGTGAGATTTGGTAATTGGCAGAAATATTGGAACTGAACGACTTGAGCGCAGAGGAAAACATGGTAGTTAGACCACAAGTGTGGATCTGACGGCGGGACAGTCGACGGAATGAAGGGAATTGTTCGTTTCACAGTGTCGTCACGGTGTAGCCAACACAAGACATGTTCATTTCAATAACACAGCATTCAAAAGGAGTATCGATAGGGGGTGAGCCGTTGTAGACTCGGTGGCTAATAAGAAACATTAGCTCAAAGAATGAAAGGATTGTCCACGGGTTGCATACTTGGTCAATTATCCCGCGCAATATGGCCTCAAGCCCTCCCGAGGTCAACAACAACCATCGCCTTATCGGTGGGTATCACGTGATCTTATTGATAGCTGTTCTATTACCAACCTCGGTCAGGCATGATCTTGCATCACTAAAAGTCGTAGGAAGCTGAAGTTGGTGGGCAGCTTAACTTGCTACAGATTGCCTTAGTGCATCAGCTCTGGAGTGACCCGTCGATAATATGGGGGTGAAACTCTTTTTGTGAAGTAATATTGCGTGACCAACGTATCGATACGTTCACTGCACTCCTACAATAATGGGGTTGAAGACTTAACAAGTCAAAAAAATGCAAAAAATAAATAAAATAAGATAATATTTACTGATTCTCCTTGATTAAAATAAGGGTATAGGAATGAAATTTAGCGGTCTATAGCATCTGTGACTAGTGCAATATAGAAACTATTACGATGCCGATTCGCAGACTATATGTATATTTATACAACATGAGTGACCGATTCTGGGACAGGAGCCGACCTCATTCCACCCAAGCATAAATGCGGTTTTCAGGAAGCGAATCAAACTGAGAGGTGAACTAGAAGGACACTGTTTATAATTTATACATATTATCTAGGTTCATGACGTGTAGAGTTGGCCTGTGGACCGGGCTAGTTGAAATCTATATCTTTGTGTCTTTTATTTAACACTACAGTGGCATTGAGAACCTTGGAAGGAGTACGGGAGGCGTTGGAACTTGATGGCTAAAGCGGAGCCAAGAACATTGGCTCAAAGGCTATGAGATAGAATTGTCTACGAGTACTCGGTTATAGCCATATAGACTCAGGTCCTCGTGACTCAACATGTTGTGTCTTAACTCTCAGTAGGACATCGGCACCCTGGTACAATTACTTACCAATTATCCTTTCTAGTTCTATACTACGAATCTACGATAGCCTAGTATATCTACCTGCTTAAGGCAGTGCCACAATCATTAGCTTGAAGGCCCTTCTAAGCCTTGAGCCAGTTCCTTCCCTTTGCTACCTTCGAACTATATTATAGAAGTCTGCAGACATGAGCTCTTGGCGGATGCTTCAGGGAATTCCATTGCTCAGCAACCGACGCAAGCCGCAGGAAGCCGAAGTCGGCGGACAACTCTAATTTTGCAGTCGCTGATTGGCCAAAATGACTCCACATTCCTTTATCTAGGGCGGTGGCAGAATTTCACATTTTGGGGCCTCCGAGTCATCGGAGTTGTTGTTGAGCTCCGCAGAGGCACTGCAATTCTAGTGCGGAGTCATCTTTCTAGTTGTGATATAAATCCCCATTGACCCCCCCGATTTCAGTACGTTTATACTCCTTCCAGTGACTCAATTGACACACTCCACTCTCTCACCCTTGGCTGGCCCTTGGATTGTTCCTAACATCACTACAGTCATGAAGTCGCTTCACCAATTGGCTCGCCGACAGGCACTGACCGGGCTCGCAATGCCCCGCGTCCTCTCCTCACAGAATATCTCCGCTAGCCGGACATGGCAGAGAGCTTTCAGCGCCTCCACGGCGGCCGCCTCTCAGCTCCCAGGCCTTGACGCTTCAAAATTGACTATCACCAAGACCACCACCCCTAAGGAGCTAATGGACTCCAAGGATCTTGTCTTTGGCAAGTACTTCACAGGTAAGAGGAACTCTGCCCGTTTGTCCTTTCCAGGCACTGACTGGAAGCAATTGTAGATCACATGCTCTCCGTTGAGTGGACAGCTACCGATGGATGGCACGCACCTCGAATTGTCCCATACCAGAACCTAAGCTTGGATCCTGCAACCTGTGTGTTCCACTATGCATTTGAATGCTTTGAGGGCATGAAGGCGTATAAGGACAGCACCGGTGGCGTCCGTCTGTTCCGCCCTAACAAGAACATGGAACGCCTTAATAAGTCTTCTGCGCGTATTGCTCTTCCTACTGTGGATGGTGATGAATTGACAAAGATCATTGGGGAATTTGTGAAACTTGACAGCCGGTTCATTCCAGAGTAGGTAGATCTTTTTGTCCCTGGGATAGACATCCTGGCTAACCTCCGCAGTGCTCGTGGCTACTCCTTGTACCTGCGCCCTACCATGATTGGTACCCAGAAGACCTTGGGCGTTGGCCCACCAGGATCCGCTCTCCTGTATGTCATTGCCAGCCCCGTGGGTCCTTACTATCCCACTGGCTTCAAGGCTATCGACCTGGAGGCCACTGATTACGCCGTTCGCGCCTGGCCCGGCGGTGTTGGCGACAAGAAGCTTGGAGCCAACTATGCTCCCTGCATTCTGCCTCAACTCGAGGCCGCATCCCGTGGTTTCCAGCAAAACCTGTGGCTCTTTGGTGAGGAGGAATATGTTACCGAGGTCGGCACCATGAACCTTTTCATTGCTATGAAGGACAAGGAGACTGGACAGAAGGAGCTTATCACTGCTCCTCTTGACGGTACTATTTTGGAGGGTGTCACTCGTGATTCTGTTCTGACTCTCGCCCGCGAGAGACTCGGTCCCAAGGGCTGGAACATCTCCGAGCGTAAGATTCGCATGTCGGAGGTTGCCGAGGCATCCGAGGAGGGCCGTTTGATCGAGGTTTTCGGTGCCGGCACTGCTGCCATCGTCAGCCCAGTCCGCAACATTAGCTACAGAGGTAAGATGGTTGCATGTGGTCTGAAGAAGGACGAGGAGGCTGGCGAAATTGCTCTCCAGATGAAGAACTGGATGGAGGCTATCCAATACGGCGATGAGAAGAACCCTTGGAGGTAAGTTGGCACCAGTCATGTTGAAACCGGGTGACAATATACTAACGATTTGCCATAGTGTTGTGCTCTAAGGCAGATATGTCAGATAAAAGGGGATTCTCAACCTAGGCTTTGTGGTAGTATGGCCGCATAGGCTTTCAAAAGTCCTTGTTAGTGCGGTATTTTCTTGGTTAATTGTGCATCTTGTTGGAATATTTGAGGTCCCGAGGCTACCACGCAGCAGCGAGCGTCTTTTACATATTCATTTGGAGGTTGGTTCTCTATATAGAGCTTTTCTGAACCTTGCTATTTTCGGATTTTCGTCGAGTCCATCATTTCGTAGAGTGCCACAGTCTGTGGGGTTGACAAATACTTACTAGAAGGAGAAACACACGGTCATCTAAGTCAGTTTGACTCGCAGGTATTGGCAATCATTTGAAATTGATTCAGGGGCCGTGGAGTAACAAGCACCAGCAGCAGCTTTGCAAAAGGTAGTAAAGATGAAAAATGAAACACCGCCAGGGTGGTTCCCTGCCAGGTGGGTAAGATTGCTTGCTGATCATCTCCCCCGCTTTATGGCAGCCTTATATTCTCATTATCCACGGAAGACCTAGCTCTATTCATCGCATACAATCATAATATAGGCGCCCTCAAATTGTGCTAAGGGGTTTCCAATGGGTCCAAACCTCAAAGAAACACGTATCAAACTATGTACCTTCATCATGGGTAGTGGAGTTTGTGCTATAATGGTGCGATAGATAATCAACACGACGATCTGCAATAACTTAAGCAAGGTAGAGGAAGAAACTTCTTATGGGACTATATAAAGGAGAAGAGACTGAAGTTGTTAAAATGTTCAAATCATAGTGGAAGAAAAGGCCTTATGCCTTCTACTCCATACTCATATGACCCACTTGATTGATTTGACCTTTGATTCGCTAAAGCTATCGATCGACAAATAGTCTAGATACAACGTCATGCCTAGGTAGTCTGTTTGGTCGACATATTGTCAATTCTTCGCCTATCTTACAAATTACGGTTGCTACACTATAGATTTCGGTCTTGAGGGATTTATTTACCTATGTATATCTTGCCCAGGAAACAGAGTATTCGTACCATGGAGATATGATCATCTGACATAGACAATTCTGAAACATCCGCCAGCCCACCTGATCAAATCTTCCAGTTTGACGAACACAGTGCTGACGATCGTCAGCCACCCGTGTCTTCAGCCCCGCCTGTTTGTTAGAAAGTTCATATTGACTTCGGGTCCCTCACATGCTCAATAAATCTTAGAGGCAGGACTATATAGGCCCTAGTCACATGGGATTTCTAATTGATAGTCCGAATGAATTGATCGCAACAATAAAGCCAAATCCAGCAGATACCGAGCTGAGCAAAAATAAGGTAAGATAGGCGATATATGTAGCACGTGGACCACGTGGAATGAGGCTAAGCCTAGACGCGACAAATGAAGCGAGGGAAGAAAATCGGCTCTGTAGGGAAGGTTTCAGGCTCAGTCTGTACGCCCCTAGACTATCAAATTTAGAATCATAACGGGACACAGCAGGCGTTTCAGAATGTTCCCCATGGTTACAATGGGGGTTGTTCGATCTCATAGGTCAAATTTAGTTCTCGGCATATTTTGGGGGTTGCAATGGAGGCCTTTTCGAATTAGATTGCAACGGGAAATAACCGGACTTGGGAGTGGCTGTGGGGGAGGGGAGGGACTGCCCAGGTGGTTTCTTATCTTGGGATACCCCCGATGAGAGAGTCTTAAGATTATTCTCTTCCGGACTTATGGGGATAAATATAGTGCACCACAAACTGGGAGAAGTTAAGTGCTGAGCGATGTCTTTGTGTTACTCGAGACAACCTTGAAGAGGGATATTCTAACCATGTCTCGCAGCCATCACATTCGGAGATGTTTGATCGTATTCAGCTTCAGCTCTGGACGCCTTGTCCAACGTCTCCGACCTGGGCAAATCTATTTGAAGTTGAAGTTGACTCGTCCAGTGCACCTAGGACTTCCCCCTCGGTCCATTTCACGTTTAGTGTAACAAACCTACGCGAGAACGACAACGTGTTAGCACTATGCAAGAGACTCGGAGATTGCCGTCATTGATATTCCTTGCGTGACACCAGAATTTCCAAATAAAAAAAGAAAGAAAGAAAGAAATAGAATAAAATAAATGGAAACACAATGGGGAAAAAGGCAAGGAATCTACAGTCATGCGTGTGCCAGCTCGGACACAGCAAGGTCTGGGGCTGCATAGTCCACCGCCAGGAACATTCTTCTAGATTGTTACTAGAAGGCTCAAAATGCAACCCATCTCATCATCTGGGGATGAGTATGGCATATGAGTGGCTACAATCCCTGCAGGTGGAAGAGTTTCCACTAGGATGGCTGTGCAATTCTTTGAATTCCAACTGGCACCGACAGTATTAGCGGTGAAGACAGGTATGTACCGGGTACCTGAGCTGTTGTGTTCATTTGAGCGTGTCACTGAGGTCATGGGATTTCCAACATTACTCGATCAATAAGAAGGTGTCCAACTCAGCCCTATACAGGGAGACACCTTTTGGGGGCACGAACGGAGTTGGTTAATACTACATTCCTGTTAACTCCGACCCGTATTAGTGGAGACCCTGCAAGGCCACCTATTCATAGCCTTGTCTTACCAGAAAAGAGCCTCTTTTTTATATATATATATATATTTTTTTTCCTTCTTTGGGATTTTCCCCTCTAAAACCCCCTTGGGGCCACGAATACCCGTATTTTTGTCGGAGTCAAGCATCCGGGTCTGAGCGTATCTCCGGGGGGGCTAAATAGTAGCCTACGCAGGCAAACAGTGGACCTTAATTCTCACGGGAGTCAACGGATTTACCTGCGCATCATATGCCTAGATTGGTATTCTGAATGCCGCCAATCAGGCAACCAGTGGAAGCGCGTCAATGAGACTATCACAGATACTTATTTTAATAAAATATATATAATAAAAAAAGCAAAAAGCAAATTGACATTAATTACAACATATATGCCAATCCAATACAGGCATAGGGGTGAATCAATATAACCCAATTGCAAGTCTTATACACTCTTTCTTCTGATAAAAGTGTATCTTTAGTTTCATCCTGAATATTCTAACAACATTCTAAGCCCATTTTAAACCATATGATAATCCTCAAGATCATCCAAAGAGTCAGATCTTTATCCCCCCTAGTCCGTTGCCAAGATGAAGACTGTAATAATCAAATAATCAAATAATCAAATAATAATAAATAAATAAAAAAAACGTGGTGACCGTGCACGTTTGAAGCAACCCACGTGAGAAAAGCAAGGTGTAACCCCAAAGTCCATGCATCCCGTTTCATCCCTGGGCATATCGTGTCTCGGGCCAGGTCGAATGAGGATTGCCTCCAAGCGAACATCTAATCCCGGCTATTATTTTGGTATTAGATCTATGCCGACCAGTCTGTCGGTGTTTTTCAATAGTATTTTTTCTATTTTTTATTTCGAGATTATTTCGGTGTTTTAAACCAGTTTTAACTGGTTTAAGATTAAATGGTTTCATTCCCCATATAGAGGCTGAATGTGAGCTAATTAATTAAAATAAAAAAAATAATAAATTAAACGGGACTTTGTGCACATGGCAGGTCGAGTCTAATGGTATTCGAGCACGGACTGAGCTGGTTATCGCGACGGGGCTTAGCTGCAAGGCCCGAACCAGGCCTTAACAAGAAGTCCTTATATATACTGGCATCCACTTGCCTTTAGCCTCATATTCCCTTCACCTTACTTCTGCCTACCCCTCTCTCTTCTCTCTACTATCTCCTACCCTGTACTTGATCTTTGTCGCTCTGCTCTTAGCCTTTACCTCTTTTACCATGAATCGCTCTCCATCATATGATGGCCGTTCAGGCTCTCGTGGTAGTCACAGCAATAGCAGCGCATTCAGCCCTAATGCAAACCCAAACGAGGACTGGACCAAGATCTCTGATCTTGCAGAGCGTCGGCGCATTCAAAACCGTATTGCCCAACGCAACTATCGTAAGTAAAAGATAGATCTTAGACTCTATACATTTTCTCTAACATGCAACAGGCAAGAAATTGAAGCGACGCCTGGAGGATCTCGAGAGACGAGCTGCAACTTCCGCTTCCCCAGAACAATCACACGCAGAGCCAGTTTCTCCTAAACCATCGACAAAGACTCGAACAAAGCAGCGATCCAAAACAGATGTCAAGTCTCACTCGCAGTCAGACCGAGCTGGCTCGTACGACTACTATTCCCCCGAGGACCGTCAAACCATGTTCGCCCAACAATGTACTCGCCAACTCTCTGCTTCTCCCCCACCAGTATTTTCCTACCCATCCATGTCACCATATGACACCTATCGGCAGTCCGCCTACGCCCAGTCCCCCATCTACCATGCCGCACCGAGTTCCTACAGCGAGATCGCCTACCAGACCGAATATGGTGAACAGGTCCCCTCGTTGGTCCCTGTGCTTCCGTCGATGCAAGCTCGTAAACTTGCCTACGACGAAGATTTGATTAGTCCATTCAGCATGAGCTATGCAACAATGGCTGGGATTGACCTGTGCCAACAGCAAACTCAAGCCCAATCTCATTCTCATCAGCCTTCTGCGCTTCCGGTACATTTTCCTCGCTGAATCTACTCATCGACCAGTCAGCTAATATCTGTCTGTGTTTTTTTTTTTTTTTTCCAGATGCCAGCACTTGCATATTACGAGGACCAGCGAGCACCATCGACTTCACCAGAAGCATCTATTTTCACCTTTCCACTCACACCGGAATCCGCCCCATGTTCACCTCGCTCCATGCATGGGCTGTATGAGTATGATCTACGGTCATGAGGCGATCGGGGGGATCGGGGACGCGAAAGGCCGAATTGCGGGTATTTCCGCCCCGTCCAGGCCTAACTTCCCCCCGAACGGTCCACGTTTTTTCCCTTTGCGTCCGAATTGGCTCTCCGCTCTCGAGTGCTTTTCTTTTTTCTTTTTTTCTATTTTCTTTTTCTTTTTTTTTTTTTATTTTCCCGCCCCTGTTATGTGTGATGAGATAGCTGCATGATAACTGGCGTTGATTTCTCTTATTGGTAGCGTGGTGTTAAATGGAACAGGGATGAGCTAGGGAGCCACGTTGAATGGATTATTATTATTATTTTTTTGTTTTCTGATTAAATGATCTACAGATGGCGAATTTGATAACATCCTCAATAGAAATTCTATAAAGTTCTCATCGATTGGTCCAAATCGAAGCCCCAACTTGCATAACTCCATGGCCCCCAAACCTCCGTGCGGGATTTTCTCAATTTCAGCTTAGCCAGAAACATTTGACCTGGAAAACTATCCTTTTGATTGTTTAGTTGCCTATGTTGTATGGAGTCTTAAGACTTATAGTTGACACAGACCAGTTCCTCAAAGTGGACAAGTTTAAAAAACAGTTAAATCTCGCCGACTAAACTAAGAACCAATCTACTGGGAAACCCCCGATCCCTGCAGAAAATAGACATCCCCACATCACTTCTTTATCCCGGCATTTCGACTCAAGCCACTCTTTCAAAAGGATTTTCAAGTTACTTTCGATGAAACCACAAAATCAATTCACCGGATGATGCAATCTGCAATATCTTCCTTAAATTCCCTTGTATATGTTGTATATGCGCAGAGGTACAGAGGGTGGTCCGAGAATCCTGCTGCGCCTCAACTGTTTTTCCCCCTCCTTTCAAGCATATTTTGTACTTTGGCTACGGACAGCACATTAGGTCTCCAGATTAAACAAAGCCAACCGAAAACGGGAGCCAAGCAAAACACAGTCTGGCTTTTTTCTTTTTTTTTTTTTCCAACAGTCACATCCACTTCGGATTGGCGATGTTTCGCCCGGCTAGAAGGAACACTTTACATCCGGTCCCAAAGGTCTCGGAGGAACAGCCGCACCTTGGATCCGTCCAATGATTGCTATTTAAATCTAGTTAAGGGTACTCTGTATAATAAATGAACCTCATGATGTGATGCTATAAATCCACAGCCCCTCCAGATTTCGGCCGGGAACAGTCTAGAGTAACTGGGGGGGGGGGGCTTGGGGCTGAAAGGGCTGAAAAAAAAAAAGAAAAACAAACCAGCTTTAATTGAGGTAGTTTTCTTCCCGGGAGAAAGATTAAAGGGCTAAATACAAAAGTAATTCCAGCCAATGATCTTCTTTTTCCTGTCTTGGTTTAGCTCTATCGTTGGCGGCTCTGGTCTGCAGCTTTCCCGCCTATCCCCCATCCCTGTATGATATATGTATGGTGCGTGGTCAAAAAGGAAGGTGACTTATCCTCTCCCCTCTCTGCACGTTGTGATTCACCCGCATTGTTCCCAACCTTAATTTACAGTCAATATTGCCGAGCAAGTTTGGATAAAAGGATTGCTAGCAGTATAAAGGGGATATATCCACTATGTTGTACAATATACTATAAGGTAATCTCAAGATATCTACTAGAAAGCAACAGGGTTTACAGGTTTAACAGGGTTAGCAGGATCAACGGGATCAACGGGATCAACAGGATCAACAGGAAACAGGAATATGCAACTGAGTGATGAGCACTAGTGGGAGAAAGTTCCCGGAGTTACCCACTACATCAAAAACCGAGCCAAAAGGCAAATCCCGTTGAAATGCCCACTAATTTATACTCAATAATTAGTTAAAAACCAGCCTATCATCCACAGACCTATAGGGCGCCTTAAAGAGATATGCGCCGTCAAACTCCACATTCTGCAGCGGGGCTGGCCGCAGTCAGCACGGGAGACCGCAGTATTGGGAACGGTACGGAGTACGGACTACGGAGGACGGAGTAGGTCTTTCAATTTCCATGTCGGGAGCTTTGCATTGAATCGTTTTTACCTTGACAAATAGGGAAGTCCATGCGATGATTCACGGTTGATATGCATGTATATAGTCTGGTGGATTGTACGGAGTATAGAGAGCACACTATTTTTGGATAGACATACATGAAGGAATGGATAATGACCTCGGTCTAACTCGGTCGAACTTGGTAGGCTGCTTCGTTTTTGCCTTGGATATTTGGGGGCTGTTGGTCTAGATGGTCAGTTCATTGTTCTAGAGTAATTTCCACGTCGACGGTGCGTGGCGCTATTGGGGCATGCAGAGTACTATATTTTCAATATGCCATATGAGACCATAATTGTGAATTTTTGAACTAGTGATTGAAGGATTTAGACCCGGGAGAAGGGAGAACATACATAGTAGACTTGTCACTGTTTACTTGACGTATCAGGACAATGCGGGCCAATTTCATTGACAGTTCTTCTAGACCTTGATAGACTTTTAGTATGGTAATGAAAGGCATGTCTCTTACCTTTTCCTTATTTAGTTACCTTGAAACTCTAGTGCCAGAGATCCCTGGAGAGCGTTTTTATATTTTGATTTGAGCGGAGATAACACGGAGTATATCGACTATATCAACTCCGTACTCCGTACTATATCCCGATATCCCGATATTCCAGACACCACAGACCACAAACCACAATATAGGGTATTAAACATACTAGCACATTGTCAACAGACTCATCAATCAAATTATTTTGAATGCTATCCCGCACACATCTTTTTACTGCTGATTCTCTCCGTGTCGATTGTGCAGGTACTAGACTCTTGTTTGTGGCTTTTGCTTGTCTGTTGCCGTCCGAGGTAAATATGCCTAACTTAGAATATTTCTGGACTGGGATATTTACAAGAAAGGAACTAGGAATCATAGGAGGCTATTGTCTTGGTTGAGCAAAGCTTGAGGCAGCAATCAAGAAAAGAGAAGCCACCCACACATCCATTGATGTGCCATATCAAGAGTATACCAAGCAAATATGCCTCCCATCACTCATTTAATGCACAGGATCCAATATATTAGAAAGATCAATACATTTACAGCTAACTGCTGAAGCATAGTATCTAGTGCCAAGATCTAAGATCATGCAGGGTCATTAAAGTTAAAGATCTCACCCCTTGTCCATACGGTTGTATATCGCCTTATATTCTTATAGATATAGATTTAAAAGGATGAGGATAGTCCAAAAACGTTGGGAATGATTTAATGTTGAATATAGTACGGAGTAATGTGACCAACTATACAGAGGAGACCGGTAAAAATTGATTTCAGCAAAGTACTAAGCGCTGGAGATTCAGGAAGAGAATTTGGAAAAAAAAAAAAAAAAGAAACAAAGTTTAACAGCTGAAACGGCCAACTCTCCTCTTTCTTTCTAAAGAAAAAAAAAGGAGAGCGTGGCAATATGAAATCCCAATCCCAAAACCCAACACAAAGAATGCAGCCCCATACCATCAACATGTAGCCATTTGGGAATTAACAAAGAACCGCCCTTGGCCATGTGACAGTTCCTAGCGTTACACCATCTCATTCCAAGAAAAAAAAAAGTTGTTTACGCGCCCAACCCCAATAATTGACCAGGGCATGCATATACATATACGGAAACAACGCTAACAGTTATACGCATATACGCTAAGTTCCCCATTGGAATTCCCAGGTGGATTTGATATCCGCCGTTCCGCCGTTCCGCCTGTCCACTTTATGTTAAGCATAAATGATGAATAATTATGAGTAATTATGAGTGATTACAAATACCCGAAACTTCGGGGGACGTACCCGTGAACTAATGCACGGGCTAATACGAGGGCTGTCGCACGGGGCATGTGTATCCTTGACATCGGCCTCCCCGATATGTTGAGGCCAACGCATGAAACTTGGATTGGAATGTTTGAGTTTAGTATTTCTAATCATTTGCGTTACCTCGGGGACCCCGGTGTATACGAGGGTGACGTTTACATATTGGAGCCTCAAAAAAGGCGGAGAGGCTCTTGCAGATCTGTAAACGTACCTGAGGCTCTGTTACTCTGGACTATGATTTGTCTTTTAATGTGTGGAGGTGGGCCCTTGAGTGCTGGGCTATTCATCTGAGACATATGAGATGTACGGAGTAGGAAGTAGGAAAAAAAAAGAGGCGATCGGCAAGCAATGTGTACTACTATCAAGTTCCATTCAGAAAAAAGTAATGTGCTGAGTCTACAGGCAAAAATGGAGAATAACAACTGAATGGGTACAAATGGATCCCGGTATTCGAAACAAGAGGATCATAAAAAGGAGGCCAGGAAGATGCGCGCAGACAGAAAGCCCAATAGATTAGAAGAAAAACGGATCCGATTCAAAGCAGCGAGTAAACCAAGCTCAAACATCTGTCATCATCGTCATCAATTCCTGAACCAATCATTCCACAGTCAAGGGCATGGCACAGATCTTTCGACATGGTAGATTCAATCTTGGAAACAACCACGAATGCAAGTTTCTTTTTATCTATTTCATCGACCATGCACGTCCATCGGATCTGTGGGGACTAAGGCACCAAGGTTTGGTCGCCGGCGCCGCATCGGGGCCTTCTTGCGGTTGGCGATGGCAGCGTCTTGTGACTGTTCAGGGTTCATTTCGGTATCACCATCCTTATCGTCGCGTCCCTCTTGTGGAGACAGTCCCTGCTCGTGATTCCATGCCTCATCGAGCTCGATAACGTTTTTGGGCTTCATGCGCAGCCATTTCATGCGCGGACCGACACGTGAGACTTCAGAGACCTTGAAGCCGTAGATCTTGGGGTCATAGATCTTGCCCTTGCCGAGCCCTGGGCAGAGGTTGGGTGTCCGGACACCATTGATTTCCAGCGGCTGGTTCTCAGGTGTGGGTGACTGCTGTGCCTGGCGACCTGCCGCGGTTCGTGTCAGGGAGCCAGCGCGAGACTGCGTGGAAGCACTCCGTGGCGACATCACTGACAATGCTGCATCTAGACGCGGACCGATATCCAGATCTGGGAATGTCATGAAGAACAGACATCCGAAGGTTGTACCAAAGAATGCGCCGTCGACAGAGTGGAAACGGCTGTTGGGGGGTGTATAAATATCCATGCAACCGGGGCAGAAAAGCTTGACGGTTTCGTGGCCAGGGGTGTCGGACCGTCCCACGGGAAGCACTTTGCATCCGTTGCAGTTGACTCGCGGACAAGTACCGAAATGCTGCATCTCGTATTTTTCGAGCATTTGTTGAATACCGGGCCGTGAGGTGATGTACCGTTGGTGAATCAATCCATACAGGAGTTCAGCAGAGCTCTCGATCACGCTCAAATCGCTTGCGACTCGGGCGTGTCGCCGATCGCCTGCGCGTCTGTATGCAGTTCCATCACCGCCGAGCGCATCGTCTTCATCTTCTTCTTCCTCCTCCTCTTCCTCCTCTTCCTCGTCATCCTCCGGCTCCACATCAAGGATCATCTCTAGTGCCTCCTTGTACATCGGAACCTGCGACTGGAGACCAGTCAGATTGAAATCATCCTCGATGAAGTCTTCTGACACCTCTGCGAAAAACTCATGGCCCATCAACGAACAAAACGAAGAAATCCAGGACTCCGGCGCTCCTTCCGAGGATGACATGTCGAACGAAGCGGCGGAAACGGATGACGATAGGGTCGATTCAGACAGTTGACTCAAATCCAGCCTGTCGAGGCCGTCGGCCAACGCCGAACCTGTCTCTCTCGACACGTTGCCGAGCTGGGGGGTGAGGTCTTCGGGGATGTTGGCGAAGACGAAGTGATTTCGTCACGCGGAGTGGCTGGCTCGTGCGACTGCGGGGAACGGTAAAAGATCAGGAGGTGAGGATGAAAGAATCCCAGTATAATAGTAAGAAATCTTGAAGTTGATGGAGGGACCAAAAAGCTAGACGTTCATGGCAATGTGCGGGAGGGGCAGATTGTGCGATCAACGGGAAGAGGTTGAATCCAAGGCTGAACCCCACCAAAATCTTATCAGTTTCTTGTGGCTCTCATGTCCGATTTTATTAGATTACTTACTAGATCTCAAAAGACACTCGGAGATTAATATTGGTGAATCGAGCTTGGAGGTTGGGTGTGTCGATCGAATCGGGTTAGGTCCATTCGGTTGGGGGCGGTGGACAGTTGGAGAGGCCGCTGTTCACCTTTTTGTGACAGCTACGGTGTGTCTCTCTTTTTCTTTCTTCCTCCCACGATGGGCGAAAGTGAAGGCAATGGTAGCCCTGGAGGTTTCAATTTGCCTGAGTGGCAGGAGTCACGTGTCAGCTGACGTGGGAAATCCATATAACTGCCGAATGAGGAAGTAACATTGATATTCATATAAGACTCTTCATTAATACCTAGCTACCAAAGGGTATGGACTGAAATATCAAAACAAGTCTCGAATTACTCGAGCAAACTCCCCCTCGTCACCCAAAACCCCCGATAAACCTTCCCCAGTGTTCTGAATTTCCCCATCAGGGCCTACGAAGCCACCAATACCATCACTCGAAGTGTTAGGCATGAAATTACCAAACGCGCCGACAGCTTCAAATAGGTTTGTCAACTCTTGACTCATCTGGAGTCCATTGATGGGGCTATTTCCAAGTTCGTTCCCGCCGTTCATGGGCCCGTACATCGACAGGTCCTGGATTGGATGTCCTGCGAGCCCGGCCATGGCCATGGCAGCGCTTGAATGAGGATCACTTGAGTCTGGTCCAAAAGGACGGGCGAGAACGCCAAGTTTCTCGCCGATCTTTCGTAAACCTCTAATTGTCTTCCATAATCGCTTGGAGACGTAGGATTTGGTACTGAACCCGTTGATCAGGTCGAGCGCCATGTAGAATTCATCGCGGACCTGTCGGTTGAAGTCGACCGGGGCATGGGACACTGCTAGGAACAACACCGCCAATGCAGCAACCAGAAAATAGTTGAACGTTATTTGCTGTGTCCGGTAAATATCGGACATCTGGTTCAGTCGAGTGAGGACACGGACTGAGTCTTTGGCTACTTCAACAACAGTCTGGGCATGGCCTCGATCTTCGGCAATGCTGGCAGGAGAATGGAGAACGGGGCGGTAGATCAGGATGCGCAGCTGGTTCATCCGCAGATACAAGAGAACCCTGAGTCGCCTCATACCTCTGCTTACGTTTTCGGCGCTTTTGGGCGTTTCGACGGGATAGAACTTGAGCTCCTCTGGAACTTGCTTGTACCACTGTAGGATTTGGTAATCCAGATAGCCAATCTCATCACGACGGATGTCAGTAGTACCTTCGGAGCCCAAACCAGAGTACCAGATCTTAGAGCTGATTCGGTTGTATAGAATCATGCATCGCAAGTAAGGCAGCGATGCATCCTATAATTTTCACATATTAGTTAATAAAGGTAAATGGATAGTGAGAGGTTTGCATCCTTACAGGTTCTGGTAAGTTCGGATCGATATCCTCATCCTGAATCACGAAAGGTAGCCCCGTGCCCAAACTCCATCGCCTATCCAAGCTATAGACTGACCAGAACAGCCGAGTGACCTCGTCCCGCTGTCCTTCATCTGGAAATGACTTTACCAAAGCATCACGACGATGCAATCCCATTTCTAAACACATCCGTGCCGCCAATCCAATAAGACGATAAGCCATGGCATCATCATCTGTATGGAAATGGTATGTGGCCTGGAGTAAGAAGAGAGTTAGAATTATTGGCTGGGGCCTTTTGGAGAGAAATTGCCTTACCACAATAGCAAAGAGCTGGATGGTTTTGATAGTATGAGACTCCCACAACTTTGATTCTATAAATGGTTTAACATCCAAGTAGAGCCGCTGCCCAAGTTCGCTTTGGCCACCTCCCTCCACGACCAGCGTGGTGGCGAGAATCAATTTAAAGATAATCGAGTTTTCATCGTGAAGACCATCAGAGCCCGGAAACCCTCGTTGTGCAAAGCCTGTCCTGGTAGCAGCCTCTATGAATATATAGAGCAAATTGGCCTGGCTTGTGACCTTGGCGATATCCACCACAGGATACATGATCCCAATCTCTTCTTCATAAACTTTACAAAGCCGCATTGCCTCTTCGCGCCGGATCGTCCATATAGGATCCTTGGTAGGGTGTGTAGTTTGAAGAATTTGTCCCAGATTGGGAGGTGGTGTACCTGTTGGAGAAACATGTGCGGTGGTTAAGTCATCTGGGATCCCATCTTCCGCTGGAGTGATACCCATATTCTGCAAGCTGGATTTTGCCACGTCAAAGTTGAAGGCTGAGCTTGTTGGACCATGGAAGCGTGGATGACGGGCTCGTGACTTTGCTAGCCCAGCTTGCATTGGAGCGTAAACCGATTGAGACCCATCGTGAGATAGATGCTCAAATCCCGGAGAATCAAAGGTTGGTCTCTGGGTCCGAAGGTCATTTAGATTGCTAAACAAGGTGTTGACTTGGTCTTGTAAAGTAGTGATTTGATCTGTCATTGATCGGAACTCACTAGCTCGCCTTTTAGTATGCAATGCTGGACGTTTTTTGATTCATAGACTTACTCCGAGTCTTTGAAGTTGTTATTACAACAATTAGGCGCATAACGACCTGGCGAGTGGGTCAGACCTGAAATTTAGGATTGGACAGCCCGAATACGGGAGAGAGCTACAAGTCGTCAATAGAGTTAAGAGGCACTTACATTCCAAATTCAGGTGACCACATCGTTGACAAGGCATCTGCCCATTGCACTTGATCTTGCGGCGCTTACATTCATTACTGAAGATTTCATAGTTAGCTCGGCTGCGCCGACAAAGGCACCGAAGGGGAAGACAGAATCGTATGACGTTGCATGCAAAACAGTATTTCAGACCAGCGGCAAGACTGGAAGGTAAAGCGACCGAGGTAAAGGGAAAAAAAAGGCCGGATCAGGCCATATCATACCATGCAATGGAGATGTAGCGATTCCGCTTTGTGCGCGCCTGTGTTCCGTTGCCTTGTTCCGCCTTTCTCTTGTTGTCAGACGCACCAATGGACTGATCGCGGGTGTCCGTCTGCGGCGGTGACATTTCTAGCTGGGGTGACTCTGAAGCCATGGCCTGCCGAGTCTTGAAGCTACTCAATGATTATCCGGAGAGAGATATCAGCGTCGAAGTGCGGAGAAATTCCTCTCTCGCGGGGTTTCCCGTGTTCCCCAGATTCAGCTTACTCATCGGATTACACGGCCGGTCATTGGCCCCGGGGCATATTTACACTTGGGGAATATAGGAATATACTGATGCACATGATCTTAATAGTTGTTAAGTTGCATTGGATTTTTGGGCTCTGGAGGCAATGCTCCTGGCAAAGACCAAGGGCTCAAATTAATCTGAATAGAAATATATCAGCTCCTCAATTGCAAAACCGCTGAGACCAGCCACTCTTTCCCAGCCAGCAATGACTGCATCAACTGGGTTTTCTGCTGAGGATTCTGACGCAGGAAGCCAAAGCCTGCAAGGAGACCAAGCATGACAGAGGCCTGGACAGTTTTCCGGACAGCTCGTAAAATTCGTCCCTTTCTTGTGAGTTTCGCTGTCCAGTGCCGCCACACGGGGAACGTGCACCGTAGCCAATAGTGAACTTGCGTGAATCTGGATGCCATGTCAGTAATAAATAGGAACCAGCAAGCAAGAAACGTACGGATATGTGGTTGAGTTCCAACCATCGGCAGTGATATACCAACTAGAGCAGGCCCCACGACGGAACACACTCTTCTGAAGCGCATCCTGCACCTGTCGAGTCCATGCACGCTCAGCATCCTCCTTGACCTCATACGAGGTGACCTGACCATTCAAGATCGGCTTGATGAAATTCAATGAGTAGTTTACCGCATTCTCCGTCGCGAAAATAACACTGGTATGCCCTGTTACCGTATTCGGACCGAAAAGCATAAAGAAGTTCGGGAAAGAATCCATTGCAATTCCCTGGTATGCCTGGGCGCCTCCACGCTCGTTCCAGACCTCTTCAAGATCCTTGCCCTCCCTGCCAATCACCTTCAGTGGGTGCAGCCATTGATTGGTTTCGAATCCGTTGGCCAGGATAATCACATCGGCGGGAATCTCTCTGGCCTCAGATGCGTCGTCCGAGCTGTTAGGTGGATAGTGGCGGCCCGGACCAATAGTCACGCTCTTCGCGTTCACTCTTGTCAGAGGTTGGGTACTCAGCTCCACATTTGGGGCATTGAGACTGCGATACCAACTGCCGTTGATGATCCGTCGTTTACATCCAAGGCTGTAGTTGGGAGTTAAGATCTCGTGGTATTCCTTTGGTGCGAGTTGGTGCATGTGGTCCAAAAACTTCTTCTCAAGCTGCGGCCGCGCTCTTCGGCTCCATGCAGTGTCTGTGAACATATCATAGAAGGTCTTCTCCATTATGAAGAAGGAAACCCTTCGTACGGAAGACGCCAGTCCAGGCACGTAGGTCATCAATTTAGGTGACCATTTCTCATACAAGGGGAGATATCCAGGAGGGATCAAATCAGGCTGGACCCACGGGGGACTTCGCATGAGTTGGGTAATGGATCGAATGTTAGCCTCTGGCTTCGCCAGTTCGGGCACTACCTGCGCAGCGCTGCAGCCGGAACCAACCATGATGACATGCTTGTTCTTCAAATCAATTTGATCGTTCCACCGAGCTGTATGCATAACCTCGCCTTCGAAGTTCTCAATACCTGGGATGTTCTTCGGCCATGTCTTTGGTTCTACCAGCCCGCCAACACCACTGACGACCACTTTAGCCCGCACAACTTCTGTCTTGACATAGACCTTGTGGTGGCCGTCCTGGGCTGCGATTCGATCTCGTTCGTGCTGAGCTAAATCTCCGGTTCCAGGGACAAGGTGCGAGAGCGTAACCTCCCATTCCTGGTCATGCTCGATCCATCGCAGTTCTTTCACATCGGTATTCAGCTGGATCTTGTCCACAATTTGATATTTTTCGCAGACATCTGCCATGTACTGTGCTAGTTCTGGGCCAGATGGATGGAGTGTGGACCAGTCCTTTTTTTGAGCAAAGGAGAAGGAGTAGAATGTCGCTGGTCTTTACCTTCCGGGTTAGCTATTTAGCAAGTAAGCACTAGACTTTGATCACATACATGTCACAAGCAGCTCCCGGATACCTATTGATCCACCAAGTACCTCCAATACCGGACTGACGTTCGAATATTCTGAACTGGTCTGTTCCCAGGACCTCTTTGAGCCGGCAGCCCATGGCCACTCCCGACTCTCCGGCACCTACTATGAGAACTGGGTAATAAGTGTGACCATTCTTGCTGTAGGCATGGCGCTTATGAATTCGGGCGATGGAAGAGGGCATGTTGCAGGTTACAGGTCAACCGTGAAACCTGGACAAGAATGAAATATCAATGTAAACACGCAATGTAACAAAGAATCAGAGGCTAGAACAGAGCGAGTCAGGGCCTGAGCGAGTCACATGGACTTTTTTCGTTTGCTTCGACAAGACTCTTGACAACTGCGGGGGATGCATATTAGCCTCGGTCTTTATCGGCTTCATGCTATTTCATGCCCCTTTATTGGATCGACAATTGAGCTAACCATCTAGAGATATATGGGTCATGATTGGATGCTTTTTCAGTTGTGAGGGGAAACGCGTCAGGGGAAATGCTTGATCGGAGATCCACTCGGGTCTCTCCGATCTTCACTTTTCCACACACGTCGATCTGGATGAAGCTTCAGCCATGGTCAATCCGAGTCTGGACGCGACTCCCACGTTCATGCTATAATCACTCCATTGTTAGAAACTTTTCCATTTCCTCACACTCTCAATACCGACCTCTCGACATCCTCGAAAATGCCACCCTAGACACCTTCCAGGGGCGATGCTTCCTTCCTGAACAACCAGCGATTCTCCCACGATCTACCTTCCAAGACCTTCTCGCATTAAAAAGATGGTTCAAACGCGGAAGTCCCGGATCAACTCCGAGCACCTCAAACCCCGTCGAAAGCCTGAACGTGGAATATCTCTACAAACACGGTGCCGACGCGTTTGTCCCACTCGAGCTCACGGAATCCACATTGACGGACGCCACAGCCGAACCCGACGGCGGGACAACGGAAATGCATAGCTTTCGGCAATTCCATGCGCCGCTCTCTTTGTTCCTCGACTGGATGCGTACGGCCGAGGCCACTCCCCAATCAACACGGCTCTACCTAGCACAATGCCAGCTCCTCGACCTCCCTCCCGTACTTCGAGAAGATTTCCCGACGCCGGATCTCGTGGCGCGCGCGGGCAAGGGCGATGTATACGATACGAATGTGTGGATTGGACACCCGCCCACATACACGCCGCTCCACCGTGACCCGAACCCGAACTTGTTTGTCCAGCTGGCTGGGGAAAAGATTGTGCGGCTGCTTGCGCCAGCGGATGGGCAGGCTGTGTTTGGGGCCGTGAGGAGGAAGCTAGGGAAGAGTGGGAGTCGGGAGGCGGCGGCTTTTCGGGGCGAGGAGATGATGCAGGGGACAGAAAGAGCGTTGTTGGATGAGATGGTCTGGGGGACTCCGGTGTCTGCTGCTTCAGATGCTGGGGTTGGTTTCGAAGCGTGCGTTCGGTCTGGTGATGGGTTGTTCATTCCCAAGGGGTGGTGGCATAGTATTAAGGGTGTTGGTGGGGGTGTGACTGCTTCGGTGAGTATGTTTCTCTTCCGGGGGTTTTCTGTCGCTAATATGCTTGCAGGTCAACTGGTGGTTTCGATAATCCAACATCTACGCCCATAGCAATGCGGTACGTCCGCGCACAGAAGTTTGATGCTCGGCCCTTGGCTAGATTTAGCCTGAACTTTCTCTACTGGGAATTTCAGAGAACTGGGCGCTCTATAATTAGAAAGGCCGTGGAGACTCTCCAAGGCAAAGGTTTATCGTTGAACCCGCTAGGGACAAATCCAAATCATCGAGACCAAACACAGAATAAGTATACCTGTGGATCAGGGCTTTCTCTTAAATCTGTCACAGAATCAAAGAGGATATATGCATAGAACTACATTAATTATTTGTGTAAACCTCGTAAATGCAGGAGAATGCGGTGTAACAATCAAAAACCTGGAAGTCAAAAAAGGCCGGAATCTAGAACCGGGAGTATCTCCGCCATCCTTTATTTTCCACCTAACCTCCCCCCTCCAAACACACGAATCATGCAAGTGTCGCGTACAGTCTATCGCGCTGCTCTCCTCCACTTATCTGTCAACCCCTTCGTACGCGCTTCAATCCCAGCTGGTACTACCTCGTCATCCCTCAACGCAACGAACCAGACGTCAAACACCCGGCTCTACAGCATCCTATTCCCGCAGTGCACCACCTTAAAAGCATCAGACTGCACACGCCAAGCACGCACAATGTGTGACTCATCCTCCGACTCCGCTGCCGCTGCATCCTCAAAGCCCGCAACCCAAGAGACCCAAGAGCAAAAACAAGAAGAACCCAAAAAGAACCTCTACCTCCCTGCCAGCGACCCCTCAAACCCTATCTCTGATCAGCAAGGCGAGGGGGGCATTAAAATCGACATGAGCGGTGGCGGGAGGGAGGTCAAATTGGATCATCTAGGTCCGATGGTTGTTAATGTGGATGGGACGTTGTCGCAGATTGGCAACTGGCAGCAGATGACGGAGATTGAGAAGACTCATACCATGCGAGTTCTTGGAAAGCGGAATAAGAAGCGGTTGGAGGCTTTGAAGGCTAAGGAGAAGGTGGAGGGAGGGTCGGATGAGGCTTGACGATGGACACCGTACAACACGCAGAGCTTGGCGTGACTTGATTTCGTATGTGTCGATGGAAGATATGAATCTGCATGTTGTTGGTGTATGATGATATTGTGTGTATGTATTATAAACGCATCGTTATATGTTGAATGTCAAGTACGACTTGATGATCGCGGCTATTCAAAAAGTACATGTATTTTCCAATAACTATATTGGGTATCATAGTAATGCTAACATCATATAAACATACGCAATTTTCAGTCCAAAATAGAGACAAGTCACCGCCCATTGAATCACGTATACACAGGTCTGCATCGGCGGTCACTTGGGTATGTTAATCTTGGGTATATCACAATTATCCAAAGCTGCAATGAGACCTATGAAAATCTTATTCAAAGATAATCCGGAACCACTTATGTGCAAGATTCCTATTGGAATCGTTAGCACCGAATCATAAATAGCAGAGAGCGTATACTCACTTCGGCGGCACCTCCACAAAGTCTTTAGTATACTCCTCAATCTCAGGGACACCAGTGACCAGATCAACTTCCTCTGGTTTAAGTAACTTGGTCCCGTGGAACAATTTCCACCCGAAGTAGATAACGGGGAAGACACCGATCATGGTGTAGGAGAAGAGGAATGTCGGGATGGACCATTTGCCGGGAAGGAAGACGGTGTAACCACCGACGAAAGCCATGAGCGTGGTGCAGGTGCAAGCAAAATAGGCGATGTATGGCTGAAACCAGCTGCGGTATGGCAAGGTTTCTCGGGCAATCCCTTGGACGTCGAGAGCTTTCTTGAAGCGGATAAAGGTGAAAGTAATCACGGAGAAGTTGATGAGCTGGGAGGCGGTGACCTAGATTTTAGATTAGTTGGATGCATGGGGGAGAATATGGGACCGGCGGGGCTCATACCAGATTGACAAACCAGTTTAGCACGACTGATGCGCCGTTGGATACCTGCAAGAAACTCAAGAGGCCGACGATGAGAACCACGCCCACACAGTAGATAGGAACACCATTTTTCGTGCACTTGGTGAAGAGTTTCGGGGCTTTGCCTTCAAGCGCTAGACCATAGAGACTGCGACTGGCGCAGTACATGTAACTGTTGCCCGCACTGAATGAAGCAGTGAGAATGACGGCGTTGACAATGTCTGGCAGGATGGGGATCTTCAGGCGATCCATGGAGATGACGTAGGGCGAGGCAGCAGCTCCAGGCTTACCATTGTCGAAAGCATCGGCCATGGTTTTATCGTTATACGGGACAAGAATGCCGACGCAGAGAACACCCAGAACGAAGAATGCCGTGAGACGGTAGAAGACACCGTTGAAGGCCTTGGGAAGCACCTTACGCGGATTAACGGTCTCACCAGCGGCCATGGAGACATAATCTGGACCGGCGATCGTGAAACTGGCTGTGATGACAGCTGCAAGAACACCGAGGAACCTGCCGGTATCGCCTGTTTTGTAGAACTCGTTGAAGGCACCTGGTTCGTTCCAGTAGCGAAAGCCAAACCGATCGCCGAGCGGGTTGCCGCCCAGCATGACGACGAATGTGTAGAAGATCAGGCCTATGCTCAACAAAACCTTACCTAGTGAGAGCCAGAATTCTGCTTCCCCATACCATTTCACAGCAAAGAGATTCAGTGCTCTGTTACCCATTAGTCGGTATCTCGTGGGCGGATCGCAAGACGACAAACCCATAAAGTACGATGATAACCACATTCATGGCTGCAACGGGAATCACATCGGTCCAATATCTAATAATCAAGCTGACGGCGACAATCTCAAAAGGAACCAGGGCGGCTTCGAAAATAAAGAAGTTGTATCCAGCAGCAACACCTAAAGCTTCATCGACGTAACGGCCAGCGAATCGGATGAATGGCGAAGAGATAGGTAGGTACGTGACCATTTCAGCCAAGCCTAGAAAAGGAAAATGTGAGTTTGGATATCATACTACGCATCCAGATGGGAAACAAGACGGGAGGAATATTGCAGCAATTGGGCGATCGGTCAATGTTAGGGCAAGAGGCTGAACCCTTGGCGCATTTGGGATTATATATACGGGTTCAGGCGCGGGAAGGAAAGATGCAAAGGGCTTGGGAGGCAGGGGTGGTCGTACAGACGGTGATGATCAAAATCACACAACTCCTAGAGAACAGTATAAGATTGCGAACCTTCAATGAGATATACGCAGGAAGCAAGGGCATCATGGACTGGGTTGGGTTCTTGGGTGTCCGACTGTCTTTCGGCGGATGCATGGGCAAACATAGAGCTAATAGCGATTTCGGGTCGACATTCATACATCTGTTTGGCAGGGAAGTGCCTTGGGCTAACAGTTTCCTACATCCTTGGGGATCTGAAATTGTAGAATCAGGCTTCGAATCCTGTTTGTTGATGGTCTGCGTGGTCGTATGGTTCCTTATGTTTTGCATCTGTTTCTTTTTCTTTTTCTTTTTTTGTCTGATATTAACCCATAGGATGCTTTGTAGCTCCTAGCATTTCCATCTACTTACCATCCATGCTGTATGTTGTCGAAAGTAGCAAAGTCGGGACAACCCAGGTCCAGAACCCAATAGAGTCAACAAAATATAACAGGGGAAATACTAACCAAAGACTGAATCCAATGAATAAACTGCCGGGACCACTGGTCCGCAGTCCAGATCCGATCTGAACATACAGCGCGGTGCCAATGGTTCCTCCAATTCCGATCAATTGTACATGGCGGGGCTTGAGCTTGCGATGGGTATGATCATATGTAGATTCCATTGACCCGCTATCGACTGAGGGTATACGATTGGCGCTGGATGAGTCCTTCTCGGTGACTTCCATCGCTTTGTCCATCTTAGTAGGCTTCAATTCGGGATCAGAGAGTCGAGTGGGCTCTGCGCTCTGTATCGCGGCAGTCATTGGGGTATGAGAGACATACCCCGAGTTGGGAGAATGTGACATTTTGAGGGTCTTTGTCCAGGAAAGAGCGAATCAGTAGCATGAATAAGTGCACAAAATGGTCCAGACCGAGATTTCTTTAGAAAAAAAAAGAGAGAAAAAAAAAAGTAGGAATGAGAGATTTTTTTTGTAACTTAGTATTTTCCTGTTTCGCCTTAGTGGGAATTGTTAAAAATCCTTGGCCTAGAAGGCTATGGGTGTCGGCCACTAAATAAAGGGACAAATCAGAGATATCCACTCCCCAGTGTCTATTTTATCCCCCACATGGCTCTCTAGGGGGGAAGAGAGGGATTGCAGTCTGTGCGCCTTTTGAGTATTTTAGTCTGCATACAAAGACTCCAAAGCAAAAAAGGTTATTGCAATGCTTGTAATGCTTGTAATATGAAGGGGGGGGGGAAGTATTTCTATTCAGGGGATAATCCAAGTCCCCCCGCTATCCCATGAGTGTGGAGATGGATTATTGCCGAGGTCCATGGAGAATGGTGCTATCCCCTATATACATACGGAGTACTCCGTAAAAAAAACTTCACATTGTGAGAAATAAATTCTGAATACACAAAGCTGACGTTACTCCATAGATTAAACAAAATAAATTGATATTAACGCCACATTCCTATGTGTTTCCCTTCCCAGCACTAGCGCTAGTGTCTCTGCCGTCGAAGTTGCCACCCGTGGTGTCGCTTAAGGATCTCTGGCTTGGGTCTTTTCCAATCCAACTTGGTGGAAAGAAGCCATCGTTGTCTTCAAAATAGAGGTAATGGATCACATCAGAGTCTGTAGAATTCCGATGTTGATCCAGGTGTTGATCCAGGTGTTGATCCAGGTCTTTATGCGCATGTTCAGCGGAAGTTGGATGTGGATTCGTTTCAGAGAACATTTTGAACTGTATTCCTGTATTGCAGGGTCTTATAGAAGATACAATCTTAACAGTCGACGTTGTGGAACTCCAAGCTCCCTGGTCAGGTGCATGTCATCTGTTATGACGTCATAAGACAATTCCCTATCAGTATACGGAGTATGTTGTATATCTAGACAAGTTCAACATAGTACAACATAGTACTGTACTATGAACTTGATATAAATTTTAAACTGATTAGGGCCAAAAAAAAAAAAGAGAACTTGCCTATAAAAGAGGTGTCCAATCCGCCTAAGTAGTTCACAGTATCATTTTAAACCTAGAAATTATATATATTCAAATTATAAAATGTCTAAGGTCATATGACGCATATTGTATAGAAGAACAAACTGAATAATTTCTATAGATATTCCAAAACAAAATAAAGATGAAGCTATATACTCCGTACTTCATTACATCCATGGATAGTAACCTCGGGATCAATTAAGAGTACAGTAAGCAGGCCGACTCGGGAAACCCCGCCAACCCCAATATCTTTTTTTCCCCTCCACTTCATCTCCAAACAATCACAATGGTCGAACAAGAGCAATCTAAGCGTTTCGAGCCCAAAGTGCCAGTCGAGCTCAACCCTCCCAAGGACGACCCTATTTCCGTCGAGGAATTGGCCAAATGTGACGGTAGAGTTTACCCCTCATAGATTCCTCCAATTCCTTATTTCCAATGTACCTCAGAGACCCTAATATCTACTATCAGGTTCCGATCCTAACCGCCCGACTCTGGTCGCCATTAAGGGTGTTGTCTTTGATGTGACCCGGAATTCAGCTTACGGGGCCTCGGGTTCATATCGGGGTGAGTACAGCATCTATTTTATGAGAACAATTAGACTGACTTGTCTTTTCTTCTAGTCTTCGCCGGCAAGGATGCATCCCGTGCTCTCGCTTCGTCCTCTCTCAAGCCTGAAGACTGTGTACCTGAGTGGTATGACCTGCCAGATAAGGAAAAGACTGTCTTGGATGAGTGGTACACTTTCTTCAGCAAACGGTATAACATTGTTGGCAAAGTCGAAGGCGCCAAGAACACTTAAGGGCAGCCTTCACATGGATTGAATGTGCGACATTATATACCCAGTAGGAGAAATGGAATCCAATATCAAATCCATGCTTTTCATTTTCGAAATGGTGGTATCGCGTAGGTACAAAGAACAGTTCTTCCCTCTGACTGCTGGGATAAACAATGCCTATACATTAAAAAAAAAGTCACATGTAACATTCACGTCTTTAATTCCCCTTACGGGACTTGCGCTTCATGCGCTTCTGTCCGATAATGCGGTTGCGCTTCGCGGCCTTGTCCTCCTCTTCATTCACTTTCTCACTTTTAGCGCCATTTCCATTTCCAGTCTTGCCACGCTTCGCGTCCCTACCATCTTTACCATTTCGACCATCCCGTCCATCTTTTCCTTTACCATCACGAGTATCGGAGCGCTTCCTCTTCTTATCTCCTTTTGGCTCAGCATAATCCTCACGTTTGGGCTCGCGGGATTTCGCCTGCAGCTCATTGCGGCGCTTAACCACCTGGGCGTTCTCAATGGCAAACTCAACAACGAGGCTCTTCTTCTTGTCCCGGTCCTCGGGGGTTTGGGTAGAAGGAGGAACTGCCATGGAGTGGCAGTTCAGCCAGCGCAAACTCATTAGCGCGTGACGGTGAGTGAAGAACTCGATGAATCCGTAGCCACGACTGCGACCACCACCGGTCTTCTCGGAGACCTTGGTACCCTCGCGAGTCTCGAAGACAACCTTGGCCTGACGCACAATACCCATCTTCTTCTGCTTGCGCAGCTGCTCTAGCTCCTTCATCGTATCGCGGGATCGCTGCTGCTCCTCTTTTGAGAGCGGATGGCGCTTGCCTGCCTTGACATCCTTGGCGAATTCGACGACAGACTCTCGGGCAAGCTGCTTCAATTCCTTCGAGTCGATGTGACGGGGGAGGTTACGGATGGCTAGACGGGTGAGACTGAGGTGGAGAGCTGGGTTCTTCTTGATGAAGGTCTCACGCTGCTTGTAGCTGTCCTCACGCATCTTGATTTCGGAGGGCGAGAGCTTCTTGTACAGTGGGGAGTTGGAGGGGATCGTACCCTCGTTAAGGAGGTATAGGTGTCGCTTGTCTGTGTCGCGGACCAGACGGCGTGATGCTCCCTCCTCTTCCAGCTTGCTGGCTTGGCCCTTGCTCACGGCCCGTGCGACTTGTAGGACGCGGCCTTCCAGGGTGTAGCGGCCGCTTGGGTCGGAATTTTCATCGTTGAGGACGGAGTGCTTCATGGCGGTGCTAGACTTGGGCTTCTCCTTGTTGGGGGCCATAGCTTCCGCTCCTCGGGGGGCTTCACGAATGCATGTGTTGGCGTCCTCAGGCTTCCAGAAGCAGACAAATCCAGTGCCTCGAGGGCGCTCGGTCTCGTAGTCCAGGACCACGCGTGCGTACCGTAGTGGTCCAAAGTGAGTTTTGAAATGGTCGTAGAGGGTCTGGTCTGTCGCAGTGAAGGGGAGGTTGCGAATGAAGATTGTAGTGGCGTTTCGGTCATCCTCCTCCTCGTCTTCCTCATCCTCGTCCAGCTCATCCAGCTCATCCAGATCCTTGTCTTCATCGTCATCGTCATCTTCATCAGAAGAGGTCTCGTTGTCTGAAGGCTCTTCCAAGACACCCTCGGAATCTTCCATCTCAACATCACCAGACTCTTTCTCTTCCTTCTGTCCCTCCTGCTCGTCGTCTTCTTTCTTGGTAGTTTCCCAAACATCCTTCTCAACAGCCCAATCGACAGCGAGTTGACGTCCATCAATCTCCTTTCCGTTGATCATCTGGAGCGCCTTCTCGGCGTTCTTCCTGCCACGCATGGTAATGAAACCGAAACCAGAAAGTTTGCCATTCCTCTTCGGGAGGGTAACATACTTGACCTTTCCAAAGCTGCGGAACAGGACATTCAGATCCTCTGGCTCCTTGATGCTCCACGGCAGATTGCGAACAATCAGCTTGGGTGGCAGGCCCTGCCCTCTCTCCTCTTCCTTATGCTTCTTGATCTCGCGAGACGCAGCAGTGGGGACACTGCGTCCAATCTTCTCATCAATCTCACGCTTACGAGACTCGGCATAGTCGACGCGAATGATTTTCCCGTCAAACTTGGACCCGTTAAGTTCCTTCAAAGCGCTCTCCGCATCCTCGACGTCGGCGAATGTAACGAAACCGAATCCCTTGGACACTTTTGTCTCTTTGTCACAGACGACAACAGCGTGCTTGATAATGTAGGACTGCGAGAAATATTCTGCGAGGCTCTCTGTCGTGGCTGAGGTGGGTAGTGAACGGACGAAAAGAGTTCTCTTGTTCTGTGCTGCTGAAGCCTCGGCGGCGGGTGTAGTGGCCTCTACTTTTACTTCCGGGCTCTCGTCGCCCGAGAGGCGTCGTTTCTTGTGTAATTCAACCATAATGGCTTGGTTGCGACTGAAGTTTTTTTCTGCGGTCGAGGAAGAGCAAAAAAATTAGCGGCAGAAAACTGAGGCAGATTGGCCCAGGCGGTGTGGGTACCATCCAGATAAGCAATAGCTTTATCCACTTTATCAGCTCTCCATCCATCGTTCTACTATTAACAGCACACACACACATTGGTGGACGAGATGGATCCCCCACGCCCAGAGAGCGGTATAAAATCCCGCCCTTTAGATTCTCCAGCTCCGGGTGCATCCTCTAGATCGAAAGTCCAACAGCCGAAACCCCAAGCGCTCGCCAACCGCCCTGGTACTTCTGCGATTCTAGTGTCCACGCGCCAAAAGGGTAACCCAATCTTAACGCATATAAAGCTCCTACCTTGGGAGTATGCAGATATCCCCGCGGACTATGTGGTTGGCCTCACAACGTGTGCAATGTTTCTCTCCTTGAAATACCATCGCCTACACCCAGAATACATCTACTCCCGAGTGAAACAACTAGCAGGCAAATACAACCTCCGCCTTGTGCTGGTGATGGTGGACATACAAAACCATGAAGATAGTCTCAGAGAGCTGTCCAAAACATCCATTATCAACAACCTGACCTTGATATTGTGTTGGTCTGCACCAGAGGCTGCGCATTATCTCGAGCTCTTCAAGTCCTCAGAGAACGCACAGCCCACCGCCATTCGAGCACAACAGGCCCAATCTTATAAAGAATCATTGGTGGAGTTTGTCACGGTGCCTAGAAGTATCAACAAGTCCGATGCCGCAAGTTTGATCTCCACATTCGGTAGCTTGCAAAATGCCATTAATGCACAACCGGAGCAAATCAGTGCCGTGCCGGGCTGGGGAGAGAAAAAGGTCCAGCAGTGGTCCCATGCAGTCCGGGAAGATTTTAGAGTCGAGAGCACGAAAAGGGCTTCTGCTCCTGCCACACAACACCGGGCTCAAGTACCAGCCGTGAATGCGGATGAGGATATGGAGGAAGAGGATGAAGAAGAGGCTATCCTTCGTGAAGTTCTGGCTGAAAGCAGGAAAACAGCATCCGCGCATGCCACGCGGCCTGCCGAGCCACAACCTGAAAGTCAGCGAACTGAAGAGATGAGTGAAGGTATCGTGGCCGCACTTGCCAGGCTTAGAGACAATGCTAGTTGAGAGCCGATCTGCTTATCTCCACCATACATCCACTTTCAACATTCCAAACTCCTACATACGGGCATCGTTGTCACCTACTTGACTACTGACTACGGTACCCCTTATAACATTACCTTGGAATACGGTACCGTCCCCAGTAGGGAGGCGAGGATGCAATTGCATTCTTGTGCATAGCTGTTATAACTCGAGCGATCTGGCGATTTCAAGGTTGGAATATGTTATCTATGTCCGAAATATGGATCTAGCTCAAGGGATCCAGTCACTCCTCCCACATCCCTAGATAGGTGTATATTATCACATCTCCCGAGAGCTTCTGGACACCGAGCCTTCTGGCACGGCTGGACATGATTCTCTTCCCAATGCTCATGGCTCACCGTTACGAAAATTTTGTCTGACATGTCACTTCTACACCCTACACTGCCTTTTTGGGCCAGGCTAGGACTTTTGCCATGGGGTTCCTTATTGTTGAGAACTTTCGGTGCCGGGGACCATTTACCACTCTTGAACCAATTGTCTTTCCATTTCATTTTCTTCTCCTCATCTAGGTACTATATTGATAAGCCTATCTTCATGTCAAATCCATCTATTACTACTACTACTACTACTACTACTACTACTACTACTACTACTACTACTACTACTACTACTACTACTACTACTACTACTACTACTACTACTACTACTACTACTACTACTACTACTACTACTACTACTATGTTCCGAACATCTTTTTTTATACGGAGTGCCGTGCTCCGTTATAATTTCCCCTGTCTTTCCCAAGGGTTGGATACGTTTGACCCTTGCTTGTGTCTCAAATTCTAGGTGTTCTCTGAGTAGCTAAGAGTTGGCTAGTTAGGTACATCCCTCCGATTTCCGACTTGGGCCAGGCCCGGCCGGGCAACCTTCCAACCTTGGAGACCCTGGGGAACCAGCACTGGAGAGAACATGAGAGCTGACTAACCAAATAATTAGTCATCAGATACGGGCACCTGGGCACCGGCGGGTCGACGAGGTTGGTGGACTTCTAGCCACTTGATGATTTTGTGTTTGCCCCGCTGAGGTTTCTAGGCGCAAGCCAAATCATGAAATCAACATGCACGCTCGTTTGGACGGTGCAAATGGTCGCTCAAGGGTCCTCCCGAGGTCAAGGCTAGGATGCAAAACTTGCAAGTAGGTGTTTCTTTTCCATAGGCAGAGTTTAATATTGAGCATGTCGTAGAATTCGACGAGTCAAGTGCGGAGAAGAAAAGCCCAGCTGTGTTCGATGTACCAGTACAGGTCGCAAGTGTGACTTTGAAGACATACCACCCTCTTCCACAGTCTCGGTTATCGCCAACCCATTATCACTATCACCAAACACCAATAAGGTGTGGCGAGAGCGACGTGCATTTGCTTACTATTTCGAATTTGCTGCCCCCTCCATCGGCGGGGGATTGGATGTTGATTTCTGGCGCACTATCGTCCCACAGGTCTGCCGCTATGAACCTGCTGTGTGGGATGCTATCATCACCATTAGTGCGCTATTTGAGTGTCCCAAAGAATGTCTGGATCCTGCGTCACAACGCCGTGGTAGTACTATTTATCTGACGCAGAATCATCAAGACGCCTTAGGCTGGTACTCACGCTCGGTATCCGCTGTTCGTCAGCGTATTGAGCAGGGTAGTGTGGATATCTTTGTTGGACTGATCAGTTGTATCCTTTTCATCTGCATCGAGGCTATTCAGGGAAATGCAGACGGGGCAATGCAGCTCTATAGTCAAGGTGTGCAGCTCATCATCGCTTTGCGTCCCCAAATAGCGTTCGGGGCTGCGAGTCAAGCTTCCTTGCTGGAGGATACGATTATCCCAATATTTCTCCGTTTGGGAGCATTCGCTCTCGCCGGCGGCAAGGCTCCAGTAACTGCTTCACTACGATACTCTGAACATGCCTTGACGCAACAGTTTGACTCACTCAAGTCTGCTCGGGAGGCAATCGTGCTCTTAGCTATAGAAATTCCCGTTTTCGAACGTGCCTGCACCAACCACTTAATGGGGGCCAATACCTCCCATGTACCGGATGAATTCAATACGAAACTATTCAACCTGATGACTAGACTGAGGAACTGGCATACTGGCTTCGATAAGTTGATGAGAGTGCTTCGTGGCAAAGACATGTTATCGCTGCAACAGATTGGTACCGGTGCCCTTCTGTTGAGTTACCATGAAATGCTATATGTCATGCTTGAGACCTGCACATCGTTGTCATTGATGCAATTTGATGATTATCTCCAAAACTTCCAAAATATCGTTGAACAATGTGCGAATGCACCTAAAGCCTCGGTGCGACCAGACGGCACTCAGCCTCCATTTACCTTTGAACTCAATGTTGGCCTTCCGCTCTGGTTTACCAGTCTCCGATGCCGTGAACCGCGTACCCGACGCGCGGCACTGGCTCTGCTCTACCAAGCTCCCACAGTGCAAGGATTTTACCAGTGCTCAATCTGGGCAGCCCTGGGGCGAACGGTCATGGAGATAGAAGAATCCCGGGCAATGGCAATGAATGTAGCCCATCATACATCCAAACTTAGTGCACTGGAGCCAGCGAATGGACCAATTCCTGGCTCCGAACTTGCCCCAATCTCATATTATGCTCATACGGATATGGGGCCTATAATACCAACAGCACTGCTTATCCCAGAGGAGGTGCGCATTGGGCCCATTGCTGCTTTTCGGCCAATGGATGGTTTTCCTCCTGGGACTGCAGAGGCAGATATTGTGAAGTGGAATCGCGGCCCTGACCAACTCTTTCTGCGGTTTTCCCGGAATCTGACCAGCGATTCTTGTCGGATAGTGTACGAATATGCCCCTCTTGACTTTTAATTACACATATGTACTATATCCTGTTCTTAGTGTCTTCAACTATGATATACCTCTATACATGGATAGAGCAGGGTAATCTAACTCTGTATAACTATCCTATCTTCCAAAAAAGAGGAGAATAGTCGCGGTTGTAAAAAATACAATTGTCAGTTCTTGTTAGTCTAGCTACCACTTATTTTGGGCTGTTTCTCCCTGCATACTGTTTGGTATCAAAATTTTCACAAAGGTATGTATGTACATAGGTAGCATCATCAAGTATCGACAGTGATAGTGGCTGTACTACGTCCACGGGTAGATCTCAACGGACTACGAGGTTTAACGTATTAGGATGCTCCTTACTCCTTACAAACCGTGCCGGAGTTACAGGAATATCTTGCGACTCCAGTTGCAACCATCTATTGATTAACACGTCATGTGGGACAAAAGCTGTGAGCTGTGAGCTGTGAGCTGTGAGCGTCGAGGTCGAGGTCGAGGTCTTGCGAACAGCCACCGGGATCTATATACCCCCACAGGCAGCATGTTAGCCTTTATGATAGTCGCCTACATGGTGTATGATTGATTCAAGATTTATAGTTGTTCCATCGTCTAGCGTTGAATGAACTAAAACTAGTGCAGATTTCCCACTTGGATGTTTTACCCACAACTCTAATGCTTAAGGGACGCAATTTAACCAGCGTATGACATGGAGTTTTTTGCGTGCGTACCCACTATATTCCCCATCTTTCACTGCATTTGCCAACTCTTATGGATGTGTAGTCATTAATCTGCTATACAATACAATTGCGGTGGATAAGGGCTCTATTTGGCTATCCTTCCTTCTGTTCTAGGTTACGACTCGGGAAGTTAGTGTGCTGAATGGCATTAACCCGGACTGATTTATACTAATCTCGGGATACACAAACACAGAAGAAACTCCGGTGCTCGGACGCTGTCTGCACGACCGATGAGAAGCGTGAGACGGCCCCAACCCTTTAGCCGGGTTCTGTATCTTAACTACCACTCATAAGATTTATTTATTAATTAGGATAGGATAAGATGATAGATAGTTTGCTGGTTTGCATTACAAGGTATGTTGACGGTGCTATGGAGCGTTATAGTATATAGAGTGAGATGCGATATGTATACACATGTAATGGCACCGAAATAGAGATTTAAATCTGATAGAATCATCGGATATGGTACGAAGTTTATGCTGGTTGAACTCCGATGGAATATCCTTATATCCTTTTGTTTATAAAATGTCGGTATTTCCAGGTCAATTTCCACGACTAGATAGTCAGCCCTAAGGAGCCAAGCATCACCATGCGCTGTCACCAAGTGCTTCGGTTTATCTTCTTTATATCATCATCACTCAGTAGCCCAGTGCCTTCTTATACATTGAAAGAAGGTCACGATGTTCCAGACATCTTTAAACAGCTATTCAACACGTCCTCAAGTGGAACTCCCTTCAGCACGGGCATATACCAAGAGCTATCTCGGCTCGAAGCAAAGATATTCGACATCGCAACAGGCAAGATCAAGCCCGTGTTAACAGTAGAAGAAGGCCTCTCAGTCCTTTCCTCAATTTCACACACCAACAACCAAACGATCCTCCAAAAGGCTATCGACGTAGTATCCCTCGGCCTAGTACCAACAACCATCATCGACATCCTTGACGGCATTACAAACCACGAAATAAACTCCATAGCCAACAACAACACCAGAAACCCAAGTCCAGGAATCCACCCAACAAAGTCATTCTACGACGCACATTACGGTATTCCTGAACCAACTCTTCGCAGCGCGATTCATATACCCTCAGCCTTCTCTTACGGCAAAAACAACAAAATCCCCATTATACTGGTCCCAGGAACCGCCGACCCAGCTGGTAGCACCTACCACTTCAACTACGCAAAGATCTTCGCCGCACACCCGCACACGGACCCAGTATGGGTCAACATCCCGGGAAACTCATTGGGCGACATCCAAAGTAACGCAGAGTACGTCGCATACGCAATAAACTACATTTCGGAGCTCTCGGGGCGTTCCATCGGAGTCCTAAGCTGGTCACAGGGTAGCTTAGACGTGCAATGGGCGCTGAAATATTGGCCATCAACACGGGCCGCGGTAAGTGACTTCATGGCTGTGAGTGGTGATTTTCATGGAACAGTTGTTGAGACGTTGTGCATGCTTGCTGAGCCAGTTTGTTCGCCGGCTGTGCAGCAGCAGGGGTATGATACGAAATTCATCCGCGCTCTACGTAGTGAGGACGGGGATTCGGCGTTCGTGCCGACGACGAGCGTGTACTCTGGATATGACTATGTTGTTCAACCGCAGAGTGGGGAGTGGGCTTCTGCCGCACTGGGGGATGTGCGTGGAATTGGGGTGTCGAATGTGCAGGTGCAGGTTGCTTGTGCCGGGCGTGCAGCTGGTGGGCTTTATTCGCATTCGGCTATGTTGATCAATCCATTGGCATATGCTTTGTTTGTGGATGCGTTGATGCATGATGGGCCTGGGCGGTTGGAGAGAATTGATCTTAATACTGTCTGTGGGGAGTTGCTTGCGCCTGGTTTGGACGTATATGATTTCTTGGGGGTAGAGGCTGTGTCGAATGTGGTTTCATTGCTTGATGTTTTGTTGTATGGGTTCAATGGGAATGAAGAGCCGCCACTTAGGGACTATGTTCATCACTAGGATCTAGAGTGTTAGATGAGGGTGATCCGACTACGGATTTGGGGTTGAAGGCAACGCTATATTCCGTATTCACCCGAGGGAAAATCTATAGGTCCATATCGGACAGGGCTCTATGATACATGTACAAGGCCAAATGCTTCCATTGGGTATTATTGTGTGAAGCTCTAGAAACTCCAAGTCCGTAGAGATCATCATCACGGCAACAAAAAGCATAGCAGGAAACCTCCCACGACGCCAGCAAGTGGCGACAGAACGACAATGAGTATGAATATGAAGAAAACAAGAAAACAGAAATAAAGTGGATATAAGACCCGGCAACCAGACTAAAGATGTGCCGCAAACCAAACCCTAGAAATCGCAGTTCATCGTAATTCGGGCACTCGGTTGCATGGCCAGGGCTAGCTATTCAACGCCGACACCAGGAGAATGGAGATCACGGCACAGGGTATGTGGACAGAGGCATGCTAGGGAGAAACTCGAAATGGGAGTCATCAAATTTTGGTCAAGAGAGAAAATGATAAATGAAAAATGGGCATTTAGGTGGGCTTTTCACATCCAATGCGACCCAAGAGAGCTTTCCGATCGCTCGGATCGAAAGGAACACGACCAAGGCCCCGGGCGCGCACCGAGGCAGTTCCATTGGACCGCCGACGATCTAAGCCCGGGGTGTTTCCAGTTTCGATTGCGTCGGTAGGGGCACCGTCCTTGGCAGCCAAGTGCGCAGACCCGTGGGGTGCGGTATGGTCTTCCACCTCCGCTTCGTCCTCCTCGTCACTACGGGTGTCTTCGGCGTTACCGCCGCGAATCACACCGTAGGCAACACGGACAATCATGCTGAACCATACAATGGACAGTCCCTCGAGGAACAACAGGAAGGATAGGAAGATCCATTTGAGAGTGGGGTTGAAACAGATGGGGTTGTCCAAACTGAAGTATGGACCAAGCATGTATGTGAAGGCATTCGGGGCCTCGGCTGAGATGAACTCGCTTGTCGAACCGGTGTAGCAGCCATAGCTGAGTTCGCGGGGGAGATCATAATAAACGGACCAGCACACCATGGGGTAAATGATGTGTCGGGTAATAAACCATGTGCCCATGAAGAGGCCAAACCCAACATTGCAGGCCGTTTCGAACTTGGAGTATTTGAGGATCTTCGCAGACTGTAGAGGTATTAGTAGCTGTTTAGGAGCACTCGGTGAATAGTGATTGACGAACCGGTAACAAGAAGTCCACAATGTCCATGAGGCATAGCACTACATTGGAGACATTGTACATGGCGTAGATGTAGGCAGAGCTTAGGAGGATACTGGTAATGATGTGGTGGGAGAGCATCTGGACATGGTCCTTCCGTCTCTCTTCCACGTGGATCACGAAGATCTGCTGCACGAGGAATGCCAGCTCAACAAGAAGATACCACTTCATCAAGCCGGACAAAGGACGGGCGGGCCACTGCGACCACATGGCGGCGAAATCACCCCAGTAGTATGACGTCCTCCAGAGATACTGCAATGTAGAAACAGCGGTTAGCTATATATTCCCAGGTCGATATAGGCCAAACGCACCAATCCAACTCCCCAGATGAACGAATAGTACATAGCTTGCCAACCCTGCTCAGCGAGGCGAACCGACTGTTTGCGTTTTAGACCACATGCGCGGGCCAATGGCTGGAGGATCCATTCAATAGCGATAGCGCGGATACCGGTGAGTGCGATAGCAGCGCTAATGACGAAGTAGACATCGTTCCAGCCTTGGACGTATGAGTTCGAGGATTCGTTATAATAGGACAATTGGAAGAAGGGCTGGGTATATGGACGGAGCGAGGGGTAAAGGTTATGCAGAGCCAGCAACATAGCCAGGGTGGTCAAGGAGATTCCTGTAGAGAAGCAATTGTTAGCATTACCAGTACTATCAATTTTTTTTCTTCGCATTATAGGGATTCAATTATGAGCGCAGCGACTGAGATACAGTTTTGTCTTGATCTCCATGCGAATCCAAGGTGTTCATACCGATCTGGTTGGCAACCACCCATTCACGGAACGTGGTCTCTTTAGTCGGTCGTAATCCAGAGGAAACGTAGACATTGCGCCCCTTTAGCTCTGGTTGTGATGATACTGTGTCTGCCATGGTGGAGAGTGTACCAATAGTAAAGAGGATATTCGAAACGGAGGGTAGAGAGCGAAGACCGGGGGGTTCGAAGGTCGAGAACCGGAAAGCCCAAAATAATCAATGCCAAGGTGGATGCGGAACCTGCCTCATCAAATCCTCTATAAACTTGACTCGTTCAACCAGGAACGTGAAAAGCAAATTGTGTGCAAAATAATTAAGGAAAAAAAGGAGGAAATAGAGGGGGAACGTGGTTATTTCGTTTCATCTCTTCACGACGATCATTACTCCACTCACCGCCTCGTTTAATGTTGAATGCATGAAACTAAGAGATCTTGGCTTGATACAACATATAAGTATCTATAAATATATATGTTATACATGTTGTATATATATATATATATATTATATATTAGATTTTATTCAATAGATATTTACAAGTAAACAATCTACTAATTCCGGTCTATTTACATTTGCCACTCTTCTCGGCTCGGTTAGATAATCATCGAATACATTCTAGACTTATGAGATATATTCATAAACCCTCCGTTACCTTTTGCACAAAATCATTGGCATTAACCCCCAATTGAGCCAAATCAATTCCACCCTGTCCAGCCATTACCCGTGACATAGCCTTAGCAACTTCTTCCTCTTCCCAAATATTGTTGAGGATCTGCTCCCCACCTTCTCCAGGCTGAGTGGGGTTCTCGGAAGCCACCATAGTCCGCCAATACAAATCATCTCGATTTTTCAACCCTGAATCCCGAACAACCGCATTACGAGTAACGCTCGCAGCATGGAGTTTCGTGTTTGCGCCCATGAGGGTCTGCACGGCCATCGACACCGCCTCATCAACCTGCTCAACTGCTGAGGGCGGCTTGAAAAAGAACCGATTAGTCGCGGAGAGCCAGAGTACAACAGAGCAGATCACGTCGCAGATCACGAAGGTTAGCGGTCGTAGGAGCGTGATATGGTGGTAGATTCCGGAGGGCGGTGTCTGACCCGCGCGCACAGAGCGCGTTGCACTTTGGAGCGCGTCGTAGGTAGCCATGACGTAGATGTCGATGGCCGCAAGGATAAGTCCGGCTAGTGTAAACTTCGTACGCCAGCGGGTGGCCTCGCGCCCTGCGATGGGCGCAGATGTGGCCACGCCTAAGAGCAGCAGGTGGGCTAGGTGCGGTAGCAACACGTGGAATGGGAGGTAGTACATAAGATATGTGTTGAGGTTATCGAAGGAGCAGTATTGGCATGAGACTAAGGCATCGGGGCCATAGGTCAGGTATACCTTGCGGGCACCGAGAGAGGTGAACTTGGACTGGAGGAGGTTGTCGGCTTCGGTGAGGACGTTATTTGGCCGAAGCCGGGCGAGACGGTTGAAGATGACATCGGTAGGGGTGTTTAGACGAGAGCGAGTCTGAGAGAAGATGTTGGGTTCGGGCGCGTGAGGGTTAAAAGGTAGGCTGAGGAGTAGAAACAAGACTATGCCACCGAATAAGATATTTAGCGCTCGACCGGGCGCGGCAGGCAGAGGGCGTGGTGGTGGCCGACTCGCGATTGATACACGGAGACTTCGATAGGCAGTAATTAGACGTGGGAGTAGGACGGGAGCGAAAAATATAAGGAGTGATTTGACACTATTCACATGGTCAGGCTAGATTGTGGAGGATGCTTAAACTTAAAAGACTTACGTTCCCCAGGAAATTGGGATTGTATCCATATTTGCTATGGACCCTCGGAATCTCGTTGAATTTCGATGAAAGAGAGGTGTAAGAGCCAAGTTACATATGTAGCTTCATTGAAGTCGGGGCCAAACGTGGGTCTTGTCCCTTTTGGGAAGTTGCCCTTTTAACGCTACAAATATTTCTGCCAAATTAAGAGATACGTATACGCTATAAAATATATGTCTCAATTAGATTTTAACGAATTCTCAAAGCAAAATGGGGGAATAAAACAGCGCCGAGTGCACCATCGCAATAACGCAAGATTTCTGAGTCAATCGTCTTTATCTTTCACAACTTCCACAACCCAACTCAACTAGCTTAAACCATATGACCCGATAAAGCAGGGTGGTGTGCGAGGTCGGGAGGACGGATCTCTGCAGAGTCACGAGAGTACTTGGAGGAAGCGGCATCATTCTCCTCAACCAGGGTCGGATTCATGGGCTTAGAGATCTTGAGTGGAAACCGGCCGGTGAAACGATTGGTGGCACGCTTGACCGGGTTGCGTGTGTAGGTGGGCAATGTTTCCTCACGCTTCACACTCAAATGGAGAGTACGGTGGCTGCTGGTCCGGCTCATTGCCTTTTGCGGTGCAACAGCTCCATCTACCCGCACCTGACGGGCACTGACGCCAGTCTCGGGGTCACTGAAGATGAAGCTCTGTTCCGAGAGATGAGTTAGCAATGGGTCAAGGATATATATATTCGGGGGAATTGGAAATTTTTGATCTCTTTACTTACTGCTAGGACGTTCACCGCGCTAACTATCATTGCCAGGACACCGGCGGAGATGATGATTCTCCAAAAAGTCATTCCAATGGTTTCCTGGGTCATAGCTTTGGTGTTTAAATTGCCCAGTGTTGCTACACCCAGGATCATCATGATCCCACCGAGAGAGTAGAAGCTAGATTCTTGTCCGAACATCGGCCAGTGGTTGTCGAAATAGGTTTGAAGGACTGGGAGCTCCGAGACGATCATAAAGACTGTTAATGTTAGCATTTAAATCACACACAAGGAAAAAAAAGATACTTACTGCTGACCAGAGCCACCACAGCATGGGTCACAGCCTCGAAGAAAAAGAAGCTGTTCAGCATGTCAATTTTGACCAGCAAAACTGCACAAGCAGCTATAAGGTCCATAAACGTGATAATGTTGAGAACGCGAATGACGTTCAGAATCACGTACCCTGGACCGGCCAGGGATTCACGCAAGCGAGTCATCATGATTGAGGCACAAGCCTGTTTCTATACTTGTGAAGGATGGTAGATACTCGCTGTCGAGGATGTATAGAAGATTGTCTGTTATGAGACTTGGAGAGGGGAGGGATTGGGATTAAAAGGAAGAAAGCGACTGTCCAGCAGAAAGCTTGATATTCCAAGAAAGAATGGAACAATGCAATAGAGAATCAACTCGACAAGAAAAGAATAAAGAAAGACCGAGACAAAAGAAAAGGGTGAATGGGAGCGACAATAAAGAAAGGCATCTATGGAAGAATGGCTATGAGGTACAGCAGCCTAGATGTATACTTCCGACAAAGGCGATATATTTTTTTTCTATGAATAGACTTGAAACGTGTGAATAAATCACATAAGTATCTAATTAGAGCCCTAGTAAAAGAGTTCCATCTATGCAGAAATACTGCAGGAGGTGTTTCATTGTCAGGCAAATAAATAGAGACCTTTAAGCGCAGAGATCGGGAATTATAGCCCAAACAAGCCTAATTAGATACGCCCCCATGATTGGGATCTCAACTAGGGTCCGATCTAGTCAAATGACTGGTCATTAGTAGACGATATTCGACCATGCTGAAACTAGTCGGCGGCTACAAGTCTTATGATTTTATTTCAAACATTTCCTTATTTGCTTAGTACAGTCCAATTCTGGATACGTATGGAAACAAGATATTGGATAATCTATGGCTTTCAGGCGAAGCGCCAGGGGGTTAAAGTAAAAGACCAGTTGAAACAAGAGTAATAATATGACCCAATCACACTCAGTATATAATTAAATGAACCAAAAGAAATACTCTCTCATAATAATAAATAAATAAATAAATAAATATTGATAAGTCTATACTATGTAAAGAATATAGGTATACAACATATAGTGGAACCCTTGTGATTCGCTGGAATAAAGCCGACCCCTCCAAACTTTTTTCTCACTTCCAACACTTTCCTCCCTCAACTACCGTCACTGGAAATAATATACCAAAGATGACACGGGGTAACCAACGTGACAACGATCGGGCCAAGGCCCTGAAAAAGGCCGGCAACGCGGTTCGTCTTATCCCCCTGACTCCTCTTTATTCATACTGACCATTTTTACAGAAGAACAAGAACACCCAGACTGGTAGCGAATTTGCTAGGAGCAAGGATGAAGCTGCTGCCATCATGCGCGAGAAGCAGAGAAAGGGTGTGTATCCCACTAGACGTCTACCCCGCGCCAAAGGGCTGGTGTACTGATCACTTTTCTTCTATAGCGGATGAAAAGAGAGCTGCTGAGGCAGCAGCAGGAAATAAAAAATAAATCCGATTCGATCCATCCCGTCTGTCACTCGCACCTCCTTCCACCCTTTTCGCGATCGCCCGAAACAGACTCCCCCACCCAGCATCGCAATGTGCAGTGAAGGACGGATTCATGGATAAGATCGGAACCACCTATGCCCAAAATATTCAAACCCCGGGGGCTGGGTGTCTGGCGAGGCGTTCATTTGACTCTCATTGGCGTTTATCACATATTTAGCCCAAGCATGTATACCGGAGCGCTAACAGAACGAGGCAACGACACATGAGAAATATCATGGAGGTGCAATTTTGGTGGTAATCGTAAACACGTAAACACATATAGATATACCTAAGTTTATGTATCTTGCGCTTGACTATCTACCCAATATACTCTCGCCCGGGCCAGCCAGGTCTGCCACGACTTCTTCTGTCGACTATCTTGGACCGTTTGGGAATCACAAGTTCTGATTTCTTGATCGCAATGCAACAGCATGGTATCCTCAATCACACTTTCAAGCCCGAACTGCCTCGATGCTTGGTCGACAAACGTCCAAAGACTCTCGCCCTCCCATCCAACGTTAAGCGCAAACTTGACCACTTTCTCAAGAGCATTCACTCGACTATGTTGTTCTGGGGCATTGCTCAGCATGTAGAGGCCGAAACTCCAACCCGATATGTCGCGTGGATTCGCCAAGCACCAATCAATCACCCGTCCGATAACTGACTGAGAACAGGTTGCCCACGTTGATGGTTCAGTCTTCTCCACTGTGGCAGCGAGAAGCATATTTAGCTGGCGCATATAATTGAAAGCATAATAGTTCTTGGGATGCAGCTCTCCAGCGCGGAGAACAATATCCAGTTCCGTCCGTTGCAGCCTAAGCAGATCCTCGGCACTCCAATGCCGTCTTTGAAGCAGATGGACAAGCACCCACAGTCGGTGATGCCATAGCGTTGGCGACTTGGTATGACGGTGGAGTGGAGAGCACTGGTAACTCGACATGAGCGTGAGTTCGGCTTCTAACACTGTTGCGGCAGAAGTCTGGTTTGAGATATCGGGGCAATGCGCCATGGCTGCCCGGAGTCGGCGTTTGCGCCAGTTGCAAGCTGTCAAATGCTCACAATCAAAAAGGATCATTATCTCTGTAATAGCTGAGTCTGTATCCCTGGACTGGGCGCTTGCAGGTAAGGTGGTTTGGAGGTCATCTTCGGACATGGGCATTAATCGGTCAAAAAAGAGCTGGCGCGCGACCACGAAAGCCTGCACCAGTGCTTTCTTGGTTATTCCTAACGAGCATCCATCCTGAAGGAATGTAGCGCCTAGGCTTGGTGGAATGATTTCGATCTCGAGGACTTGGTTGTCTCTAAATGAGAAGATGCGGACAAGTTCCTGGAATGCATCTTTCGGGTTGGACATTTGAGGACTTAGTTGCGTAATTGCTTGGTGATAAATGGGTGGAATAATTGTCAAGGCCGCATCATATTTTGTTGGAAATGATTTCGTATTTTATTGTCCTGCAACGTGGTGGACAAGATGGTGTAGACCGTGAAGGCGGAAAGGCCAAAGTCCGCTGTTATGCATTTCGACCTTTCCACACCGAGGGACGTCATTCTCTCCTTCAACCAGCGACCAACATATATCTTACCATAATATCTCCTGTCTAATCTAGCAGAGATAACAGATATTCACTTGGTCGGCTGACTCTGCTGCCGCAGCTTTCTTCCAGGCTCTCTTAGCCTGCGCCATCGCATTCAACGCCTACTCGGTCTTGCCAACCCCCGCCACGATGCTGTCCCTTGTGCTTACGGTATTCTTCGTGCACGTCGCAATTTATCTGGTGAACACGATCGGTGCAAGTACAGTCGACAGCCTTGTAAGTCTTCAATCAGCCCATGGTGTTCTTTGGGAAGCTTCCCAGCTTCACCATGCACCTACATTGTGATTCAACATGCTAACACCTACTCTTTTTGACATAGCTATGGCTCCTTTACCTAAATCTACCGACACCGACCTCTCGGACCGCACGCAAGCAGCAGCAGTTGAAGCGCCAAGTCCTCGAGCAGAAGCACGAAATGAACAGCACAAGCTCCCAGGATGAGTTTGCGAAGTGGGCGAAGGCCAGAAGACGACATGACAAGACAATGGAGGAATACGAGGCGCTGAGTACGTGTCACTACCACAAGACTACAGGAGGGGTTGTTACTTTAGTTGACCGTACTGCTAACACCCTTGTCTCTCCACAGACAAGACACTCACCTCGCAAAAGTCCTCCTTCGACTGGACAGTCAAGATCGCCCGCTGGCTCTGCACAAATGGGTTGAAGATCTTCTTGCAATTCTGGTACTCCAAGACACCTGTATTCCCACTCCCCGAGGCCTGGTTCCCCTACTACGTTGAATGGATTGTGTCCTTCCCTCGCGCCCCGCTAGGATCCGTCAGCATCCAGGTTTGGAGCAATGTTTGTGCGACTGCCATTGCGCTCACTGCTGAGGTTGTGGGAGCATTCCTGGTGCAGGTGGTTGGTCAGAAGAAGGAACATAAGCAGGCTGTGCCTGTTGGAGCTGAGGGCAAGGCACAGTGAGCGTGAAAACATGAGCATGGCTAGCTATATTACTGCATGGATACTGGTTGTATTATACGAAGTGAAATGGTACGATCTAATTATGAATATTGCATTTAATGATTCATTTCAATTGCATTGGTATTTGAACTGCTTGAATTGAATAACTGGCTATATAGAATGTTCATCAGATAATTTTAAATCGTTTATCGTCAACAACCCCTTGGGATCTCTGTGCTTGACTCTATGATTGGTATATCATCACGCGAACAAGGAAAAAGCCTCTGGCAAGATAGAAGAGTCCGGCCCCTGTGACAGGGCTTCTGCGACGAGACAGTATCTCCTCACCGCTTTACCATAAGCTACAGACTCTTGAAAAAAGACTTGGAACTCCTCGCCTCAAGAATGAGCCCCATTGAGTTACCTCATCGGCTTCCGAAGAAGCAGACAGGAGGCAATCGCATGACTATCCGAACATGACGAAAGGCAACCCAATACAAGAAAAGGTGTTTTTAGCACCAATCCTTCCCCTCTCCAACACCCAGAACGCACCCCATTGTTTCCAGAGACATCGCAAAATGTGACCGTCGGGTGGCACGGAATGCCGTGAGGGAATAGGGCGTAAGCCGCTATCGAATTGCTTCTATGGCGGCGCGTTTCCGCAGTGCCTGACTTGGTACTTTGGTTTTACCCAAAGCGCAGGTTGTCCGGGGACTTTCTCCCAAAGCAAGATTGGAAAAGGGAGCGAGGCTTCCTTTTGTGCGTGAGCTTTGAATGCGATTCTTTGAGCGAGGAGTTGAGAGAAGAAGAGGAACCGGAATCTTCGGGGCAAGGCTTTTATTTTTCCTGCGCTAGTCAGGTGATTGCGGCTAGGCTTGGTTTGGACTAGCGCACATGGATCGGCTTTAGGGCTTGCAATATTCCGGAGTGCAATAACTTTGGAATATATCTATGTTGTAGAAGTAGAGTATGCAGGAATGCTGAGGGGAAATGATGAGGGGTTTTTTTCCCTTGCTGCTAGCAGAAAGATGGGCAATTTAATAGACACATATAGAGAAATCATCGGGAGGGAAAGAAAACAAATGATCGCTATCAACCATTAACTACCATACTCCTCTTACATCCTTCACCTTTTCATGTGATTTGTTAGTGCTAGTTTGAGAATCTAGTAGTAGTAGTAAAGGAGCTTTACTGATGAAGAAAAAAAAAACACAATGCATTTGACAAAAAGGCTTGATGAATGAGATTACAAACAATTTTTACATGATCCCGTTTACGCCTTGGACTTCGTCTTGGTGGCCTTTTTAGTTCCCTTTGCCTTAGTGGCAGGTGCCTTGGCAACGGGAGACTTGGCAGCAGAAGACTTAGGAGCCGGTGACTCTGTGGCGGCCTCCTTGGGTGTCTCTGTCTTCTTGCCCTTCTTGGCCTTCTTGGGGGTATCATCGGTAGGAGCAGGGGCCTCGATTGCCTTAGCCGGCTCCTCGACAGCTGGCTCGGAGGTCTCAGTGGCCTCGGCGGCCTCGACAGCCTTGGGGGCTTCCTGGATGGGGACATCATCGACGCTCTTCAGCTTGGGAAGATCAAGCTCGTAACCCAGAGCCTTGAGCTTGTTGTTCTTGGCCTCTCTCTTCTTCTGCTCGGTCTCGATACTCTTCGACCACTGCTCGCGTGTCTTACCCCTGGCGAGACGCTTCTTCTCAATGCGGTTCCATGGCGTAACCTTGAAGCGACGGTTGGCGCCCTTCCAGATCTCGGGGTGTAGCTGCTCTTTCGGGACGTACTTGCACTTGACGATGTGGCCGTACATGAGGTAGTTGTCCATTGTGTCAGCGACGATCTTGGCGACAGTGGTGGAAGAAAATTCAATGAAGGCATAGTGCTTGGAGCGACCAGTGAAACGGTTGCGCGAAAGACGGAGTTTGGTGATTTCGCCAAATTGGGAGAAGTAGGCTTTCATCTGGTGCTCGTAGAAACCGTGGGGGATACGTCTAAGAACGGGATGTTAGGCGGTTCAGACTAGTCAGAAATATCGGTCGGAACTTACCCAATGTAGACAGTACCGGGCTCTTCAGGAGGGCCATCCTTGCGCAACTGTTTGGCGAGCTTGCGCTCGGCCTTCTTGGTATTTGGGGCCTTGGGAATAGGTTCACCCTCTTTGTAACCCTCACCATCAGACTCGTCCTCGTCGCCACTGCTCTCGAAGCCCTTGATGAGGGCCTCGGTCTGGTCATCATCACCCTCGTTCTCAGCCTCGCTTTCATCCGAGGGGGAGACATCCACCTCGGCATCTTCCTCTTCGGACTCGACGACAGGCTCGGGCTTCTTGGTCTTGGGAGCGGCCTTCTTCGCGGCAGCCTTCTTGAGGGCGGGGGCGACCTCAGCCTCCTCCTTCTTGGACTTTTTAGCAGCGGGCTTCTTCTCGGCCTTTTTATCGGTCTTTACAGGCGCGACAGGCTCTTCGGTCTCCTCGTCGGTGAGGAAGTCGGCAGCACGCTTGCGAGGCTTGACCTGGCGGGTGGGCTCAACATTGGTCTTGGCCGGCGCAGCAGTCTTCTCTGCCTTGGACTTGGTAGCCTTCTCGTTCTTCTTCAAGATAGACTTAGGAGTAGCCTCCTTGGTTGCTTCGGCGGGCTTAGCCTCGACCTTCTTGGTTTTTTTGGCGGGCGAGTCGGCGGCGACAGGCGCAGCTGTAGTAGCGTTAGCGAAATGAAAGCAAATTCCACCAATTATAATTATTGCACATACCCTTCCGCTTTGAAACTCTCTTATCAGGGGCCATTTTGAGGGTTTGTTGTGTCGAATTGGAGACTGTAGCTGCTCGATCATTTGCGGGAAACTTTTTTTTTTCTCTGATTTGCACGGAAGGCGGTGAACCATCCCGACCACTGATTACCACGATTGCCGCCAAGACGCCAACTTACTACAACCCAAGCGACAACGCCAGATGGGCCAGCAACATGGGGAAGAATAAAAATGTGTCCTTGACACATGCACAGGTCTGGGATGATTCTGCCCTGGTTCAGTCCTGGGACGATGCTGTAGAAGAATACCAGGTCAGTCACCAAATCTTCAATTCACGTGACCAATATCTAACCTGACGGCAGCATTATTGGAGCATTCACGCCAAGGGTGAAAATGTTGACGATGTCTTGAAAAAAGCAGATAACACTGGTATTACTTCACCTGTACATTATGGTGATAGTCAAGACACCAAACCCGCAGAGGACGATGCCATTCAACCTGAGAATGAGGATGTCTCAATGACCATTGATGAGCAAACCTCCGAGTCTGCCCCCGAGGTATATTGCCATTATATTGATGTGTTCTTTGACAATATATTAATGACAAAATATAGGTTCCTCAGCCAGTGGGTGATTCCATTTCTGCGGTTTCCACGCCTGCTATTCCGATGCCTCATCCAATTATCGCAAATGGTATGTTTCGCCTTCGGCACTCCTCAATTCAGGTAACTAACATATACTTCTAGTTCAAGATGAATCGTTAAAGAACCTCATGATATCATGGTATTATGCAGGGTACTACACGGGACTTCATGAAGGCCAACAACAGGCAAGTCGCGACAAGAGCTCATGATGCGACTACGGCCTGGGGACGAACGGGGATGTGTTTTGTTTTGCCCAATTTTCACACTAGCGAACACAACTTGACTAAGTACAGGTTGGGAAGAAGACATAACAGATAAGTAATGGAACTAATCATATCAAATCAATCATGAAACCTAACAAAGATCTCATGGACCATTCCCTTTGCAAACAAAAGTAAACAACGAAAAAGATATCGATCAGCTAGCGTCTACCGAAAGATTATTGCGCTCATCACGTATTCTACAACACCTTCATGTCCAATCTCATATATCGGGGCTCAGTCCTTGGTGAATCAGAGACCGCCTCCGGTACCACCGAGAATACCACCGATGATGGGAATACGGCCCAAAGCGTTAGGCTGAGATGTGGGCTTGTGGGTAGGGGTAGCAGTCGGGGTCACAAAATTGCCGGAGGAAAGCTTCTTGGTAAGGGTGGCAGTAGAAGTAGGCTTGCCAGCAGCCTCGGCCTTTTCAGCCAGCTTCGCAGCAATCTTCGCCTCCTCCTGCTTTGCTTCAGCAGCAGCAGCCTCGCGATCATGCTGTTTCTCCTTTTGGCTGCTTTTCAGGTCGTCAAGACGATCCGTCAACTTAGTGGCATCCTGAGTTCATTGGTCAATATGACAACACTCAAGGCAACTTTCTCATAACTAACTAACCATCAATTTATCAACAGCACCGCCGAGAAACGGTGGTGGACTAGGAGCCTGTTCATCACGCTTAGTGGGCATGGAGAGAGCGAGGACCGCAAGGACGAGGAAAATGGAGATGACTGAGAGACTGAAACGAGCCATTTTGAATGGTGGAATATGTCAAACAGGATATAGATCAAGAGAAGGATATATGTCCAAGTGGTTGTCTCCAAATGAGTGTAGGTGGTAATAATAGTTTAGTAAAACGAGTGACTGTTGCCGGTGGACAGGCCGCTGGGAGAAACAGAGCCCTCAGCTCTGCGGAAATTACTTCAGACTTATGTGCAGCCCCTTCCTGAGGTCGATCATATCATCGAGGGAATGGGGGTCCAAGGGATGCTAGGGTTAAGAGCCTTGTTTTGGCTATGTACCTACCGCGCGTCTTTGCGTGGTATTCTGACTCCCGTCTGGTATAAACAATAATACCTATGTACATAGTTTCAGCTTGCTTATTTTAAGGGCCCTTTAGTTACACGCAATAACTTTGTCTAGGAAAATATTTGACTCATTCGCCTACATATATTTGTATGGGCTTTGATGTCTCTCATATCTCGAAGTATATCCATTGGAGCTAAGGATTGGCGTGAGATCAATCAAGGGATATTTATAAATGATAGTCAATCAGTGGATAAACGTGAGGCAAAGTGACCAAGGCTATATGTTGTATGGACGACGCTTCGAGATGACTTGTGCCGCATTCTATGTTGAAACGCTGGAGTAGCAAAGATTGAACACTCATGCCTCACCTCCCGTCAACCCAGCCACACCCGAGCGCTTAGCAGTTTTCATGCTGGCTTGCTGGCTTTAACCAAACCTATCCAAAAAAACCTATGCAGTAACCAGGCAAATACAAAGTTCAGGAACAAAGTGTCCATCGTGATGGAGACGCAGATCTTCGATGAAGGGTTGCTGCAAGTCTCAAGCAAGAACACGGCAAGGACTGATGGGAGATGCAGATAGTATACACAGCATTCCACAACGATGGAGCATTCTTTGTCTTTCCTCCGATATCACGAGGTGGCGGTCGTCCGCAAGCTAGTGGTGGGATAACCATTCATGATATGATAGCTGTTTACAATAAATGTATCTCCCTACTTTGACACGCACAGCTCCATGAAGGGAGCGGACGTAACACGAGGGAGTCTCCGGAAGGACGTATCCAACCGTGAGGGCTTAGTTTTGGCATCTTTTTGACCTCAAACATCAAGATGTGACGGACAAGACTTCGAAGATGCCAAGGTTGTTTACATCTATCTAGCTATATAAGGGTTAGTGAACAAACAACGGTGGATATGATCATCCCTGTCTAGAGGAAATGACTATGCAAGTTGCAAGTTGCAAGTTGCAAGGACCCGAATGTCTCGCAGGGTTGAAACCCAAGCATAAAGGGTTCAGTGCCAGTCTAAGCTAGCCCCTGCGAGTAAACATCACAGGCATAGAGAAAGAAGACAGATTCATATCAAAAGAATCGGGATGTTGGCTCAAAAGCGAACCCGATCCCCTCTGGCTGCATGTCAGGGGGCGGGATTAGAACGAGCATTCTTCGGTCTGGGTCCCTAAACTAAAATATGTAGATAGAGTGAGATTATTCCATCGACAAGAGTGTGTTGGGGACCGTGTATATGTTTTGAAGTGAAGAAGAAAGGAAAAGAGAAAGCGGATCGCAAAATTTTATTCGACGGGGCCAGTAGCGCGGATTATGTCAGCAGATCACGTGGATCGTCTGGTTACTGTGGAGTGCGGCGTCTTTCCAGTTTCAATTTCAGTTTGATAGCTTAGAAGTCCAATGTCGACCTTCCAAAGTTGTAGGATGTGTGCTCAATGTTATTTTTTGTAGTGATATTAACACATGCCGCCAATTGTTGGAAATCGGGATATATATTTCCTAGAAGGTACGAATTTCGAAGGGAAGCCTCTAAAGACAGATAGGAGAAAGGGAGAGGGCAAATAAATACATGTGAATACTAAAAGTGATTGTAAATTAAGGTCGCATCGATATGTTTTTGATATCTGGAAATCTCAAATATTCATATTGATCTCAAGGAAGACAGAGCTGAAATCTCCGAACATACTATATATCTATACACCATAGATCCAACCACCTAGAGCTTCGCGGACTTTGACTTTGGCTTTGATGTTATATATATGGCTGTATATAGTCCTCCATGGCTCAAGCTAATAGAGATAGAAATATTGGCAAGAGAAAGGCAGAAATCCTTTGATTCTGATTTTTGAGAACACATTGAGGTTAACTACAACATACATAATGAAGCTAGCGGTGGCATTGAAATAAAGGGAAAGCAAAACAAGAGTAAAGATGCATCTTTAGAAACTAGAAGTGTACGTACAAACATAATGACTAAAAAGAACTCATGAGTAAAATCTCAGCCATGACCTACCTAGACCAACCTTGAAACATTGAAGGCATCTAAGCTTGCGCATGCTCTCAACATAGAATATCATCCTTTTCTTGTCCCCTGAAAATTTTGCCATGACCCACTCCTTATCAAAAGGAGACCCTATTTATTTTACTTAATACTTTTTCCTTTGAATAGTATATACTCCGCAGTGTTAGGAGCTTTCATTTGCTGACATTCTCTGCAGTGCGTGAAATTTTCAGATGGGATATATACTACAGAATAGACCGTATCCATATGTTATACAGTAGAGTTTCCTAGCAATCCTAAATCCAATTATGCGCTTGATGGAACCACTTTTGGGATAGAGTGTTCATATTGTAGACTGTCAGTTCTCTAGACATGTATAGAGTAAACGCTCATTGAATGGCATTAATGCCATGCCAGAAATCAAGATCATATAACATGCACATAGGAATACGCTACAACATACAAAATTAAAACCCATCGCATCCAAACCTATTTCTCGCAGATCCTGTAGATCCTGCAGATCTTGCAAATAGGGGGTCATATTCACACCTAAGGCATTAACATTCCGCAGGTTCCGAAATATCTGAAATATCAAGGCAAGAGTAAAGAAGATACATATAATTGCATGAATAAATATACAGAATGGGTCGAAAAGTACAAAGATCATTTATCCAACTCATTTTCTTCCTCTGCATTCTCTTTTTGATCTTATACCTGAACCGCCCGCAATCATCCAAAGACAAACTTTTCGCCTGGACCAAAGTCCGCTACAAAACAACCTCATCCATCATACCGGAAGCCCGCGGAATCTGCCCCGGCCTAGCTGAAACAACTAAACCAGCCTTGATAGTTTCCCATGTCTCGACTGATGGCGACCCATCCTGGCTAGAACCCCTCCGCACACAGTACCATGTATGCATGTACCATGTGGACGCGCCAGCAGACAAAACCTCCAAACTGCTCCAAGTTCCTGCAAACCGCGGACACGAAGCAATGGCCTACCTCACTTTCCTAATCGACAACTACGCGGACATACCGTCTGCCGGCGCCGTCTTCGTGCATGGCAGCCGCTGGGCTTGGCACAACGACATTCCGGACTACGATAACGCCGCGCTCCTGCGCAGTCTAGATGTCCGCGCCGCGCTGCAGCCTTCCGGGTACAGTAACCTGCGCTGTGACTGGAGCGCTGGCACGTGCCCTTCTTCCGTGCCGCCGCAGGGTAGTCTCGAGATGAGGCTGTCGAGCGCCGTGTCGCCGTGGAGTCCGCGCGCGGCATCTGATATAGCGCTACCGAAGGCGCTTGGCCATATCTTTGGCGGGGATTCCGACGCACGTGTCGATGAGATTCGCAGTGCCTTCCATCTTTATCTTGGTCGGACTGATGCCGTGCGCGCACAGTGCTGTGCACAGTTTGTTGTTTCCCGCGACCGGGTCTGGCAGCATAGCCGGGACGAGTATATTGCACTTCGACAGTGGTTGCTCGATGGGAGCGATGATGGTGTTGCACGGAACATGCAACGGGGGTCTAGGGCTGCGCCTGGTGATGACCGTGTGGCTGGTCGGATTGTTTCGTATCTTTGGCATATCCTTTTTGCGAACTATGGGGATAATGCAGCCATTAATCTTGACCAGTTGAATCGTGATGCTTGTCCTAGTGCGTCTGAGTGCTATTGTCGGCTGTATGGTAAGTGTGATTTGAAGTGTCGGGGTCCGGGGAGCTGTAAAGGGCAGTATTCTGTGCCGAAGGACTTCAAGCTCCCTGAGGATTGGGAGAAGACACATTCATGATACATAATTTCTTTTGTGGTTGTAAAACTTGTTTATAGATTGGATCTTGGACATTTTGGGCATATATAATGTATATTGGCATATACTGGGAATAGACTGGGAATGGGTTGGGATGCATTTGGAGAAATGAATTGGATATCTTGTAATCTCAAGTCGGTCAATAGAGTTATGTACAATTTGTTTAGGCTAAATAAAGACAACCCTTTGCTCTAGAATCTGGCAAGGACCCGCTCTTGGGTATCATTCAGGGCATACTGGGAGCTGTGCGTCTTGCTCACGACGGACTTGGCCTGCTCGGCAGTGAAGCCCTTGGCCTCCACAGCTGGGTTATAGCCCAGACCATTGATCTTGCCAACAACGTCCGAAGGCACAGCGGCGGCGACCTTGCCATCAGTCCGCTTGTAAACAGTCACGACGACGGCGCCACCGAGACCGAGGTTGTGCTGCAGGGCCGCAGAAGTACCGTCAACCAGCCGGTTGTTGGCCCAGCCGCGAAGATGCCAGACAAGCTCAGCACATTGGGCAATACCCGTAGCACCAAGCGGGTGACCCTTTGAGATGAGACCGCCAGATGGGTTAATAACCATCTTTCCGCCGTACGTGATATCGCCACGGCGGACCATCTCATGGGCCTGACCGGGTTCACACAACTCCAGCGCGTCAATGGTAATCATCTCATTGGCTGAGAAGCAATCGTGCAGCTCGCAGACCTTGATATCCTTGACATTCACGCCGGCCTCGGCGACGGCAGTGCGGCACGCCTGGCGCGACATGCCGAAGCCCATTAGGTCAATGGAGCTCTTGCTGTAGACCGTGTCGGTATCGGTAGCGAGGCACTGGCCAGCAATGAGAATGGCATGCTCCTTCAGGTGGGGACGCGCATCGAGGAACTCCTGTGAGACAATAACGGCGGCGGCACCGCCATCCGAAGTCGGGCAGCATTGCAGCTTGGTCAAAGGCTCGTGGATCATGGGTGCCTTCATAATCTGCTCGAGGGTGTATTCAGTTTGGAACTGTGAGTAGGGGTTGCGCTTGGAGTGCTCATGGTTAACGCGGGCGATTTCGGCGAAGTCCTCGTTCTTAGCACCATACCTATTTCCCACATGTTAGCATCGTATTCTTTCTTGCCATGGGCTCATATCGCCGAGAGAGGTTGCGCACTTCTCCTTGTATTCTACACCCGCATTTCCGAACATCTGTGCAGCACCGGGTGCGTTCGTAACACCTCGCGTTTCGGCCATCATCGTTCCAAACAGTCCTGTTGGGTTTTCGCGATCGTTATACATGGATTGCAAGCTACCGGGGTTCATTTTTTCAAAGCCGACAACCAGCACACAATCCGCAGCACCATGGGAAACCAGGGTGCGGGCCATGGCGAGGCCAGTTGAACCAGTCGAACAGTTGTTGTTGACGTTGTAAATAGGGATGCTGGTCTGGCCGAACTGGTAGAAGACGCGCTGTCCGCAGGTGCTATCGCCGTATACGTAGCATGCAATACCCTGGTCAACATCGTCATAGTTGATCTGGGCGTCGAGCATGGCTTTGATGCCGGCCTCATAGCCTAGCTCATGGTAGTCGACCTTGCCGCGTGGCTTGATGAACTTGGTCATGCCTACGCCTAGGACGTAGGCGGGTGTTCCTTGCTTCTTTCCCATCGTGTAAATTATTGACAGAGGTATAAATTTAATATTTAAATCGAGAAGGGTGTGGGTTTATAAATAAAAATTAGCGGAGCATGCGCAATTATGAAATTGCGGGGAGAGACCGAGGTCCCGAGGAACTGTGTCCGCGGCACATAATCAATATTCACATCTGTTGAGATAAGTCATGATCTGGAGATATATTATAAAGGATTTCTGGCAAAGAAAGATATTTTTTATGAGTTTTATTATAAGATGACTACGTTCGTATAATCCACACTGAGCCCAGTTGATTTGGCACAGTTGGAAATCAGGTATCGACAATCATGCGATCGTATTGAATGTCGACTATGGATATGGTTCTCAATCCATGGGGTTGAAAGATAATTAATTGTGGGTTATAATGAGTCCAATCCCTTGAAGTCCAACTCCATCACGGAGTACTGTCCTCCACATAGAGATCACCAGAGTCTACCTACATAGGTACATGTATATAATATAACTGCGATCAGCTCATAACGCTGTCTTAAGTTTCTGCATAAAGTACAGAGTAGATAGAATCGAATTGCGACCGGCAGATGAATACCAGGCCACTGTTAATTTCTAGAATAAGATTAGCATAGAGATATACCATATAAATTAAAGTCATTTCTGATTTTTTTTATTTTTTCTTTTAAAAAAAATAGTACTGGTAGTCAAAGTACCCCTTTGGAAAGAGATGTTCTCCGCTGTTCACGACGACGTCACCCAGTTTGGCCCTAAACCCCTTTGAGCATGTCAAGATCCACATGCCATTCGACCTCCCTCCTTCTTCTTCCCTTCTAGATGTTGCCTTCTACCTAGTATATTGTGGGAATACAGGTCATCTTCGACTAAATTCGAGATAGGTACTTGTTATACAGAAAGGCGGGGAAGCAAATTGATACTAATGATCCTCTCCCCGCAGCTCCCGATCTCAACAACTCATTGCTATAAACGAAATTGGGCAAAGAATCTTTCCGTCTGGAATAGTGGCCTCTTATTGAACATCGCTTGACTCAAACCCGCACCACACCTCCTACCATACAATTCTCTGTGAACGCCGGGTTGCATCCATTGCTGTGGCCCATTGCTTCGGCCACCGATATCGAACCTATCCTCATAATCTGCAAAGACGGATCCAAACGTGCTAATCTATACAAGAGCCTTTTGCGGTGCTTCCCAACAGACTGAAGATAGAACTGGGTTGGCCGGGCCCGTTTAATGGACAATTGTGGGACGCTGAACGGTCTACTCGAGTTCTGAGAGACCGCTTTGCGTTCCATCGGGTTCCCCACCCTGCAAGTATAAGAGTCTGAGCAGAATTTAACCCTCTGCTACGACTGATCGAAGAGATATTGCCATACTTATTTCCTGCTGCCGCCAATGGAGAACGTTGAGGGATGACTAGTGACAACAGTTCTGAACATGCACCATTACCCTCGTCAACTCACCACACAAGAACCGCCGTCATGCCAAACCACGAAGCATGGAACATGGATGAGGCCACACGCAACAAACTTCTCAAAAAGTACAAAACCCAGGTGGCTTCGGGGGCGTCGACAGTTTGTGCAACGCTGGCGGTGGTGAGTGCTTTATTTTACAAGCTCTTGCTTGAAATCATAATCCTTCATTTGCACTATGATGGGGGATACAGACAATGCTAATTGTAATTGGGCAGACTCCTTTAGAGAACGTCAAAACACGGATGCAGACGTAAGTATTCTACGTGACCTTAGAGGTGGGAACAGCATGCTAAATAATTTGAAAGACACAATTTTAAGAACATATGGCAGTGTGTTCGCTATCTCTGGCGCACCGAAGGGCCCAGGGGATATGTAGCTGGTAAGTCAGTATGAGTCGGTAGCTGAAGGACCGGCTGACCATCATATAGGCGCCCTTCCACCCTTGGCGAGTGTCACGGTAGTCCGTGTTGTCAACTTTACCGTGTACAATGCCTTTAAGGACATAATCGCCGATAACGTCGAGCGCGTAACCGGTTCCAACCCTCTGGACCACTATAAAAAGCCCGGAAGCACCCCCACTGTGACGGGTGTGCTCACTTTTACCGCTGCAGGCCTCGCCGCTGGCTTGGTCGCATCGCCCATTGCTTGTATGTTGATATTTATCAGATGATAGATCGGAAAGAGAGTGCTGACGTTGAAATAGGCCCCTTTGAGCTGGCGAAGAATGTCGTCCAAACCTCCGTTTTAGTGTCGAACCGTGCGATGGCTGCCCCGGACGCAGTCCGAGACCAATCTTTACGCCATAAGCCCCGCCTGGGGACCATTCAAGCCATAAAGCAGATATATTTACGACATGGATTTTGGGGCCTTTACACCGGTTTCCGCCTGCATGCGTTGCGCGACACCGTGGGATCAGGGCTATACTTCAGTGTTTACGAGACTGTGAAGCAAGTCGCAGCCAAGGAGTTGGGTCAGGACAAGAACCCCTTCGGGGCACCTATGATTGCTGGTGCCATTTGCAGCACTGTGCCCTGGTTCTGCGTATGTGATCAGACTGATACTCTGTTTCGTGATGAGCATGCACTAACGTAAACAACAGACTTATCCTCTCGATACCCGGAAGACTCGCGCACAGAGTGTTCTGCTAGGAAAATCCAGTGAGATTGGCGAGGCCTCACAGGCTGTCGCCAAATCCAGCATGTACAAGGGCCTGTCCATCATTCTTATCCGGACCGGCGTCAACAACATGATCTTGCTCAGCATTTTCGAATACATTAGAATGCGCATCGATGAGCTGCCGAGTTAAACTTGTTGATAAGGCCACGACAATCATGTTAGGAAGAAATGGCGGTCCATCTGTTGAACATTTTCTTTGCCATTGTGCGTGAACATCGAGGAGTTTTCTCGTATTTATTACCAACATACATACATTGATGAACCTGAAGCTCATTTCTAGCAAATAACAGAATGGATCATGAAAGTTTGAAGTCATACATATTAAGAAGGGAAAGTATTGCAAAAATGGGCGTAATCGTCATAGCGCTAGGGTAACTTCACAATCGGCAGCATCTTGTCGACCGTATAGCCTGAAATCACTTTCCTTGTGTTTTCCACTGCTCGCCCCCCTTTCCCGGTCCTTTGTTGCAGAAGCGTCTTAGACTCATCATTTCCAATTGTGATTTCTATAAAAGAACCGATCTTTCCGCGCAACTCGGCTATAGCACAGGCCTTCTCGGCAATATAGTAGGATTTATTGAAGCTGTTTCGAGATTTGGTTTAGTGTTTGTGTAGTATTTCCACTTGTAAGTTTGTGCAGATACCTGGATATCGATATTCGAGCAATTATATGTACTAATTTTACAACGTTATGTAGGCGAATTTCCGCTCCTGGAATCAGAGCGGATGTCAAACTCGCGAGTATAGTAAATCCGATCCCCACGAGGCGCTCCTTCCTTGTGGTCCCGTTCTTCAAACTTTGCGATCGACTCCTGGATGGCGAGGTTTTCAACATCAGTGCCTCGTTCATTGCCCTTGCCCCAAACTTGGAGCGGAAAATTATCCCCGTTTTCTATGACCCCGCCAGTAGACTGATTTATCGCCTCTTGGCTAGAGTTTACTCCACTGCTGTGTGCAATGAGGGTAGCATCCTTTACCGAGCTGTGGAAACTGGGTCGAGAGAAAGGGCCGGCCAACGAAAAGGATGCATGGGACTGTGAGCCAGCAGCCTTCCAGTAGGAATTGCTTCCCTTGTTGCCGGTGGCACCGGATGGATGTCCGCTGTTGATTTGGTACTGGAAGGCTCTCGCACCGAACAGCTTCCGGAGGAGCGGCCACCAGCACATCATGTTGGCGACAAAGATGGCAGTGCTGGCTTCACGTATATACCAGATCTGGTACACAGTGGTCAATGGGGATGCGAAGTTGAAGTATTTATTCAGAATGGCGGCAATGATTGTGAAAAGACCTAGGCTCATCACGCAGAGCAGTAGCAACTTCCGGCGCGGTTGGAGCTTAGCTTTGGCGATGAGTGGTATTGGGATGGCAAACATCAAGGCGTCTGATGAGATGTTGAAAGCTGCCTGTGTGATTGAATAGTGTTGGTACGTCGCGCACTGCATATTCGACACTGGCAACGCCCAATATTGCGAGAAGGGTCGGCAGTACACGGTGTAGTAGGTGATCATAATCACGAAGAAACCAAGCGCCACATAAATGGCGAGGATCTTGACATGGAGGTTCGAGGGTAGATTCTTAGTGATCCGCCAGTAGAGTATCAACAGGCAGACTTTCACCCCCCAGGTTACAAAAAGCATGCACTGTTCCAGCGCAATGACGATCTTGCTTCCAATAATGCGCTCGCGAACTTGTTCTGGGTCAGAAAGTACCGCATCATATTCGCTCGGCTCCATGAGATTAGTCGCGTATTTAGCCGAGATTTGAATCAAAATCAACAAGGACGTATATAGTAACTATCGGGACCGGATCGTTGATCAGTTGAGGATCACAGATCGGGCCAAAGCAGGGGACTCACAAATGTTGCCGTCATCACATAATCGTCCCCTAGAATATGCGATTGAGCTAGTGAGTTATGGCTGATCAAGCGAAAGGAAGGAATTCTGCGCACATGATATTCCCTGGATTGACATATTGGCCATTAACCGAGAGGCCCTGTTTGTAAAGTCAGTATCTCCTCCGGCTCTTGTTAATGCGAGCGGCGCAGACAGTTCAGACATACATTCGGCCAACGTAGAGTACCAACCCAACACTCCAGAAAATCACAGCTTCTACCAACAGTTGGTGGGGTGTGGGCGATGCGTTCCCCATTCTGGCAGAAAAATGATCGTCCGTCCTCGTCAATCGAATCTATCTCACAAGGTTACTGGAGTAGACATTGAGCCTGCTATCTGAGGTCAGAGGCCCTGGGAATATGGGAGTTAAAGATATCATCGGTAGGGATTGCAATAGCGAGAGATTTTCAGCCCCCGATGAATCGATGGATCCGCTCAGGCGGGTCGGACAAGAATTACATATATATTGGGAGGGGGCCATAATAAAGTTTTATGGAAGGATCGAAGGCTCTGCACGACCCGTGTACGCCCCGATCTTGGAGAAGAAACATTCCTGGGAAACACCTGATAGCGGAGGATCCATGAAGATGACCATAGGAGAAATGAGAGATAAAATAGGGTCTGATGAGAGGAGCAATTGTGTCCTTCAATCACACGGAGCCGTATCTCTGAGCCTTGGAGGAAAACTTCTACCTTGTTGTCATGCTTTGCACCAGCTTCCAAGGTCGATGCAGATTGGCTTGGCGGGGCGACTGTCTTTGATGGAGGCCCACACCAGCGACCTTGACCCTTGGCATTCATTTAGATTCATTTAGATTCATATAAAGTGCGCTAAATGATGGGGGCTATTTTTTTCTGGATATGCTGCAGAATAGTTTATGCATGGGAGAATTTAGCAAGATATATCACATGTCAAAGGAGCTTATTTCCACGTTCTCACCCCTTAGATCTGTACGATCCATGGATCCATGGATCGTACAGATTCTTATCCGAACCTCAGCCCTTCCGTCCTCCCTAAAGGCTAATATATGGGTACGTCACCACAGTGGGGCCTAAAGGTGTTAGTGTTGTGCTCTTACTAACTGAGTAATTCAAATACTAGGGGGCGAAGATTTTAATATGGGATTGCATCGCACCATCATAACCATCCCATTGTATGTACCCACCCGCCCTGGACGAATGGGGAAGGTTCTACACTAAATTTCTACTAGCGGGGAATTGTGTCTTCATATGTTCCCCATCTCTCTCTCTCTCTCTCTCGATTCCTATTTCACTCCGTTCTTGACTCGCTCTCGTTGCCCTCCTTGCTGACCTCATTCAATATCATTTGACGGATGACAATATGGTGGTCGCTGAGAAGCAAACTGCCCAGGTCGGCGAGGCCAGGCCGAGGAACAGCACTGAGCTAGACACGGTGCGCCAAGAGGCTGCTCTGGGTCACAAACAGGAGCTGGTGCGGAATTTCGGGCTCTGGAGTGTGACGAGCTTGGGAATTGTGATAGCCAAGTCAGTGATGTAAACTTTGTCTATCCGTGACATTGACTAACTTGAATATGTACTAGTTCCTGGGCCGCAACTGGTGGCACAATTGTGACTGCACTCATGAATGGAGGTCCGATGGCTCTGCTATATGGCTTGATACTCGTGAGCACCTTCTATACGGCAATTTCGGCATCGCTGGCCGAATTGGCATCTTCTATGCCCTCCGCAGGCGGAGTCTATTACTGGTCCACGGTACTAAGTGGGAAACATGGCCGCGTTGTTGGATTCTTCACGGGGTATCTTAATGCCTGCGCCTGGCTCTTATCGGCCTCCTCGATGAGCTCCATGCTAGGCAATGAAGCAGTGGCCATGTATTTGCTTCGGCATTCCGATGTCACCTGGCAGTCCTGGCAGGTGTTTATTGTATTCCAAATTGTTAATTGGACTTGCTGCGCGATCGTATGTCTAGGGAACCGGTTTATCCCTCTGATTAACCGAGTTGCACTGATCCTATCAATGACCGGACTCTTTGCAACCATCGTGGTCCTTGCAGCGATGCCAAAGACACACGCGAACTCTTCGCAGGTGTGGACGCAATACTACAACATGACTGGCGGCTGGTCCGATGGAGTGTGCTTTATGACAGGACTGCTTAATGCAGCCTTTGCTGTGGGGGTTCCTGATTGTATCAGTCATTTATCTGAAGAGGGTATGTTAATTGAGTTAAATGCCGCATATATCGCACCAATTGTCAAATTAAGATAAATGGATTCTAACCAGTGGTGTTATTTTAGTTCCTAAGCCACAAGTCAAGGTCCCTCAGGGTATCATGATCCAGATGTTAACGGCCTTCACTACCTCATTCATTTATTTGATTGCCCTGTTCTATTCGATCCAGGACATTGATGCGGTTTTCAACACTAACGTGGGCTATTTTCCTACTGCTGAAATCTACCGGCAAGCTACGGGATCCACCACTGGTGCTATCGGACTTATTGCGGTGCTCTTCCTGGCTACCTTCCCAACCCTGATCGGCACTCTCGTCACTGGAGGACGGATGTGGTGGAGCTTAGCCCGGGACAACGCAACGCCTTTCTCGAGCTATTTTGCCCAGGTGCATCCTAAATTGAACTGCCCCGTCCGTGCTACCGTCGCCATGAGTGCACTAGTTACATGTATCGGCTGTATCTACGTCGGTAGCACAACGGCATTCCAGGCCCTCATTTCGTCCTTCATCGTGCTAAGCACTTTATCTTACTTTGGGGCTATCCTCCCCCATGTGTTGACTGGCCGCCGGAACATAGTCCCCGGCCCCTTCTATATGGGCAAGAATCTAGGAATGGTGGTGAATGTTGTCTCGTTGGTATATATCATCGTCACTGTGATATTCTTCTGCTTCCCATTCGTGATGCCTGCCACCGTTCAGAACATGAATTATACGAGCGTCATCACTGTCGGTTTGATGACATTGACCGCACTGTGGTGGTTTGTCCGCGGGAAGACCGAGTACAGAGGCCCGCACTTCAGTTTTGAGGCTGCCAAACACTTGACCTCTGTTGAAGCAGCCAAGGAGAGCGGCAGTCCTGCAATTGTGCCCATGGAGAAGTCTACAACAACTGACACGGACGAGCATGGGCGGGTGGAATGAATGCATGCTAATGCTACCCCTGCGATGAGAATGAGAAAAAGGGAGAGATTGAAAATTTAATGCTCTCAATATTGTTACTTCATGCTATGAATATCTTCATGAAACAGGCTTCCCTATAGATATGAATATATTGTGACTGATTTATAATTTATACCTATGTATGCCAATTGCCTTTGCCATCTCCCTAGGTGCTTCACTGCGATGGATCGCACTGTAAACATGCTGGGAGTTAGGATCTCTTGTTTAGTTCCTCAGCTTCTCTCTATCGTTGTGATAGCATATACATATGGGTTCTCTCTGATTATCCGTAACCTTCTTGTAGTTACCTACATACGCATCTCATGAATACAGCTCATCGCCAGTAACGGGAAACTGATGAACATTGCCGTGGGCGAAGCTCCAAACTTCTTTCTACACGCTTTCCTTGAGTAAGTAGCTTGGTAATGTCATTGTAGCTGGTGGTACCTTAATTGCCCTTCGATAAGCTAGGTTGGTACATAGAGGTGGTCTTGCTCAGGGTAAATTGTTTAACCGAATCGATACTTAAGGATAGGGAAGAATAATGGGTAATTTAGGAGGATTTGGTGTGGAGATGTGGAGCGCAGCATTGGGCTCATATGATGCCTCAGGCCAGTAAACGTCATGCCGTTGCTCGGTGGGGTTGAACTTCTTGTCAAAACAAACGGAGTCTTCCACACCCCCCGCCTGGAGCGAAAATGGCGTCGTGAGTACATCCGGAAGCATGCGAGAAGCTGCAAGAGAACAATGCCACTGACTATTTTTGTTACTACAGTAATATTCTCCAACTCCCGTTCCGGCGCTCCCATCCCGTCTCGCTTTCCGAAGCAATCGTCCAGTACATCTCCTCCAAATATGACCAGCGCCCAGATATGTTTGCCGAGGATCTGATGATCATTGATCGCCTACGATCTGAGGCCGTGAATGTCCAGGAACCGCATTTTAGTGGCATCAGTCGCCTGGTCACATATGCGGCCCAGCTGAAATGGATGAGTGGAAAGTTCCCAATTGATGTGCGGCGCTCTTCCTGGGTCCTTATTCTTTGATGTGACATTGGAAGCTGACGCTAGCATGGTATATAGGTCGGAGTGGATTTTTCGTGGTATCCGGCTTTTGGGTTTAATACGTCGCGGCCAGGTGAGTTGGTTTCTTCGTGTCCCTCCGCAGGGGTCCGATATGAGACTAACAAGAGTAAACCATTTCTTTTAGTTTCACAAAATAATTTGCGCTTCGAACTAGCGAACGTTATATTCAATATCGCCGCATTATACTCCCAGCTTGCATATGCGACCAACCGGACTACCGCCGATGGACTCAAGCAGGCGTGCAACTACCTCTGCTCCGCCGCTGGAGTATTGAGCCATCTACGCACCGAAATCATCCCAGACCTTCGAACATCGCCGCCGGAGGATATGGACGAAATGACCCTTCAGAGTTTGGAGCTTCTTTTGCTCGGACAGGGGCAGGAGTGCTTCTGGCAGAAGGCCGTCAAAGATGGACTGAAAGATGTATCTATTGCAAAATTGGCAGCCAAAGTGTCTGACTTCTACGGCGACGCAAGTGACTTGGCTGTCAAGTCTAATGCAATTAGTACAGACTGGATTCACCATATGACTGCAAAGCATCACCACTTTGCCGCTGCTGCTCAGTTCCGACAGGCGCTTGACTGCCTCGAGAAGCGCAAATATGGAGAAGAGGTCGCTCGACTGCGTGATTGTTTGCTCTGTGTCGCCGAAGGGTTGAAAGAGCAGCGATGGATTAATCGGACTGTTCTTGGCGACCTGACTGGATTGAAGAGCCGTGTTGCGGAAGACCTTAAGCGCGCAGAGAAGGATAATGATATGATCTACATTAACCCTGTGCCGCCTAAGTCTGAACTCAAGACTATCGAGCGTGCCAGCATGGTTCTTGCCAAAGCTCCCTCACAGGTTACTGATGCGATCTCTATGCTTGGCGATAATGGACCGTTGGGCCAGCCGCTGTTTTCAAAGTTAGTCCCATACGCAGTTCACATTGCCGCCAGTATTTACACTGATCGTCGAGACCGACTGGTTAACGAGACTCTCATTGGAGAGTTAGAGTCCATGACCGACAAGTTACGCGAGTATGTATTCAACGGAAATTCTAAGGTTGTTGTGGGAAAATTTGCTAACACCACCCTTAAGCTTGCTTTCATCGCTCAACTTGCCAGGGTCGTTACAAGCGCTCGAGAAACCATTAGGTCTTCCGCCCACGCTTGTGTCGCATGCAGAAGAAATGCGCCAACAAGACGGCCTGAATCGCTTGCATCGGTCTATCGACGATACTGCCAGAGTCAAAGGCAACGATATGGCTGTCTATAATGAAGGCGTTGAGCTTCTAGCAGCCGAAAAGGCCGAAGACCTTGCATCCCGTCATAAATACGGCACTGATCGCTGGACCCGCCTGACCTCGGAATCCGCCGCGCCTAAGCTCTACAAGAGCTTGACCGAAATCGACGGCTATTTCACTTCCGCTCAGGGCAGTGACGACCTCGTCCAGCGCAAGCTGCGAGATTCACGCTCTGTCTTCATTGTTCTCACTGGCACGAATCGGGACTTGGAATCATTTGTGCCTAGTAGCCGGAGGGTTGTGATTCCACCAGAGGTTGAGCGCGAGGCTAATCGGTTGCGTGGCTGTTTGAGCGAGGTGACTCGGATGGAGAATCGGCGAAGGCGGCGAATTCAAACGTTGAAGGAGAAGGCTCGCGCCGATGATATTCGTACGTGTTTTGCTTTTCATTGGTCTTGGAATCTACTAATGAACTACTTTAGATCCAGCACTTTTAGCACAGACAGCTCGATTAGAGCGTGAATTTCCCATGCAGACTATCCAAGCAAGCCAGTTCGAAGATTTGTTCGAGGAGCAGCTGAAGCTGTATGATTCGGACCGTGAGATTCTGGCACAGGAGCGGAGAGAGCAAGATCATCTTTCGGACCAGGTCCGAGAAGCTAACCGGGCATTTACGGGGTCTCATAAGGGTGATGCGTCGACAAGGGAACGAGAAGCGGCGCTGCAGGATCTGGAAAACGGATACCTGAAGTACAAGGAGATCATTTCTAACCTCGATGTCGGGCGAAAATTTTACAATGACCTTGCGAAGATTGTGGCCCGATTCCGCGACGACGCGAAGGCTTTTGTCCACCAGCGTCGCATGGAGGCAAGCCAGCTGGAAGCGTATGTGTTCTCTCGCCCACCATTGAACTAAAAATTATCCCGAGAGGTCACTGACATTAGAGCCAGAGATATTTCCAACGCTACAGCGATGGCCTCACTGCATATTTCTCAGCCGCACTTGCGCCAACAACCTCAGGAGTCAGCCCGAACCCACCACTCTCCCTCATACTCAGTTGCGCAGCCCGCCCAGTCACCATCACAGCCACCCCCACCTGTTCACAACGCACGCACAGCTGAGACAGCAGCGCCGCTCACAGCACCTCAACCGGTGCGAGCGCCTGTAGCCCCACCCCCAGCTTCTACACCGAGCATGCCCGGGGGTATGCCGGGTATGTGGGCACCCGAAATGGGGATTCGATTCGGATCCGCGGCTGCCCCTCCTAATGCTACTCCTAACACAGGAGCTAGACCTGTCCCGAGCCAGCCCACCCGTGCCCCTCAGCCGGGAACCTGGGATCCTAGCCAGGGACTGCGTTTCTCTTGATTATCCCGTGATACAAAACTGTTTAAATTCTTATTCTAGATCCCACACCTTCGCACATAGCTCTGGAGTTTTGTTATATGTTCAGCTTGTTTTGCTCACGATATACGGCGCGAGCAACATCGCAAGGATAGCCTGGATGCATATAATTTTCCGCAAATTGCAGCTGAACCCGGATGAACCCTTGAAATGGATTATCTACGTGATTGGCGTCGATCTGATCCCGGTTCAAGTATAAATATCATCATTATAATCAAATACGTAGTAGTATGGTACATCTGTTTGAAAAAAATCGAGTCATCGCAAGTTTATAACAGCAACAGCCAAACTGAATTCCCATGATACGTGGCGCAACATGGCGGATGAAACGGCCCAAGCAAGTATTTCTATGCAAAATTGTTGAACAGCGAATAAGGCGAAAAGTCATTTTGCTTCTCACAGTGCATGCACCCGCAGATCGTCGTTAGCGAGTTCCAATAGAACCAACAGAGATACCAACACCATTAGTGACCTGCTGGGACTTGCCACTTGGGGATGAACTGCCATTGAATAAGCATGACTATTCCTTAGCAATATTGAATTCATCTTGTTCAATTTCAGACTCGTCCGGCTCAGAGCGATCGTCCTTCTTCTCGCCCGTCGCGAGGAACTTGAAAGCGCTGCGTAGTAGATAGTACAACCAGAACAGATTGAGAGCTTGTAGTACAGCCAGAAGTCCAAAGGTGATCACATTTGAGATCCAGCACTTGTACTGTTGAGTGTCCCAGTTAAGCTCGTAAGGTCCGACAGTTCGGAACTCGGTTAGAAGGGAATACAGTATCCGAAGATTTAGTACGTGGCGGAGATATATCCAGGCGCCGATAGTCATTGCGTAGAAGGGGATCATTATGTCCGGGGCTATGTAATGGAGAGATTTTGAAACCTGGGAGAATTGTCAATCGGTGGAATATTTTGGGTTGGGTCGAAACCAGAAGAAATGGTTCAGGCGCGGAGAGATGCGACTTACGGCAAGGAAGAAATCGCTAATATCATGCGTAATATAAACAGCAATGCCCATATATGTAAAGTGAAAGCGATAGCTGAGCGCAATAAGAGCCAGTGTCAAAATATGATGCGCAACAAGCTCCTTGAAGTCCTTCCGCCGCTTCTCCATCCCCAGCAGCATAACAATAGCCTGTTGTGCCCAATAAGCCGCCTCGAACAAATAGTAAAACTTGAACTCGGCCGCATGGGTCCTATGCGGGAATAGTTCGTACATGCCACGCGTGTTGAAATACCAAACCGGTGTCTGGCGCATGACATACAACCCTGCGGGACCGAGGACTCCAAAGTATATCGCAGTGTACATCTGCTCCATGAAACGGGCCTGCTTTCCCTGCGATTTGATATGCGCAGCTGCTAGGGGGCGAATAATTTCTTGCATGATGAATTCGCGCGTGAAGGAAAGCACGAGCACGTAGAATGACACGAATGCAATGTCCCACAGACCTTTGCCATATTGTGTCGGGGCATTTGGGTCATCGTCCAGGGATTCCACTTTGTAAGAAAGAAATATAAAATGAGAGATTGGGTTTGCCTCAGTTGGATTGAGTGCGAATAGTGAGAGGAAGGCCAGCACGAGAGCTAATGGAATCGTCCAGGTGCGGTGAACTGCGAAGCGCTTACAGCGACGGAGGAGAGAGAACGGCTCTTTGGGGCTCGAGGCTGGGTTTGTTGAGTTTAGTGGGCTTAATAAGCCTGCTTGGTTATACCCAACTCTCTTAGGTTGAGTAGAGCCATTGATCTTCCTGTGCCTAAGGGTATCTTCTTTCATTGGCATTTGGTTGGCTCCGTTCAGGGGTAATGAACTGGCGGTCATATTTTGTAATTTAGAGATGAAGCTGAGATGAAAGATAGGTGGAGCTAAGATATATGTCAATGATAAACATAATATTACCTTGGATGTACTAGTTAAACTAGTCACGCTAGTTAAAGGCTGAAGCCCTTTCTAATAAGTTGAGATTTCCTTATTCGGCTAGTCGATCGTATTCGGCTATCTCGGGCCGGATGTAATATTTTTGATGTTTCGATTTCATATACGGAGTAGTCCTAGAGGAAACGAGTATAATTCAGTATAGCATTTGGCAGTTTTTGTTCAGGCATCTTGATTACTCTTGGTATAGCATTCAACGCTTCTCAGATATTAATCATACTATAGGGCATTTGACTTGTCTACTTCAGCTGCGGGCCACATCCCATGCTTCCCTCAGCTATTTTCTTTTTAGGACGGTAAGTTCAACTAAATGGACAAGTTATATCCAATGTTGGATTGGCCGTGTAGCAAAATAGTTACTGTCGTGTTACATATCTTTGGTTTTGTGACACTCATCATAAGTATGCGACTAGAAACATGATTAGAGCCAGGGCAATGTGGATATACTGTGGCTTGATGAGTAAATACCCAGGATGGGCCTCGTCAGTTTTGCAGTTCTCTACAAGCGAAAGCTTGTATTCCTTCTGTATAACTGGGCAAACCAGGAATTCAATCTCAGGGCCTTGAGATCAACTTGCTAAATACCTTAAATTATGCGATCTGACCGAAAATGAGTATCCGCTTTTCTGAGAAGCCTGCATATGTATCTTGATCCAAGATTAGGAGTTCATTGAAACCAAGTATGTTGGATGTGTTGATCTGTAGTGCCATATGAGCTATGACCGTTTTTATAGAGTTTCTTCCATCCTATTAAAGACCTAGATGTAAACCATCCGACTGTATAAATCAATTTATTTTAGAAAGAACCATTTTAGGAAGCAAAATGTGCTTTCTGCCCTTTAAATTAATCTCTTATATTTCTCTGCCGGTCGGTTATGCGGTCTCCTTATGCCCATGCATCCTTACTATGGAACCATTTCTCTGCATCATCCTTTTGTTTGCAACTATGTCAATCAGTTATTTTGCTGGTATGGTGATGGATACCAATCAACTAGAGGATTTGGTTGAAGATGCCATGATGGGTAGAAGACGAATTAATCAAATTTGATATATTGCCATTTTTCGGGTCTTTTCGTACCATAGAGTTCACCGCATTGTTCGGAGTAGAGGTTATTGTAAATGGAATGCCGAGAAAGTGTATAGAGCCCTGGAGGCCGAAAACTATTACGTGAACACCCCTGGCCTACTTATTCGGCCGTATAATATGGGTCGGTAAACATTACTTACTGCTACTCACATACTTCACCGAGAGACCTTTATGGAATTATGAAGAGAAGGTATCTATCTGCTATAAGACTTTCATACTCACAATTTCTTTTTCGAATTATATTCCCAACTTCTGAAATTAAAGTAATATGTGAAAATATTTATACTTTTTGTTTTTTTTTTTTTTTTTCAACATGAAATCCAGCAAATCAAAGTAATTAGATCGAAGGATATCGGAAAGCCCTAGTTCTACCGAAAAATATCCCAAAGCTTAAGAAGGTTAAATTTTTACCTAATTTCCCCGTTGGAGCTCCGTTCACTTGGAGTAATTCAACTATTTGCTTTGTTCTATATTTCAAATTACCTAACTGCTTATTGTGTCCACGGATCTATGGGGTATCTTATTTAGAGAGAAATCCTCACTTTCTACCCTAATTCCATAATTCCATAATTCTTTAAGACATTAAACACACACATTACACATTTAAAAAAAAAATGGTTCACAACATTCACGTTGCTGTCCTAGACGTCGATATTCCAGCCCGTAAACTATACGAGGCTCGAGGACTTTGCAGTGCCCACTTCCGAACTATTCTCCGCGAGACTGCATCACGCCTGAACGAAACTCTTTTCTCTGAGAAAGAGCAAATTGAAGTCAAGATCACCCCATATGATATCCGAGGAGGTCATTATCCAGACCTATACAAGCTCCGTGGCCATGCAGGCGAGGACCAAATACCCGTGCAATCCCCAGTGGATGCAGTCTTGATCACCGGCGGGTCGCCTGGCGTATACGAAATGGACCATTCGCCATGGATGCAAGAACTGGAGAAATTCGTCAAAACAGTCTACAATCAATACCCAGAAGTCCGCATCCTCGGTACCTGTTTCGGGCACCAACTTATCTCGCACGCTCTCGTGCGCAATGAGGAAGACCCGGTCCGCGATGTCTGGGTTGAGAAATGCCCTCTCGGACGTGAGGTCGGAATTTATACCGTTCAATTGGAAAAGGCATTTGTCGAATCGTTCCCGGGTGCGCTTGGTGATCTTCCCGAGGGACGGTTGCGAATTCAGATGTTCCATGGCGATCGGGTGATGGCCGTTGAGAAGGGAACTGCTGTTACCCTTACCGACTTGCCGCCGGTTTCGTTGCCTGCCCCATGGATTAATATTGGAAGTACACCAATCTGCCCTATTCAGGGACTGTACCACCCCGGTAGAGTGCTATCTGTACAGGGTCATTATGAAATGGATGTCTTTGGCATGACCAAGATGTGCTTGGAATCCGCCCCGATTATGGGATGGAAGGAGTCGAAATTGGCCTTGTTCTTGGAGCAGGTTGGGGATGATCTTGAGGAAAGTCAGGATGATTCTAAGGCTTTTGCCTCTGCTGTTGTATCTTTCTTGGCTGGTTGTGAACAATGACACATGGAAAATGAGATAACAATAAATTGGGGTTCGGCTTTAGTTATTCGGGTGAAGACGAATTTAATCATATCCGTAATAAAATCAACATTATGCAAAAAGGCCATAACGGTGCAATATGGAGCTCATAATTTCTCGCCAATGCTGCAAGTAATTCATTTATATACAGCGCCAAACGCTTTTCAATGCCCGAAGAGGATGGGACCACCGTGGGCTGCCGATGGCTATTTTTTCAAGAACGTCAATGCCGCGATGCACAAGGCATCCACCCCAGTTTTCATCGTTGGCTGAATCACTGGTGCAAACAAAGCCGAGTGATTCCCAGGAACCTCTTGCATCGGGATTTCATTTCTCTGGCCTTTATCCCAGAGATCTGGGTCAACTCCCCCAATGAACCAAAAAGAGCAAGGAACCCCCTGAGAAGTACCCAGCGTGGAGAAATCCTCACTAACATTGGTCCTTGGAGTATCACCATCAAAGTCCTCGAAATGATCTCCGAAAGATGCAGCCAGTTGAGAGGCCACGTCTTTATCGTTGTCGGTTGGCGGAAACCGCCTCGTCGGTGTGAATAACGGTGGTTTCGGCGATCCACTAGCAACACACTCAGCTTCGACGATGCGCCGGATAGCAGAAATTATTTTCCCCCGGGTCTCCAACTTGACAGTTCTAAAGTCGACTCCAATTTCCGCCCGGTCCGCAATGATATTTTCCGTTTGGCCGGCCTGCAGGCTCCCGACCGTCACGACAGCAAGATCACTCGGGTCCACCTCTCTACTCACAATGTCCTGAAGCCTAACGACAACATGCGCAGCAAGAAGCACGGGGTCTACTGTCTGGTGCGGCATTGACCCATGTCCACCGCGGCCGTAGAGAGTGATCTTCAAGCTATCGGCAGCAGCCATGATCGTGCCAGGTCGGGAACCAACACTTCCCGCCCGCATTCGCATGACGTGCTGACCAAAGACATAATCGGGCATGGGAATCTTCGAATAAAGTCCATCATCAACCATAGCCTGGGCGCCTCCACCTCGCTCTTCGTTTGGCTGGAAGAGCACGATCAAAGTCCCACTCCAAGCATCTTGTGCACGGGCCAACACCTCAGCAGCAGCGAGGAGACATGTAATATGCATATCATGGCCACAAGCATGCATCACTGGTTTTTCATTGCCATCAGCATCAGACATAGTCACAGAACTCGCGTAGGGGAGACCGGTGAGTTCTTTGACTGGAAGCGCGTCCATGTCTGCCCGAAGAAGAATTGTCTTTCCAGTGCCATTACTGAGAACGCCTACGAGCCCATAACCCCCAATATTTGTGTGGATCTCATAGGCTCCGAGCTGTGATAAATGGGAGGCAATCCTTTCAGAGGTGGCCTTCTCTTGTAGCGAGAGCTCAGGGTGAGTATGGAAATGCTTGTAAAGAGTTTCGTAAGGGGTCAAATCCACAGCGGCAGCTGCTAGTATGTCAGACAAGCTCTGTTGGGCCATTTTGTGGATAGATGATGTGTTGGGTAACTGCCGTGGTGAGAGGAACTGAGGGGAAGAAGGCGTGCTGAGCCCTGGGGGGAACTGGCCGGAACTGGCCCCCACCTACGGGAACCATGACTCAACATATACAGTCTGTGATAACATATGTTGTACATACTCCTTTCCTTCTGACTAGACACTTGAAGTGAAATAGTAGAAACTGCTAATAATTATGTAGCATATATAGACAGGTAATCAATTCAATAGAACTATGCGTAAATCCTGCATGTATATATTGCATATATCTGAACTTATAAAAGGATATCAATGCCGTCGCTGAAGCAGGGCTAGTAGCTTCCTACATTTAACAACTTATATTGAAAGGCAGAATTCAGCAAGTACTACAAATGATAGCTATGTGCTTGAAATAAGGAACTAGGTTGATGCCCCACCACATCTCTTGGCTTTGGGGAAGTATGAAAAGTCAGGGAAAGACAAAAGTTAGTACTTCTTTTTTTTTCTCATAGATATTCTTCCTATTAAAATGGACTAATAAATCCACTGTCGCAAAAGTGACCTAAATATACGACATGCATTTGATGAACCCAAACGCAGCAAGAATTCAACATTCTAAAGGAGTGTCGCAAAAGCAGCCCACAACAGACCCACTAAGCCAATATGAGGAATTTTTATCAATCCAGCCGCATTGTAGGACGGGGGGAGTACAGAGGGAGATGCTGAACCAGTCTGACTTCCACGGACTGAGCTTAATGTACCACCAGAAGCGTTGTCAGATGTGTTTTTATCGCCTGAGCTTGCGTCTTGAGTGCTCGACATAGTCTTGATCAACCCGGACAACGAAGTTGTGATAAGCGAGCCAGATACTGAAGTTGTCATAATTGATCCAGGTACTGAGCTTGTCACGAGGGAACCTGACGTTGAGATTGTCACAACGGATTCAGAGAAAGAAGTTGTTACCAGTGAACCAGACACCGAGGTTGTCACAATTGAGCCGGAAGCTGACGTCGTAATAATGATGGCTGATGAAGTTCTTTCTATCGGGCTGGATGTTTCTTCTGTTTCAGTGATCGCGCTGCTTTCTTCGATGGACTGAGTGTCGTTTGGCTCAGTATTTGTGGGCTCAATGTTTGTGTCTTCAGTGCTGCTAGAATTGGTGCTGTTCTCTTCGGTCCTGGTGACCTTAGTTCTGGTAGCCTTGGTGCTAGTAGTTTGAGTAGTCGTAATCGTGGCTACTGTCGTTGCTTTAGTACTTGTAGTGGTAGTTACTGTGACCAAGGTGCCCGTCGTCGTGATTTCCATTTCAGTCGTGGTAGAACTTGCTTGTGTTGTGGAAGTGAACATATCAGTAGAAGTGACCATATCGGAGCAGTAGTTCAGCCACTGTGCAAACGTTGACAACATTTTGGATGAATATGCTTCAGAGCCAGATTCGCCGTTATTGGTGATGCACTCCTCGCAGATGCTCAAGTTTTCCATGAACGTGGAATCACTCTCGCAAAGCTCAGATGTCTTTCCAAGCATTTCTGGCTCACGTGCCGCAACATTGCAGTCATTGAAACACACATTAGGGATTTTTGTTATGTCGTCCCTTTTTGTCTTTCTGGCGGCATCGAAGTCCCATAAGGACATGTCACGCTTGCTGTTGGCTGCAACTGGGTCTTCCGTGAACTGGAAGATTGAGTAATTGAGACCGAAGTCCACCGGGTTGAGGTTGTAATAATTATTGGAGACATTGTACTGCCAATCTGGGTGCACGTCCAAAGGTGGAGCCGCAATGCAATCTGAGGGGTTACAGATGTATCCAGGGTCCGGAAGACCTGCTTCAACGTTGCACCCCGAGCGGTCACCTGTATGAGGTGGCTTGCAGAGATACCCCGGTGCGCAGCCCCAGGTATAGTTATATGGCAACGCGGCAGAGGGTGTGTATGTTGGATTGGTGATAAGACTCGAGCATACAGAGGCAGATATCGTGGTAGTACTGCCAGAGATTTGAGTTGATGTGCTTGATGAAGTGACTGCAGTGCTAGAAGTGGTTCTGGTTGTCACTGTAGTGGTTACTGGAACCGTCGTTCCCGGAGTGGTAGTCGAGTCACTAATGGCTGTCGATGTCGTTGAGGTTGTTGCAGGCGTGCTTGATGTGGTTGATGCAGGCACGCTTGAGCTGGTTGGTGTGACGGAGGATTAGCTAGTTCCTGTCACTGATGTCGAGTCATCTGTACATTCACACGATGTGATCGTCTTGGTTGTATAATCCGTGACTGTTTTTATGGGACCATTTTTGAGCAGTGCCATAACGGCACTCGCAGAAGCAGCCACCGGTGCAATGCCAACATCGGCGATGCCATTCAGTGTAGGAGAATTTCGGCAACCACTAACAGTCTTGGTTGTAGCCTCGGTGATAGTAGTTGTAGTAGCGCCTGAAGATATCCTGCCAGTCTGTGTGGAGGCCTCAGTGATAGTTTCAGCGGTGCACGAATTGCCATCACCGAGCCAAACTGCGACTCTAGCTCTTACTGTGGCAAGCAATTCATCTTCTGTTTCCGGTAGTGTAGGAAGTCTGTTGATTAAACTGCTGTGACTTGATATTACCAAAGTGAAGATAGTCACTAACAGCGACGACCAAGCGACCGTGTCCTTCATCTTTACCTGCCCGTAGAAGGAATTCTGGGGATGGGAAATAAAATAAACCTCCTAAACAAAGAAACTCGAAGAAATTAGAAGACATCCAATACATACGCACGGCCCTCTTTCTAAATGAAAGAAAGCTCAAAAGTTCCTGTGGTCTCCAATGAGCATCAACTCAGTGAGCACCTCTGAGCCTAGTTTACGAGAAAAAAGATATCCCAACATTTGAAATATGAATTGAGAGCAATTCAGGGCCACCTAAAGCACATTAGGCCTTTAGTTGATCGTTTTCCGTAGCTGGATCCTAGGTAGCCATGCATCAAGATTCCAACACAGCCATGATAATGACCAGACAGGTTGGGCCATAAGCTGAGTCGCTCACTGCGTCACATTTCCATTCCATTTCTTCCTTGGCTACATCGTATCATCGTATCTAGGGGCGGGGCAATGAACAAAGAAGCTCAAAGGACAAAGCGGCATCGCAACTTCACCCCCCTTGCACTTTGCATTTGGATATCAGTAGATCAAAAAACTCCATAAGTCCTGTCATCTGCAATTCACAGCTCAGTGATGATAACTTTTTCATCAATTGAAAAATGCGATTTTCTTTGGGGGCGGTGCTGACGCTGGTCATAGACTGCGTAGTAGCCGTATGTAGCACATTTCCGACCCAGGTCAATGTTTCTATGTGCAACTGGCAAGGCCTGCGTGGTATGTTGTAGGCATTCAGTTTAAGACAGGTCTTTTTTTACTGACATTGGTAGCAAATATCCTACGCGATACAATCTACCTCGATGGCGGGCAGCTATGGTATCAAAGGTTTGAGGTTGTCCCTTGTCAATGACAATTTTTACTAATAATTTCAGAGGATTTGACGATGGCTGTGTCGAGCTCAACCCAAATAACAGTACGCATGAAATAGAAATTCAAATGTTGACATGGACTAACTAGCAGCAGATGTGGAAGCCACGATCCATTACTTGAACCTGACAACCTCTTTCAACACTAAATCGGATTTTATGAATGTTCTTGGCAATATGTCTGTTGCTGGTGGTGTCGCTAGTATAGCTCCGAACTACGTTGACGGTACGATGTTTGCCAATGGCTATGAGTTCTATCTCTATGGGTTGGTGTCCCTCATTCCCCTCTCGTCTAATAAATCACTGACTCTAAGGGTCTGTATTGTAGAGGCATGCTTCCTAATACAGGAAGTTCTGATCCTCCTCCCGGTAATCAAGTCCTGTCATACGCCGCACACCAGTATGGGACCTATAGAAGCTCGTGGGCGCCAGGCTGGAACCAAGAATATCTCTCTACCAACGTCACACGGTATATCACCAATGGCGCTGCCGCGTCGGCTCCCAGCGAGAATCTAGGCTTTTACTTCAGCGGGATGCGTGCACTGGACTGGGGCGACTTCACGTTAAATCAACTTCAATCGAACCAAACGGCCGACACGCTAATCACCCTGGACATGTCGGTGATGCGCGATGCGAAGTGGACAAATGCCACATTACCGAGCTATGTTCCTGCTCGGTCGAATGCAGAACTAGTCTGGGTACCTGCATCCGAGTCCGGAGTTTTAGTGGCCATTGGCGGAGTGATTGAACCCATTCAGCTGTTTCGGAATGCCAAAGCAAACGCATCACGAACGGCGGAGAGCAAAAGGATTAGCCCGACGTTTATGGAGACGGTCTCCGTCTTCGATGTCGAAAGTAAAACCTGGTATCTGCAAAAGACGAAGGGCGATATACCACCACAGTTGACGGAGTTCTGCTCTGTGCTTGCAAGTGCGGCCGATGGCTCATCTCATAATATCTATATATACGGAGGATATGACGGTCTCAACTATAACGGCAATCCGTCAGATGAGGTGTATATATTGTCTCTCCCTTCCTTCGAGTGGTTCAAAGCATACACCGGCACAAACACACACAGTCGCAGTGGTCACCAATGCATCAAAGTATATCCTGATCAAATGCTAGTGGTCGGAGGACAGCATGTCGATTCGACTCGTTGCCTGGAGGGTGGTGTCATTGTCAACTTTAATCTCAACACCCTAAGATTTGAGGATGAATATGATCCCAAAAGTTGGAGTAAGTATAAAGTGCCAGATCTCGTGACGAAACAGATAGGCGGCAAGTGAGTTTAGACCCAACAGTGCCGAAAGCAAACTATCGTTGCTAACAGCTATTAGCTCTGATGGAGGCGCAACCATCACCGCTCCATCATCATGGACCAACAGCTCTCTAGCGGGGATTTTTGGTAAGAAGTACGGCAAGACTGTTAAAACATACTGGCCATATAATAGCACTGGCAACAGTACCAGCGCCAGCAATTCCGTGGAAGATTATAACGGGCGCAGTGGATTCCCCAGTTGGGCTTGTGGAGTAATTGGCGCAGTCTTGGGCCTGCTCATTATTGCGGTCCTTGCAGGGCTCTTTTTTCTTCGCCGACGTCACCGTCAACGCAAGGTTGCGGAAGCTGAATCGGAAGCCACAGAGGCTAGAAGCAATAACGGTCGCTCAGAATGGATGTATGCAAATGACCCAGCCTCTCCTGGACCCGGGCCATTATCTCAATCGACTGGTATGGAAACCACCGAGACAGGGCAGACGATGCATACCGCTCCAACTCAGCGGTCAACGACACAGCCATCGGTGACGCAGGCTTCAACTGTGCCAGACTCCCTCGTCTCGCCGGCGACCCCTGGCACAGTGGAATCCGGAGGAGATGCGCTATATGAGATGCATGGTGTGTTGGTGACTTTCTTTATTTAATCCTCAATAGGAAATAAACGCGGTGTACAAATCCTAACATCTATCCAGATTCATCACCCGTCGAACTCCCAACACCATTCAACAACACCGACTTCACCCACAGCATGCCTCCGAAATCCGAGCCCAAACCGGAGCCCAAACCAGATCCAAGGCGAGGCTCCCAGTCACCTGTATCACCGCAAACTCATAGTGAGACAGACTCGGAGTACTCCTATCCAACAGGCCACAACCGGCGCCCCTCTTCACTGTCAATAGCGTCGCCATTGTTGATTGATAACGTGATGAGCGGTCGGTCGTCGCATTTTTATGAATCTTTTGATAGTTTGGATACCCGGCGAGCAGGCCATCAATCTGAAGTTTCTCAGATGACAGATCATTCAGAAGAGAAGTGGAAAGGAGGTAGCACGACTATTCGTGAGGATGAATAAGGTATAGTGCTTAAATGTGGTAATAGGAACTTTGTATGTAGATCAGGGAAATTCGTTAGCTGGTTCGTGGTCAACGTGTCATGAATTCATAATAACGAAAGTGATTCGCAGGCTAAAGTACAATAATCCAGAATATGGAAGCCCTGGTCACGCCAATATACTCCGTCGGACCGCGTGCTCGGCATATTGACCCGACATGTTTGGATCTCGACCATAAACGCCATTTGCAGCCAAAGTGGCCAAGGACACAGGAATCTCAAAATGCTTATTGATAGCCGAGCTCAGTGGAGAATCCGGTTCCCACGGTGAGTTGAGTATATTGACTGTTGCTCGCTCGGCAACGAATTGTGGTTCGCGATCTAGAAGAATATGTAAGCTTGGAACTACCAAGACCTTCATAGGCTAACAATACCTTTCATCTGAGGCTGAGAGACTAGAACAGGTTGACCATCCTCATCCCCTAAAGGAGATTTATCCCCTTTGTCTCGCATATCCCATCTTCGCTTCGACCGTGGTGGTATAGATTCTTTCACGGGCTTCTCGGCGCCCGAATACTTCCCCCTGGAGGCAATACCAGCACCCCAACGCAATCGGATTTCATACCCTTCACAAGGGAGACCTCTGGAGCTGCATTTCTGGCATCCTGGACGCAGTTCATCGCACTGGATCCTCCTTTTCTTGCAGGTCCAGCACCCCTTGAACGAGCGATGACGGTGGGAGTCCTTTTGCTTCTCGGTCGGAGGCATGTTAAGGGAGCTTTCGCGAAGGCAAACAGAAGTAAGGTCAAAGACCTCTAGGAAATACTAGAACTCACTCATATATACTCGAGATTTGTGTACTATGTGCATCCTTGGACTGTGATTGGCCGAACAAAGATCTCAGTGAGCGAAATAATACATTCTAACCTATAGGGAGTGCTTCCCCAGTTCTTGACAAAGACCTCATTAATTACCTCAAATTCTTGCAAAAGATATCTCACATGCGATATAGTGAGAGATGGTCCAGTTTAAACGTTGAATTTTCAGTTGAAAGTGTTGACGCTTTAGGCAGGTCCATGCAGGAAAAAATAACTTTGTCTTCTCCACTGACAATTCTAACATTCTACTCTGTACTCCATACGGAGTGAAGTCATTGAATCAGGGACAACAGTGAGGTCTTATGTGGTTCAAAACTGCCGGAAAGGCTTCCAAGCTTAACCCCCCTGATATCTATGTGTCATATCCATATCATCGACATTGCATATAACACGCATCTACCTTCCATACAGGGAATTTTTAATCTTGATGAAATGTGGGGTACTAAACACTAGAGCCCCAGACTACTATGAGTAAAATATCTCCAGGTTTTGAATCTATGTGGGCCACGCTCGGTGAATGTCCAGTGGGCGTGCCCTCTCTATGGCCGTCGAGGCCGACGCTAACTATGGGGTTCGCCAGAAAGAAAAGAACAGAAACCCCGGTTTTTGTGAACCAGACTACGGGATATCCAATTCCTACAACTGCCCCAGCGAGCCAATTCTTGGGTCCAGTATATTGTCTTCAGAAGGATACATCCCAGAGACAAGTGCTTTCTTTTCGTGACAGTGTCGACTACGTTTTTAGGAAATGATAATCGAGTGAACAATCCAAAGTATCCTTGGTCCTCGTCCTCATTTGTAACCCTCTCATCCCTCACGATGGACGTGGAAACCGAACGAAACCTCAAAACAACCGATCAAAGCACGCAAGATGCCAACGACCTAGCCGAATTCGGCCACAAGCAAATACTCGCTCGCAAGTTCAATATCTGGAGCATGCTAGCATTAGCATTCTGTGTGCTAGGAACATGGTCGACCTTTGCACAAGATCTTGCCGACGGTCTGATCAACGGCGGCCCCGTCTCCATCCTGTGGGGACTGACTCTTGTTACATTCTGCAACACTTGTGTCGCGCTTTCGCTGGGCGAGATATGTAGCAGCATGCCTACTGCCCTCGGACAGGCATATTGGGTCTACCGTCTCTGGGGCTCAAGCTTCGGGCGATTCCTCTCGTATATGTGTGCTTGGATTAACGTTTTTGGGTGGTGGACACTGGCCGCCTCACAGATGGCGTTTATGACCAATTTCCTTCTCGGTATGAAGGTCATGTTCAGTCCAACCTGGACTGGTGCATCCAAGGGGTGGCTTGAGTTTGTGGTTTATATTGCGTGTGTTTTTGCCCTCACGCTGATAAATGTGGTGGGTTGTCGGAAGGATAAATTCCTGCCTTGGCTGAACAACTTTGTCGGAGTCTGGTTCTGCGGTCTATTCTTTGTCTTTTGCCTTGCCCTGCTTGTTTCAGTGGGAATGAAAGAAGATCTCACCTATCAGCCTGCTTCTTTTGCGTTTGGGAAATGGATCAATCAAACCGGCTGGCCTGATGGCGTTGTCTGGTTTATTGGTCTAGTACAGGCTGCATATGGACTGACTGCATTTGACGCCGTAATTCATTTGGTAGAAGAGATCCCAGCACCTCGCAAGAACGCCCCGAAAGTGATTTACCTTTCCGTGGTCTCTGGAGCGACAAGCGGATTTATCTTGATGCTGGTCTGCCTCTTCTGTATTCAAAACGTGAACACAGTGGTAGCCTCGCCTAGTGGCCTACCGTTCATGGAGCTCATCCAAGAAACAGTGGGCCGGACCGGTGGTGCAGTGCTAATTGCCTTGTTTATCATGAACGGGCTCGGCCAGGGAATCAGTATCGTGACTACAGCATCCCGCCTCACTTGGGGCTTTGCCCGCGATGGGGGGCTCCCATTTAGCACCTACCTATCGGAAGTGAGTCCTTATTGGAGAGCCCCCGTCAGGGCACTCTGGTTCCAGGGCGCTATTATAGCACTAGTTGGTGTATTGTTTCTGTTCGCAGAGACGGTGCTTAATGCTATCCTCAGCGTCAGCACCATCGCCTTGACCATCTCGTATGGGCTCCCCATTATGACTCTCCTGATGATGGGCCGTGGGAAGCTCCCACCTGGTGGCCAGTTCAATCTTGGGAGACTAGGTGCCCCAATAAACTGGGTCTCCCTTGTGTATTGCTGTGTGACGAGCGTCTTCTTTTTCTTCCCTAGCGCGCCCAACCCCTCGGGTAGTGATATGAATTACGCTATTGGTGTGTTCGGCGCCATGCTTGTTATCGCTGTGTCGTTCTGGTTTGTCCAGGGCAGTCGAACCTATCTGAATACCGAGGAGTCGATTCCTCATGTTATTCAAGCCCATGTGATTCCAAATGATGTGCAGCATGAGCCAAAAAAGGAACACCGATGAATGGTTTCTTTGGATAATGTTGATCACAGTTTCCATCCAGCGTTGACAGTGTCCTTGAATATGTGATTTGCCTTGTTGGCTCGGATTTGCCGAGCAAGTTGAGGGTCCTCGGAGACCCAATGGAATGTGGATAGACATAAATGTTACGCTGATATAGACTAGGTTACCTAGTCGAGACAAATTTGTTATCAATTTAGTACTAGTCGAGCCCCGTAGAGCGAGTGGCAGGTCTGCTCCAGCTAAGGAAGACGTCTAGACTACATTCTGAACGTAAGAGTGATAGAGAGCATGCTAAAAGTTAAGAGAAGGTGTTTAGCTGCATAATAGAATTGTACGGGGAAGAAACCACCAATGAACCCGCTGACATTTGAATCTTTACTAGTTTTGATAATTTGCAGAATTCACCCTGCAACCCTGCAAACTCAGAAATGACGAAACAGTTTGATAGTTCGACTTTCACTGAATGAATCTACGATTTCTACTAGTAGCTAGTAGGAGATCAGCTTGGTGGGATACCCCCTGTCCTAACCAAGAGCTTGACCTGTCCAAATATCTTCGTTGTCGACTCTTGAATATTTCCAGTGCCCCCAGTATCTACTAGAAATTCCTAGAATTTTAAAATTGCTAACCACCTGACAACCTGACAGCTAAAAAGAATTCGCGAGTTTTGAAGATTGAGTCTCAAATTCGACGAATGATTATCATAAGTTACCAGTAGAAGCTCTTCGCATATTATTACTCACCTGACAACCTGACGAGCTCGAAAAAATCCGAGACTTTTCAGGTTGTCATAGTGAAGTTGGCTGATTGCTACTAGTAATAACCAATATTAATTGTCCATATGACGAGTGAAAAGAGTTTACATATATTCGCCATAAAAAACTCTTGTATATTTCTTTCCTAGTTTGATGCTATTGTTATTCCTGTCTGGTCACTAGGTTAATTAGCCATCCTGGCGAGTTGAAAGAACTCGAGGAATTCGAGAAACCAATGCCAATTATTCTGTACGTACTTACTTTATAACTATTAGTTATTACTATCTCTAACTGGTAGAAGAAACCTGGCCTGTCCTGACAACACGAGGAGCTAAGTGCAATATATCTAAACAATGACAAATGTTATAAAAACTTGAAGTAGGCACAGAGATAACACTCCATTTCATCGCTCAAATACTAAACAGCATAACAGGTAGTGTGCCGTAGGAAGATACCAACTATAGGGATACATACTATGTTTGGCATCATATCGCAAGCAGACTGAAATGAAACGCAATGTCAATCGCAATTGGAATATGTACTTAGTACATAGCAATGATTCAAACTACAGGAATATAGTGCATTGTTTCCGCCTATGCATATATCTAACATATTAGGCCCTATGTGTACATAGTATCCAACCAGTTCTGCTTTCTCTTTCTTATTTCACAAATGTCTCTTTATTTTTATGATTCCTAACACTCTGTGTTTCATAGGTAAATTCAAACAAAGCCTCAGATAAAGAGAACGCTAGAGGCGTGTGGGTGACCACCTACGAGTTTATTATGAAATCAAGGGGATACCATGACGCCCATTAAAGCCAGTGAGGTCCAAACTACCCCTGCTTTCAACAATGTGGGTAAACCTATCGCTCCTATCGCGCCCACCTTTACTTTTAGAAATCCATATCTGCGGTATGTTGGTGCATCTGCCAATTTGATCTCCAGTCAGAAGCGGAAGGCAGCCGGACCTGTTATGTACTCTCCGACACCCAAGCGAGTGAAGATGAAGGCTTCGATCTCGAACGACCCCGAGGCCACACGCCCGATCGCCGATCCTGGAAACACCAGATATCATTCATTTAATGACAGCGAGTGGCACAACTCTGTCCAGGGGGAACCTGAAAGACCTCGTTCGGGAAACAGCAAGGCTCTTCTTGCGGTTTACGAGGGCATTTTGGAAACCCTGGCGCGAGTTGATCTTGACGTCCAGAAATTGGAAGAGATCATTCTGGATCATGGACACAATGCAGAATCTTTGGATATAGATGATAATGCAAAAGTGGAGAATCCTGGATCGCAGAAGTCATTTGGGGTGAGATACTGAATAAATAGTGTCTTGTCGTGGGCCTTAATCTCTTCCATTCTCACATTTGATATGCAGTAAGAGTCGGTCACTTCAAAAACAGATCAATTTTATCCAACCGGCACTAGAGGGACTTTTCAAACCGGCGATACCCAATATCCCTCCGACAACAAGAAATCTGAGCTGCTCCTAAGGATGTTACTCTAGAATTTATTTTCCAATACTAGTCAAAACGCAATTTGTTAGGAAATCATGATCTGAATTTCTTGATGTAAGATAGGAAAATGAGGATATTGCTATATTTAGTGACTTGCAACCTATGTCAAGTGTTGAATTCGACATGTACAACACATTCTTCCATCTGCGACACGCCCTTCAAACGAGTGGTGCTTTCTTTCAAAGCTTAGACTTCATGTTCACATGAATAGCCTTAATATTCGAGTAAGCAGCAAGACCAGCCTCTCCAAGCTCACGGCCAATACCTGATTGCTTTACACCACCGAATGGAATGCGCCAATCGCTATCATTGCTAGAGTTGATCCAGACCATACCAGCCTCAATCTTCTTAGCCACACGATGGGCGCGAGTCAAGTCCGTCGTGAACAGCGCACTTCCAAGACCGTAAGTTGAGTCGTTCGCCATCTCAATAGCATCCTTCTCCTCGCTAAATCGGGCAATCACGACGAAGGGACCAAATACCTCCTCTTGGTAGATACGCATCTTGGGGGTAACATCGGTGAAAATAGTAGGCTCAACAAAGAAACCCTTACCATCACCAACACCAGTGAAAGGCTTACCACCAGCAATTAGAGTGGCCTTCTCAGACTTGCCAACCTCAATATATGACATGATGCGGTCATACTGGGCCTGTGTCACCTGCGGGCCCTGGAAAGTCGACTCCTCAAACGGATCACCGACCTTAGAGACATTATTGACCTGAGATTTGAATGCCTCCAAGAAGCGGTCATAAATCTCATCCTGTACCAGGATGCGAGACGTGGCTGTGCAGATCTGGCCCTGGTTGTACATGATACCGATATGGGCCCATTCAACGGCTTGCTCGAGATCCGCATCGTTGAATACAATGAGCGGGCTCTTGCCGCCCGTCTCTAAGGTGATATTCTTCAAGTTCACACTAGCCATCTTCATAATTTGCTTAGCTGTCGCCGTGCTACCTGTGAACGCGATCTTATCCACATCCATGTGCGAGGCCAGGGCGGCCCCAGCTATGGCGCCGTGCCCATTTACGATGTTTACGACACCAGGAGGAAAGCCCGCTTCCACGATCAGGTTGGCAAGGAAGAGGATTGAGAGAGGGGTTTGCTCTGCTGGCTTGAGAACGACCGTGTTTCCACAGGCGAGAGCTGGGCCGAGCTTCCAGGCGGCCATGGCGAGGGGGAAGTTCCATCTTTAGTGTCACATTTAGTAGTTGGCTTCGACAAATTTTGATGACAGGTTTGCGGAACTTACGGAATAATTTGGCCACAGACACCAACCGGCTCCCGCACGGTGTAGGCGAACTTATCCGGTGTTGTATCGATGACCTGGCCAAAGACCTTGTCGGCGTATCCACCATAGTAACGGATTGTCTCGGCGGTCTCGGTCAGGTCGTCGTTAAAGGAAACGGAATATGGCTTTCCATTGTCGATTGTTTCGATGGTGGCGAGCGTGGCGCGGTTGTCCTCGATGAGCTGGGCCAGGCGGTTCATCAGCTTGCCACGGTCAAGTCCCGGTAGATCACGCCAACAGGGGTTATTTAGAGCTGTGCGAGCTGCCTTGACAGCCTTGTCGACATCTTGGGCGGAAGCTGCATGAATTGATGTGATCTCCTTTGCGGTGCTGTTTGATTACCGGTTAATTATTCCATTTAGACATAGAAGCTTTCTGTTCAATCCCTCACATACGTTGGATTTATGCTGGCAATCTTTTCGCCAGTCGAACACTTGACCCATTGGTTGTTGATGAACAAGCCGGTGGGCTGAGTCCAAGTGTGGCCGTTAGGGGCTGTGAGTTGAACAAACAAGTCGGCCATGATTTTATGTGATTCGTATTGTGAGTGACTTCTAGTAGGAGAAAACAGCGAAGTCAGATGAGATGAATTTGTGACTAGCTCTTAAACCTAAGCTCAGCTATGGAAATTGCGATAAGTGCTTCGGCTGGACATGCCATTCCAGGCACCTTATCGGATGCATCATGGCTCAGGGATGGAGTCCACACAAGAGAGATCCTCCGGATCTTTGAAGTTAAAATGGGGCTGGTTGATTTGATGTGGATAGGCGTGGATAATTGACTGAGGACCGGCCCAAATCACCAGGCGTTGATAGGCCGAGCTAACCCACAACAGGCAAGTCCATGCACGGGCTGTCGCAGACTTGAGTTTCATCGTTGATGAATTGCTCTTTCGTTTACATATATATAATTTGAATCTTGATTGTTTTACTGTGCAGTAAAGTGAAAATTCTGTGATAAAACCGCCTTGGATAAACCCCTGAGCCCCCAAAGGTCCCCCTGGGGCCAGAAGGCCAAGCTTACATAACATCCATGCGAACCGTGGATGGAACCTTCCGAGGTTCCAAGGTCGGAAAATAAGCTTGATTTAACGCCTTGGCATTCCCCCCTGCTGCATCTCCCCTAATTCGTCCATCAGATCAGATATTCAGATATTGTCAGATTAGGGCAGGTCTTGCCTAATGCCGACGCACGGTCTTTTCTACAAGACTTTCCTTATTAGGCTGACTAGGTAGTAGATTAGTGTGGCCAACACATCTTTTTGAGCCGTTGCAATGCCATTGGCCGGAAGACTTTGATGGCAAATGCTTTACGCAAAAGATATTATGGCATAGAATTGAAGTCTCAGACAAATTAGGTGCAAAAACACCTTCTCTAAACGTCATCCCAAATCGAGCAACCAGGGGAGAACCCACTCTGAGGACCATTCGCTAAGTTCGAGTTCCCTATTCTGTAGAGATCTTGACTACCCGACTGGGAAGGTACATGCGGGGGAATTCGATCAGATATTGAAGGTCTATTGGGTATATAATGTCGTTCGCAGCTTTGGAATGGAGCTTCTAGTTCGCTACAACTCTACAACTCCTTCTTTTCTCTTGATACCCCTTGCACATCTTCATCATGGCATCTGCCCCTGATACTGAGTCAATCCCTGGCTATACAATCTTCCGTGAGGGGGATTATGAGAGTGTTGCTGCCACTGCCATGCTGCCACAAGCCACCCCGCACCCGTTAGGTACGATATGCCGCTACATTAACTCAGAGAGTACTGCTAACTTCGCACCCTAGATCAACTTTCTATTAAGGAAATCCCCGAGGCAGCAAAGATCATCCGAGATTATGCCAACCCCAAGTCTATCAAGTTCAACTGCCTCACACTCCGTGAGCCCCGCAAAGCGGAATACCGCGCATTCCGTGCTGGTGCCGTCCCAGCTCCTGCCCGTCGTGCTTTTGCCATTGTCATCGTGCGCGAAACAAATAAAATTGCAGAGGTAGTGGCCAACCTCGCCACCGGCAGAGTTGAGGATTGGAAGGACGTTCACGACGTTATGCCTACCCTCACCCTGGAGGATCTCGACGTGATGGAGCGTGCTGCCCGCAAGGACGCCCGCGTCATCCGTGCCTGCAAGGACATCGGTATCACCGATATGAGTAAGGTGTTCTTTGACGCATGGGCTATCGGAATCGATGAGCGCTGGGGATATGAGCACCGCCTCCAGCAGGGTCTAGCTTATTATCGCAACTCTGAGTTCGATAACCAATACGCCCATCCTCTGGATTTCAGTGTTGTTGCCGATACCGAAACAGAAGAGGTCCTCAGCGTTGATATTCGCTACGTGAACGGCGAGCGGACTGCTGTTCCTCTCAAGGAACACAACTATCTGCCAGAATTCATCGGTGACAAGTACAGACATGATCGCTTGAAGCCTATTGACATCACTCAGCCTGAAGGTGTCTCTTTTAAGGTCCGCGGCAATGAGCTAACCTGGGCCAACTTTAAGATGCATATTGGCTTCAACTACCGTGAAGGGATTGTCATTTCCGACGTGAGAACGCACGACATGTATGAGGACCGCGAGCGCACTCTCTTCAACCGTATCTCTGTCGTTGAGATGGTTGTTCCCTACGGCTGCCCCGAGAAGCCCCACCAGAAGAAGCACGCTTTTGATGTCGGCGAATACGGCACCGGTCTGATGACAAACTCCCTAAAGCTAGGGTGTGACTGCAAGGGTGCCATTCACTACATGGATGGTGTTATGTCTACATCTAAGGGTGAGGCCGCCGTAGTTAAAAACGCCATCTGCATTCACGAGGAAGACAATGGTCTCCTTTACAAGCACACCGACTTCCGGGACGGCACGGTGATCTCTGCCCGTGACCGTAAGCTCATCGTCTCCCAAATTATCACTGCCGCCAACTACGAGTACGGCTTCTACCACACCTTCACATTGGATGGGACCTACAAGCTGGAGGTGAAGCTGACCGGTATGCTGAACACATACTGTATGCACCCAACCGAAACCGCCGCTCCCTTCGGTACAGAAGTCGCACCCTCCATTACCGCACACAATCACCAGCACCTATTCTCCCTCCGCATCGATCCTGAAATTGACGGCCAAAACAACTCCGTCGTCCAAAACGACGCTGTCTCCTCCGAAGCGGCCGTCGGCTCCCCAGAGAACCCATACGGAAACGGATTCTACAGCAAGAAGACCCCCCTCCGCACAGCACTCGAGGGCGCAGCCGACTACTGCTACGAGACGAACCGATCATGGGACATTATCAACCCAAACCGCATGAACACCATCGCGAAAAAGCCCGTCGCCTACAAGATCCTCAACAACAACTGCCCCCCTATGCTAGCTAAGCCAGGCAGCACCGTCTGGAAGCGCGCCGCTTTCGCCCGCAAGCCGCTCTGGGTTACTCCTTACAAGGACTATGAGCTCTTTCCAGCTGGTGACTACGTCTGCCAGTCTGACGGCTCTGAGGGACACCCTCACAATTCGACCATCGCTGACTGGGCGCAGCGGGATGGAAACATCGAGAACACCGATATCGTCTGCTACATGCAATTCGGGTTGACGCACTTCCCGCGTACTGAGGATTTCCCCGTCATGCCTGCCGAGCCGGTTAGCATTATGCTGCGTGCGTCGAACTTCTTTGAGAAGAACCCTGGTCTCTGGGTGCCGCCTTCCGCGATTTGTGTCGATACCCAGTCGAAGAATGCGTTTCCTTCTGCTTGTTGTGCCCCCAGCAAATCACGGATGTGAGGGGTGATAGAGCGATGGCATTGGTTTATAGTATGGTGTTTGGAAATGGGTGATACTTGAGGTTGTTTTGTTGTACATGGTAAATAGTGTATATTGCCACTCCTGTTGTATCAGATTGATTCAGGTCAAATTCTTCTCTTGTGTCCGAGATCCATTGTATCCCACTTTGCAGGTAAGAAGAAGGTCAGGAATCTCTCAAAGGCTTGGTTGCTTGGTTATTCAGCATCCAACATGGTCCCAGCAACTGGTGAATTCATGGACCCAATATATTTGGAGACAGACTAGCTGCAGAACTGGATTATTTTAAAATTTGTATGCGCAACTTCAATGTTGGAGATAGATGTTACATATCGTTTTCTTTGCTCCAAACTGTATATCATATGGAGCTTGTATGGAGAACGAGGCGAAGGGGGAGAATTATGTGGATGAGGGTTTTTGTAATCAAATCAATTTTTGATCAATCTAAGGACATTCCGGAAGTACTCTTAGGATAATACATGTAAGAGATAATCTAAAACAAAACCTATACAGCGAACATGGCGTCTAATCTTCACTTCATCTATGCATATGTATAAGTACTCATAAATTCTATCAAACAAGAAGCCTCCATAGCTAGACCTGTGGATCAAGCTCAAATAATATTCTTCAACTCCTGCCCAGCAAGGTGCCGTCTCAGGTTATACGCAATAAGCGCCTCAGCCCCACGTGGGCGTCCACCAGCAGCATGAGGCGAGATAATAAGATTAGGTGCAGCATAAAGCTTCGACTCCTTCGGCAGGGGCTCAGCGGAGAAAACATCCAACGCGGCGCCACCAATGCTACCCTTCTCAAGTGCCGCAAGCAGCGCATCCTCATCAACAGAAGTGCCCCGGCCAACATTAACAACCCAAGCGTGATTCGGCAGCAACGCCAAGCGCTCAGCACTAAGCGCGCCATTTGTACTCGCCGATCCAGGCAGAATCATAACAAGGGCATCAGTCTTGGGGAGAATTTCTTGCAAGCGATCCTCCGCAACAACCTCAAACCCATTCCGCACGCCCGTACTCCGCGCAACACCGGTAACATTAGCTCCGAGCGCAGTCAGCACGGGCGCAAGGCACTTAGCAATATTTCCAAATCCCCAGATAGTGATATTAGCACCCTTGAGGGTACGGAAAGTGCAAGGGGCACGATCAGGCTGGGCGCCGCCAAGATGGCCGGGCCACTCGCCGCGGGACTGGTAATCACGCATTTCATAGAAGCGGCGCGCTGCATTGAGAAGCATGCCGAGGGTGTGTTCAGCGACTGTTTCGTCGTGCAGGCCAGAACCGGTTGTGATAGCGACGCGGGAGGCATCAAAGCCCGCAGCGAGGACATCGTTTGGACCGGCTGCCAGCGACTGGATCCAGCGGAGATTCCTCATGCGAGAGGCTGCATCACGGAGGTTCTCGGCTTTGTTGCTCCATGTTACGAGGAACTCGGCGTCGATTAAAGAGTCGGGAATTGGGAGTGTGACGTCGTAAGGATGCAATTCGACGGAGAAGCCCTCTAGGGACTTTGTGTCGATGTGGAGGGAGGTTGGGTAGAGAAGTTTCATTTTAGGGGGCTGGAGGTGGTTTTCTAGGGTCTTGAGACGTTGGTTAGGGGACATCAAGAGGGAATTGGGAAGCCTCTTATGCTGAGGGGTCCCAGAGATGGTCTGTTGTCGGTTATTGGACGAAAAGAGAAATTTCAATACCCGACGTGGGGGTGAGTTTTGTCGAAACCTAGTGGAGCATACTGTCGATACAGGGGTATTTTACCCGTCCAAGTGCACCTTTCTCGGTAGTCAATGGAAATCTGGTGATAACGCGGGGGGTTTCAGCCGAAACCGGGGTAACTCTTGGGATGCGCAGATGTTGGTGTCATGTGACTTTGAAGTACCAGGTAGACTCTCGACCAGGAGGGAAATAGATGAGATTGAAAATTAGTTAACTGTATTCTGTCTAACTCTGAAATTGAAATATAAAGTCATTATAGAAGGATAGGTATAAAATGCGTAAAGTGTAGATGTAGTCTATCAAGTGAAGGCATCCATTGTATGTCTCTGATTAGCACGTGATATCGCATAGTACAATGCGAGTTTCTGTATCGATTGGAAGATTTAATCATATTATAGGGACTAACTTTCATATGTTCGTCCACTCCTTATGAATTGCCATATCGTTTGTTAACCGCGGGTGTATAAATCTATGTATTCCCTACACTCGACCTATGCGATATATACTATTCTTCGGATACTATACGTAACCAGACATAGCGGCTCATACATGATAAGTAAAAGAATTAACACAACGGGTATCAGTCAATTCGGCCATAGCCTACAAAAAAGTAAACAAGCTATGAAGAGAAAAATATACATCGAACAAGGATATATACGGGGGAATCATAATCCCCCAACACTAATTTTCCACCTACGAAGCACCATCTTTCTCAAGAGGAATCTCAGGACCACTCTCGACAGGGCCGGTGCCCGCCAAAAAGAAGTCAAGTTCACTAGGCCCGCCCTGCGAGTTCTCATTCTCAGCAAGCTGTTCCAGCAAGCTCAGAAAAGGGTCCTTTTCAGATGTGCCCTCGCTACCGGCTGTGGTGTGGGTGCCGCTAGTTTGGGACTGGGCACCTGGAGTCAGGGCCGACTGTGCCATTCCATTTACATTTGTGTGAGCGGTGTCAAAGGGGAAGGTTGCGTATTGCGGGTTTGGCGGCGGTGTTGGTGCTATGTTCAGGCCGCCATCGGCAAGGAAGGCAGGTGGGGAAAGACCGAAGGCCGAGGGGGAGAAGCCCGGGATGGAGAGGTGGGTGTTTTCTGATGTTCCGGCACCAGATAGGTCTGTTCCGGCTGGGAGGGAGAAGATCGAGGGTAAGGATGGTGATTGTTGGTGTTGATTATTTGGAACCGCGTGGAATTGTAGGGTGGGCGAGAGTGAGGCCGGGTGAGAGGTCTTCTGGGACCGAGAATGGGAATGGGAGTGGAGACGGTCTGTGTCTGAGCTATGGGTGGACGTCAATGGTGCGGAGGGCCCAGGTCGTGTAGTTGAGAAGTAAGACGAGAGGTGCTGATACGAGGGTGCTGCAAGTGGTCGTTGATAGTAGTGATCTTGGCGATCGATGAAGTTTGCATTACTTCCTCGAGAGTTAGTGAACATGTAATACGTATAGAAAAGCGAAACCAGTAGACGACTTACTTTGGAGCCAGATCATCCGGCGCATCTATGAGCCGAACATGTGATCCGTCTAATGTCAGACCGGGATATCGGTCGAGGAAGTCTTCGAGGTGGAAGACTGGCGAGAAACGCATTGGGCTACTGGCAAGATTGCGCACTAATTCGGAGTGACACGTATAGATAGTCTGGAGCAGCTCACGCTGGTGCTGCACGCCAGACCAAATATTGCGCAACCAAGCAAGCTGGTGCATCTCTCGAGTCAAGAATTCAGCGCTAGAAGAGAAAACCTCTCCTTCGCGACCATTGTAATGCACACCGTGAACATGCACAGTTCCCGCTGTGCACACACAGTAGCCGACAAAAGCAGGCCACTCAATCAGCGGAGAATTACGACCGAGTTCAACTAGCTCTGCAATGGCATTGGAGTGCGAAAAGCACAAGTTTGTGGCCTCAATTTGCCAGGACTGATGCTGCCCCGTACCTCGGAGCTCTACCAGGTCAATGGGTAGAAAGGGGCGGTAAATCAGACAATGCACCAGATGGTAGATCAACTTGCTTAACAAAAGTGTTGTACTCTCGGGGTGGCCGAACAATGCATCGATAGATGCAAAGACGTCCTGCGTACCGGCCGCCCAGATATCTAATTCTTGTCTAATCTTAGATAGATTCGAAAGCGCATGCCATGGGAAGTGCGAGTCGCCTTTGACTCCACCAGCCGCCAGGTACTTGTTAGTGACACCAAGAATACGCGTGATATCAATCAGCAAGGAGGCAGCACTTGGTGATTTGCGCCTGGAGTCTGCGGGATATTGAATGTTCGGGCCGACGTGGAAGAGCTCTCCCTCCATGTTCAGACCAGCTGCATGTGGCGACCAAGACGGTAGGCGCAGAACAACTGAATGATCAGTAATCAGACACGGACGTCGGGATCCACAGTTGATGAATCTGTCCATCAAGTAGCCAGACCAGAATAGGCGACGCCTCGTTTCTCGCTCGGCAGGCGCGACATTGAGCTTCGAAGGAGCCTCGCGGTACAAATCCAGAGCGACGATCATAGCCACGCAATTTGCTGATCATCGTTAGTGGAATTCATGCAATCACGTAGGATTGAGACTAAGCGTACAAAATGTCATGTAAGCTTTCTTCCCCAACCCGTAGGCATAGAAAGCTTGCGAAAGTAATAATAGAGTCTGTAGTCCTTCTACTGTAGGATTGTCGATTTCGATCATGCGTCTTGCCTGTAACGCCGCATCGAGCCCTACACGCAATGACTGTTCCTCCTGACCAGGCGAGGTTGTGTATCTGAGATTCGTCAGTCAAACATGCAAAGCATGTGACAGGACTTGGAAGCGTGGCGGTTTTACCTGACTGTTATTGCTGAGATCGCCATAGCCAAAAAAGAAGGTAATTGGTTTAGCTGATATCGCTGTCGTGTTGTCGCCTCATCTAGTATATAGAATGGCTTGCCGTGCACTCGCTCGAAGTAAATATCAAGGATTGCATCTGATAAGGGTCCATTGTTTGCCGGAGAGGGCTGTTGCAAAAGATTTGAGTGGCCGGTCGGCCTAGGGAAGGGATCCACATGTTGCGGGAGAGAAGTTGATAAAGCAGATCGATCACTGGAAGAGTAGAGAGTAAATGAAGTGTCGATAGTGTTCCGACGGGTGGGAAAGCTCGGGGGATCGTCCGGGGTATCGGGTGAAGTGGGCGAGATAGGGTTCTTTTCGTCGTGGAGTCGTTTCTCCAACCCATCGACCCGCTTGAGGAGAGCTTCTAACACATCGGTCTTGGGGCCCCGTTTTTTAGGGACGGCATCTTGAAAAGGAGATCAACAATCATGTGATTTGGAGGGGACACTAATTAACTTACCATAAAGACATGGACACTGAAAGACCTTGCATGCCTCACAACTTGGTCGCAAGCGATTACATTTGATCTATTGCAAGTTAAATATAGTCAATCGGGGGAGGAAAAACGTGGACAGACCTTGCGCTTGCGACAGGATTTGCAGTTCATGGTTTCGCGCGGCTCGACCGTCGCACGGCGGGGCGTGAGACGGTCGATGCTGACCTGAGGACGAGACATGGTACATCTACATGGAAGAAAGAGATAAGAAGAAAGAAAGAAAATGGCCTCGGCCAAGAAGTCAAGGGCATTGGAAAAGTCTATACCATGCGGAGAGAAAGAAATGCGGAGAACTGATGTGCCGCCGGAATTCCCTAGTTCGGGAGCTGACATCGCTCTCCGTAATTTATATTGATTTTATACACGATTTTAGCCTATTAATTGTACATTATTCTTATTCTTATTTTGAGTTTACTCTATTTCTAACATCCTATTTCATTCAGAACTCAATCCCCTTTTAATCTGACTATGGCGGGAGTAATTTCCTTTTAGGGAATATTTTTAGGGCTTCGAAGCCAATATCCGAATCTAGCCAACAACATCATGGTTTATATTGTACTTGATGATACTATGTAGTAATTATAGCTAATATTCTGAATATTCTCTATGTTCTTGCCGCTTGGACCCCCCAATTAAGTCTCCTCAATTTACCCGAAGTGTCTCCTGCAGAACCATTAAGTATTTAAAACGTACTCCGTATAAGGATACATCGATTACTTTACTATTGGTCCATACTCAACTACACATGTGATCATCCATTATAGATGCTGTTTTTGATACGGAACATCTCTTCTGGACTTCATTTAACTTTTTGGTGCTTTTGTCAAGGGTTTACTTATGCTCTCTCTATCTCTCTCCCTCTCTCTCTTGTATTCAATGCCAAGTCCACCAACGGTCTTAATAGACTTGGCTATGGACTTTTTAGTCTATTCCTCCGTGCAGAATATGAATTATATCTACTTTATATAGAAGGAAAAAAAAACAGTAAGGTAAAGTACCTAACCTCAAGGCAAAACCTTACCCCGCCTTACAAACTCTGCCATATCCTTCGCGGTGCCACCGATCCTTTCCAATCCTTCAACCACACCAGTACGATCATGAACCGGCCGTTCCTGACTAATTTTAAACCGGCCCTCAATCCGTGTGATTTCAATCCTCATCCCGACAATATTCTTCAAAAGTGCGGCAATGTACTCCCGTGGCGCATCGGTGATTTTCCAAGGCTTCGGTAATGCCGAGGCCTCACCATACCCGCTAGCTCCGGTCGGTGCCGTTTGCACCCCCTGACGGAGCTCTTCCAAGTCTGGGCTCTGGTTCGGACTCAGGTTTCCGTGTGGACCCCCATTCCCAGTTCCACTTCCACCGTGTTTGACATTAGATCTCGAACGCGAACCAGTCTCATCTTGAAACCCCATTATGCCTTCCTCTCCAAGCTGGGCTAAATCGCCGAGCTGTTGGCGTAGAAACAGCTCCGTTTGCTCATCCTTTGTGTCGTGGTAGATATTCGCCCGACCATAGACCTGCACCGCAGCGTAATTCCACGTCGGAGCGACTCTACCTGTGGCGGGGTTGGACTCTGTGTAGAAATTTGGAGTAATGTAGTGGTCTACTGGGCTGGTGAAGACGATCAACACTTCACCAGGAAGTGAATGGCTTGTGGATATTGGTTCTGTGGGGCTTGTTATAGGAAATGCGCCCGGTATACTGATTGTTTTGCTGTCTGAGGCAGCTTCTACCATTGCTTTGCTTTGTGGATTTTGGCGCGCGATGTGGCCACGGAGGACTCCCATGGAGGGATGTGGCTGTGAGGTGTTTTCATCGGCTACATCTGCTTCATTTGTTAAAGCGGATTCGATAGTTTCACTGTCCAACACCCAGGGGATGTGGCTGCATTGAAGAGTCGGGTGATTTTCCGAGGGGAGGGAAGTGGTGAGGACACCTAGTGGGTGTTGTTTAATGAAGGCGTGGAGGGTTGGGAGGTCTCGGACTGCATGATCGGGACGCAGGTGCATCTTTGTGGTTTTCTGTAGATCTAGAAGCAATATATATGGTGTAGAAATTCACTTATTCTACCTTTTTGGAAGATAAATCTGACTGGGTTTTCAATGTTGATTGGGCCTAGAAGACTCCCGAGGTCGGCTAGACGGTGTATTTTACAATACAACAAGACACTGGATGTACATAGTATTTTACAAAGTGCTATACCTCCAGATTGCCTCTGCTAACTGTTTGTAAGATTTTAGTATCCAGTAGGTGAAACGACATGACTCCTAGACTCTATACTTCGAAGTTTTATCGAATCTGTAATAGAAAGCCAGTGTTTAACTATCTCTTAGATGGTCCTAGCTGAATGTACCAAGGTATTATTTCAATTCATGTTCATAGAAACGTATCCTAATTTGGTCTCTATCCCCCTGGTGAAAATATAATTTCTAACCGGACAACAATGGTTCTAAGAATCCCTTCCTTGAATGTATACGGATCCCTCTAGAATTTATATTGTTAGGGAGATTACGCTTATGCATTTTCAAGTATTAGTAGCAGAACAGTGCTGAAACTAGAAAACGTTTAAATTAAAAGAGAGTAGCATCTTCTAGACTTGATATTTTCCGAGAGTCAAGTTATAAGAGTGCGGATGCATAGCTGATTTTAATTCGTACACTAGAGGTGGAGAGGCGAAGAAACACAATGTCTGGAAAATGTAGAGTAGGGCTGACCCCAGATATTCTAAGAAGTTCCCATCTGTTAGGAGTATCTAGCCCTGAAGTATATATCGCTTGTTAGGAGCTATCATTATGATTTAAAACATTGATAATGCCTACTATGTATGTGCCAAAGCCAAGCGCAGGAATTCCTATCATCGGCAACATATATAACAGAAATACCTATTGCAGTTGATCCTAAAAAATATTCATAGGGACAATAAAACACCATCCTTAGACTTGGACTAGTGAGACTAGTCAGACTAGTCATGGATCCATGGATCTCACATAACACAGATAACCCTACAAAAAACAGAACCCAAACCCCCAAAACAAAATCCCAATCCAACATCAACATCTATTGCATCAACAATACACAATAAATGAACCACAAATTACCTACGTAGGTATGCAGTATGCTATATAAACTAAAACAAAGGCCTTCCGGACGCCATGCGCACAAAGTCAAATGGCACATTTTGTCCAACAAGCAACCTCAGCGTCTCAACAGTAGTCCATGCGCTAACATCCTCAACCCCGTACGCCGTCCACCCTGCACTAGTAGCAACAGCCAAAGGATCCCCCTTCCTCGGCCCACTCGTAAGGTCAAGATAAACCTTCCCTCGAGTAGAACGCGGCGAGGAACGACCATTAATACCATAATGCCTCAGCAGAGGCTGCACGAGTAGCGATTTCTCCGGGGGCAGTGCAGAGACAATAACAAAAGGCTGCTCAACCCGCTGGACAGATTGGATGGATGTGAACGGCTCGAGTCCCGCAGCGAGCGGGCCACTCGCTTTAAACCCAACCGTGTAGATTGTGCCAACAGCCAGACTACGTAGTGCGAAAATCGCTGCGGAAGCGTCTGCTTCAGAGCCGGCGAGGATGATTGCTGCGCGGCTGCTATATGCGGACGGCACGTATTCACGAGTCAGGGTTGCGCGGATGCCCTTCCAGGCGGCGTTTTCGCCGATGAAGCGGGAGGTTCCAGGTACGGCTTCGCCAGGCGTCATGGCGATTGTGTCGACTAACCCGATTGCGCGGGCTGCGTCGCTGACTGCGGGGATGAAACCAGTTGTGCTTGGGACTGGGGGATTGACGTAGGCACCGCCGAACTGCGGTTGTAATAGGACAGATTCCATGGACCCTTTTGGGCCGCGGTCGACGGAGGTGAAATTGTGTGGGAGGCCAAGCTCGTTCAGACATTTCTCCATGAACATTGAGTGTGGGGTGGAGCGGAATGAGCCGACAGCATAGAGGTCGCGTTTGGGGAGCTGGCCCATTATGTGTAGGGCTTCGTTGATCTCCGCCGCGGTTAGCTGGCCTGGTGCGGCGATCATTGGGAGGAGGGGGTGGGTGATTGGCGAGAAGACGGTGTTGAGGGCTCGAGATAGCTGACCCATTTGGCCCATGTTGACTGCTGACAGAAGTGGGCCTGGGCCACGGTTTTTAATGGTAGAGCGGAAGTATTCTAGCTCATAGTTCTCTTGGATTGTGTTGACCATGGCGATCATCTTCACGATATCGGCGTATTTGGCGCTTTCCGTGAATATGCGCTGCGCCTCTTCGGATGTCCACTTCCAGGTTCCAGAGAAGTCATGGAAAGCAGATAAAATCATACTATGGCCCTTTTTCTCAAATAGTTGGCGGCGGATCTTCTCTGGCAGCCATAGTTCCACATCAATATACTCGACTCCCCACTGTATCGCTCGCCGCAGGTACTTATAAAAGAGCGCAGGGTCATCTAGAGGAAACTTCCCATTCTCCCTCGTACAGCGAACAGTGAAGATAATCGGTAACTCAGTATGCTGCCGCAACAACATCAACTGCTGACCAACATACTTCAAACTCGGAACAGGCGGAACGGTCGAACCCTCCGGGGCCGGCTCCACCAGCAAATCCACACGGATCTCAACAGCATCCGATCCCACAGATAGGATATCCAAATTCGGCAAAGCAGCATGCACATCGGGAAAAGTAGTCGAGATAAAATTCGTCCTGGTCTTCGTCCGCAAATCATCATGCGGCCTCGTCTGGCCAAGAATCAAAGACAAAAACCGCGATAGATCCCGGCGTAGGAACGGACTCCGCGAATATAAGAACTCATAGTCACAGCTCTCAGTGAGTGAGTCTTCCGGCGCAGAGCCATCTTCCACGCAGTATGTGTTTATTAAAACTAGAGATGATCGCTCGCATCCTTGCAAGCTCCGCGCTAGATCATGCGCTATGATCCCCGCGACCACTGCATCGTTGGCCCGCGCAAGCATCCCTAACGACGCCTCCGTTGTCCATGGCTTGCCCAGAACCTCCGCTACTAGTTGTACAATATGATCTTGGTTCTGGCCATAGATGATCACGACAGTCCCCGCGGCAGTATTGGCGGCCGGTGCGGCGATGTCCACAGCTATCTGGTCTTTGGGCGCAGCCGGGGGAGCGGGATAAGGGATTGTTGTAGCATTGGAAGAGACGGCGCTATTTGGGTTGGCGCTAGGCGGATCCTGCGTCTTGAGGGTTGTAGAGACGGGGGGATCATCTAGCAGCGGAGTGGCCATGTGCTGCGGAAAGGCTGTCGGAATCATAGCATAGCAGTCCCAAGTGTTTTCATACTTGGTGCTGGTGAGAATGTATATGCAGGTCGAAGTATGGGTCGAGACGGGTAAAAATGGGAGTCGGAGAGGGGGGAATAAGGGAACGCAAGGACCAAGTCTTTTTTTTTTTCCAATTCGCCTCTTGTCACAGCCAGGACCTAGCGTAACAGGTAGTATAAAGCAATTAGGAAACGCGGGCCGAACAAGGCTAGCTCCAGGGTATGGGGTAATTGGGGGTAAGTTGAATAAGTGGATGCCAAGGAAATCCTAGGCGGGTAGAGGTTGATAACCTAGCTGCAAGGGTAATGGAAACCATTTGAGACGACATGGATCGATGGAAGAACTTCTCACGGAGGTTCCACCCAATGCAAGTCCGCGACAGTGGACGCGGGGAAAAAGGGACGGAGTTGGGTTTATCCGCCAATCAGCCGTGTTGGGTTTATCCTCCAACCAAATGTCCTGTAAAATTGATATACGTCCATAGGTCAAATTGAATATGGGAATAGGGGAGATCATGATATGCTTAGGAATCATATCTTCCATACACAATCTGTTGATATCAGCCTATATCGAACCTAGCCGGGGTCACCGTAACCTCATGATTACCTGACAGCGGGCTCTATAGCCCCCGTCATCCGATACGAGGGAAACCCACCAATCTACATAAGCCGGTCTCAGCCTCGGCCAGGGCAAATGATCGGCTACTAGAACGGATGCTACATAGCCTATTGTATCCGAGAGAAACAGGCAAACGACTTAGACGCTAGGATTGGTGGAAGAGTACATGGATATAGGTACTTGTATCAGGGACAAATGCCGAGAATTATATGCTCCCATATTCAAAATGCATACCATGAAACAATCATCTGTGCATTGTTTTTTCTGTCCTCGATGCATGGAAAGTAACCAGAGTTAAGTGACAGCATTAAATTGCAACTGGAAGGGAAACACATCCGAAGCATAGTTGCAAACCATGTAGAATAGGTATGGGTGATGGTTTGACACGGGAAAGACAAGAGACATGAAGAAATAGGAAAGATAGAATCGAGACTAGATCCGCCTAGCATTGTATTTCAAACGACCAATTAAGACATAAGGAGAGAAAAATACCGGCCAAATGAAGAGGGGGTATTTGGAAAGTAACAGGCAGTGGGGAAGGGAAAGAGAGAAACGCAGGCCGAGAAATGAGAAGAGTGAAAAAAGGCAGGAAAAGAAGAGAGGTGCTGGTCCAGAGGACAACATGTACGTATCAATATCAGGCACACAAATAGTCACCACCTCACTTTCCAAACCAGGATGGCGCTTTTGGGGGTTTTGTTCACGGTTCCGTGCATCAAGCCGGAGTCAACACTATGTACGAGGGTAGCAACGCAACCGAAGATCGGCACGTGGACCGTCTGACATCTTCTGAGATGTCGGTGTCTACCATGACACAGCATGGTAGATCAGGTAAGGGAAATAAGTTCAAGCAGGAGGCCGAAGGTGTGCAAGCACACATGCATCATTCCATTCGCGGGATATTAGCGGGAAGCGAGAAGTTGAGCCGAGCCAGCGGCCTGTCATTCTCAGCTTGAATCGGCACACATGCCCAAACGAAGACACGCAGTAGGCAATCGCAATCCCATTTGCTCGTTGTGAGACAAAGCATGGGATGGGCAACGCCATGAGCCGGGGTAAATTGAGAACCAAGGTGGAGTCGGACGGAGTTCCAGGTTTCAGGCT